CTAGTTCAGTTGTGATAGATGTCTGATAGGGTAAAATATGAAGTGATGACAACAGAAAACCACATAGCAGCAGAATCAGTACTTTAACTTTTGACCCTTATTGTACAATTTACTGAAAATCCGTTTACTGCAACGGGAGTTTGTCAGTAGGACTTTAACTTGTGGTAATTGATTCTTTTACTGAAGGAAACAACCGGACAACCTCCTCTGCACTGGTCTGACTTCTTTATAATTTGTTTGGTAATAGTGTCACTCTTCTGTGTCTCTGCAGGACAAACATGAACAACTTCAACATTGAGGGAAATGGGGGTAGACGAAGAGGCAACGGAGGAGGAGGAGGAGGAGGAGGAGGAGGAGGAGGAGGAGGAAGAAGAAGAAGAAGAAGAAGAAGAAGAAGTTTTACCCCGTCCTGGCAGGTGGAGCTGTATGTTTAGCAGGTTTCTGTAAGTAAAACCCAGCATCTGTGAGAAATGTTAAAAATAATTACATTGCAAGAGAGTGTTGTTTTTATATTATGATGATTACTGCTGCTATGCATTAGGGGGCGCTAGGATGAAACTCAAGGCAGTCACGCACACATAGGGAGACACCAGAAGAACAGGATGTCATGTGACCACCTCAGCTGCTTGAAGTAAACAATAACTTCTAACATGGCGAAGTGGCGGGTACATGAAAAGGGAGAGTAGGTTTTTCTCCAGGTGCGGACAGATAAGAAGAAGGAGGCACTGTGCCAAGAGGCTGGGACCAGCCTGTGCACCAACGAAGGGAGAGCTGAGTCTAAACCATGGCCTCTCCCCAGCTTTTCACCAATCAGATAGTTACAAAAATATATACAAAACTCTGTGTAACTGCTAAGATAGTCATTCTCTTCTGGGATGTTGGCCACAGCTAACTGCTTGCAGACTATGGTTTTTAGATCGGAGGAGATCCATGTACATGCTGATTTTGATTCTCTAATAGCAAATAAATATTGGTTTTAACTGATGACTTCGACTGGAGAACTCTTATTGCAAATAAACGAATGCGCTGACACAGCTCTCAGGACTTTGTTTCACCTTCACAGATTGATGTAAATAAAAATGGATGACACGGCTTCCAAAAGTGAAGCTAAAACATCATGATTGCCCCCTGGTCGCTGGCTTCAGTATAGATCATGAACTCCTCCCCCTCTATGTTAGGGGATGGGACATGGGGCCAAACTAAAAAAAAACAAATTACACATTAAAACTTTTTTTCCCACAGATGGTTTCTGTCATTCAAGGTCGTTCTTATCACACTGATGTTCAAGTGTTAATTTAACTGATTACTTTGCTTTACATGAGTTACTTGATGCTATAAAACAGGAGTGTGACATCATGATTAATCACCCACTGTGGGTGTATGGGCGGGACATCGATACCATATATCTCCACCCCCTGATCATTACTGAGCAGACTGGCTCCAAATGACGTCACTAGAATGGGATGGCAGTGCTCGTCTCTGGGATATTTTGGCTTCATGTTTGTACAGTGGGAGGAAGAGGAGATGTCATCCATCTTTATCAACAGTCACTGGTTTCAACATGATAAAATTCTGCATTTACAGGTATAAATTCTGTATAAATGCACCTTTAGATATGAATATAACCTGCAGCCTCACGCAGTGACCCTTCATTAAATAATTTAATCAATAATATAAATAATAAGAACCTGAGTTAGAACCTGAAATACCTTCCAGTGCCAGTTAAAACCTATTGCTGTGTTGGAACACGTTAGAACCTGAAAAGGTTTTGGAATGTACCTGTAGTGACTCGGCACCCATTAGAACCCGTGTGATCAGTCTGAGAACAAAATCTCTCAAAGCAGAGAAGTCAGAGAAAATAAACATGATGTTGGTTCTTCTTCTCATCAGAACGTAGATTTACTTTCCAGGTGACCGGCAGAAGGTTGCCCTAAACCTGTGGACTGTGGTTCTAAGAAACTGTTCTGTCTCATAGTGTGGAGGCTGTAACAATATAAAATCATTGACTCTAAAAAGGGACCAGATGTGGGTTCTCATTCTCCTGGGTTCTTCCTGTTCTCTCTCTTGTAGTGTGGAAGATCTACCAGTCGGTGATGAAGGTGGAGAAGCTGGAGGGGGCAGTCAAGATTCATCAGGACTACATCGAGCAGGATCAGCAGGAGAAGCTGACAGAGGTGGAGAACCTGCTGGTGGAACGACAGCATGTGTTCTGCAGTTACAGAAAGCTGTATTCAAAACGCCAACAGCTGGAAGATCAGATCCTGCAGAAAGCGTCGGCATTAGAAAGTCTGATTCCTGACATGAGTAAAACTGTGAAGAGGATCTTCAGTGAAGATTGCCACTGTGGTTCCTCTCTGACCTACATCTGGACCAGAGACAAGAGGAAGAATGGGCGGTTGATGTGGGAGGAGATGAAGAAGTGGAGGAGCATGTTGGAGAACAATGGAAGGTCCTGAGGTAAATATTTAACCTGTGTTCCCAGTTCTGTGTTCTCCAGAGTCAGATAAGGACATTGACAGTGACGTGCAGTCAGGTGAGGCAGGTGAGGCACTGCCTCACCTGCCATCATGGAAAGAAAAAAAAAGTAAAAAGAAAAAAAATTAATTAAATTGTTATATGTATACAGTGATTATACTATAAAGTTATTTTCCATTTAACTTCACCAGTTTTAGATTATTTTTATTCAAAATCGCTGAATTTGACATTTACCGTTCAAATACTGAGAAGAGACTTGCGGTGAGGCAGCAGCCAGCTGAGCCTCACCATGGATTGCGCAATGACTCGGCTAACTGCTGGCCTGCTGTGCAGTGAGACCGTATTGCTATCTCTCTGTATGTCGCTATTAAAATGTTCAAACACTTTTGCTATATGAATTATATTATAAATTTCCATAGTTTAGTTAGCTGAGGTATATAATGTACAGTGTATTTTATCAACAACTGTATGTGTGTACGTGTTTCTTGTGCTGAGCAATCATAAAACGGCTGCGAAGACGCACTGGGTGAGGCACGCAGTTCTCCTGCCTCATGGTAGAGGGCGCTAGTGATGAAGTCAGTGCCTCACCAGCCATGAACCTCACCGCACGTCACTGGACATTGATATCATCCTTACCTGAAACCTCTTCATGAAACCCTCATAACACCTTTTTGAACCAACCCTGGAACTCCCTCAAAACCTCCTGATCCTTGTGAATCATATTCACCTCAAAGACTCCCCTCTCAAGGACTCTTCAAACCTATTCAAGGACTCATGAAGTCTCCTAAAGGATGGAACCTCATCAGTGACAGGAGACAGAGTTGTTGGGAAACTTATTACAGTCATTTCCTCTTTATCCAGATGTCAGGTCAGATGTTTCGTGTACATCACTGGACACACGACATGGAATCACTTGAAATCAGAATCAGGGCTGTAAAGGTCAGATGCCCTGTTCACACCTAACACCTAACGTGTCTTCAGTGATCCAATCGCAGGCGGTCAGCTCTAAGTACGTCAGTTCCCACCTGGCTTCAAAATGCGTCTACAGTGACCACTTGTGATCAGATCTCACTTCCTTGCTTTATATGCAAATAAACACCTATGTGTTTTGTTTTTCGTTTTTAACCAACTCGACAGACTGGTCCGTCGTCAATCTGTGCGAGTGCGAGTGTGTGTGTGTGTGTGTGTGAGAGAGAGAGAGAGAGAGAGAGAGAAAAGAAAGTGGTCAGATGTTAACACCAGGTCTGAACAGGGCCTCCAGGTGTGGTCAGATCAGGTAGAAACACATCTTTAGAATCAGTTCTTATTCTGCTGCATGTGGACCATTTGTTATGGTGGTAGGGGGTGGAGGGGTCGACCTAACTGCAGCAGATGGTGTGTGTGTGTGTAGTTGGGAGGGTTGTGGGGGTTTTGTGGGAAGTGGGGTGTTGGAACAATAGGACAGCTGAACACTGAAACGACAGATGTGCATATTGTTATTAAAACATCGCATGACTGGTTCACATGTTCAATTCACACATCTGAACATGTCCTGGGTCACACATGGATGTCTGGAAGTCATCAGGAAGTCATTGAAAAACTTGTGTTCAGTGTGGTCACAGTCTGTCTCCGACCACCTCCAGAGGTGGTTTGGCCAATTGCATCACAATTCATTCTCAGTGCATTTAGAGTGCACTTACACCTGTACCTTCACGTGGTCATGTGCTATAAACCAACTGCAATCTAATCACCAAAAACACATTTTAATTGGGGGGGGGGGGGGGGGGGGGGTAAACAGGGTGTCACATGACTCAGAACACTGTGGCTTTTGTTATCAGTGTGCTAGGCTAAAATATTGTACTGTTTTACAAATATAAAAAGAACAGAGAACATACCTTGTGTTTGTAATGGTTAAAAAACAACACTTCTGAGCTGAGTTACAATTCAAATAAAGATTTTACACAAACGTCTTCTGGATCACGTTGGTGTAATGTTTGATCTGTGCTGTGAAAATCAATCTGTAAATCTGTGAGAACACGAAAAGATTAGTGAGTAAGTATTCATAAATATCACAGATGATATAAATACAGAATTTATTCTTAGTCTGGATGTTTACAAACATATCTTAACTTGTTTTGTCCAAAACTCAAAAATATTATATTTACTGTCATGTAAGTAAATATTCACTTTATTTCAATGTAGGCCAAAAGCCAAGTCTCCAAATGATTAATCGATAATTAAAATAGTTGCTGATTAATTTTCTGTTGATTGACTAATCAATTATCAGATATCGATTAGATGTCAACAGTGTTTCCAGTGATGTGTGATTGTGATTATATCCTCTGAAACATCTCTTCTATCGTTAAACGTGAAGACCAAACAGTTGAAAAACAAAGATTAAATGTTGATGACAAGTTCATTGCGTCACATAGGGGGCGGGATTACGTGCGCACACACACACACACACACACACACACACACTCTCTCTCTCTCTCTCTCTCTCTCTCTCTCTCTCTCTCTCTCTTTCTGCTGCCTGCGGACTGTTGTTGTTCAGCCCGACACGAAGCTAACAGCTAACACTGACTGTGAAGATGTCGTCAGACCGACACACGGAACGACGCTTGCGCCGCTAACCTCTCACCTGGTTGTCTTAGTTAACTCGGGTTAGCTCTGATAAACCCGGTTTAGCTCTGGGTTAGCTGTCCCGCTCCGGGCTTTATGTCCTTGCTGTTGTGGAGGAGGACGGGCTAGCTCGTCGCTTAGCCCCGTTAGCATGTTCCAGCTAATTGTCCAGTGTTATTAATGTTGGTATCGCTAGCCGAGCTCTGGCTGTTAGCTTCTGGTTAGTGTAATTCTATGGAAGTAGCAGGTTAGATGGGGAGCTAGCCTCTCTTTATTTAATCCTGTTAGCTGCTGGTTGTTGTGGTTAGCTAACTTGTTAGCCTATGTGTTGTTATTTTACATATCCCGGGCTGTTTCCATCATGTGTTGCCGTGTACAGACCACAGAGCTTGTTCCTGTGGCAAAATGTCGCGTTAATGCTTCGGTTCTTTTAGCTAACAGAGCTAAAGTTAGCTGTTGCTAGCGGGAGTCAGATGTCTTTGTTTCCATCTGCAGCTGTTAGTTTATGATGTGAGAGCAGGTTAACTCTGTTAGCTTAGTTAGTAGGTAGACTATAGTAGATAGGACAGTTTGTTCAGGGTTTTACTGTTTGTGAGTGTGGCAGATGCTAAGCTAACAGAAAAATCAGTAACACAGGCCTCAGATCAGTGTTTAGTTTATTATATTTCAGAGTTGTATCTAATGTATGGCTGATATGCAGCTGTCAGTGCACTGACCATCATCATCGCCATCACTAAAGGCCGGCAGCAGGTGGAAATATCAGGGTTACTATGGCCCTCACATCAGGCTGCAGGCAGAGCTGCTCAGCGTGTGTCGTCTACCTGCTTATACTGTCAGGTTAGTTTACTCACTCTGAATCAACTGTTACAAACCTGGACTCTGGTGTGGAGCTGCAACGATTAGTTGAATATATGTGTGTGTCTGTGTGTCATTATAATGCTATATATAACTAGTCATTGCAGCTCTAAATCTGGTTTAATCAACCACATTTTTACTGTGTGAACACTCTGTTAATGACAATTAAATTGCAGTTCTTGTGTATGATGTTGAATAATTCAGTTTATTATTGTAACCAGGTGACTGAACTCTAGTTTAAAAACTGCAGTGGTTCTTTTAAGCTGGTTGGTCAGTTTTTTCTTAATAAATTAGACACAATAGGATGTCAATGAATGTGGTATTTTAATAACACTGTATGTCCCTGTAAATAAAACAGCTTTTAGCTTCAGTGAGCAGTGATATGTAGCATCAGCTGTTAACCATGTGTGTACTCACTCCCCAGGATGCATTGCTGCATCTCAAAGGAACGACAACGTCTATGTATCAGGAATCTCTAGCGGTGAGGTCACGACCACACTGACGACACATCAGAGACACATGAAACACAACCATCAGCACAAACTAAACGTGCAGTCAGACTAACAGCTGTCTCTGTGTGTGCAGCTTGCAGCGACGTCGCAGAGCTCCTGCGGGCGTCCAGTGGTATCATCACCAGCCCTGGCTGGCCCTTCCAGTATCCGGCCAAACTGAACTGCAGCTGGAACATCAGAGCCCGACCCGGAGACACCATCACCATCAGGTAACATGCACATGGGTTTTTTCCATGGTTACATACATGGTCCTCACACCACGTCCACACCAGTCAGCATAAATATTAAAAAGTCATTTTTTACCAAGAACAACCATTGGATGGAGGTGGAGGTTTGTTGTTGTTGACAAAACAGAAAAGATAAATATGGTTTCAGAGAAACTGAGGAGAGGTCACAGTGTTCAGAACCACCCGGAGGAGAAGTCACAGAGTTCAGAACCAGCCAGAGCAGAGGTCACAGGGTTCAGAAACAACCAGAGCAGAGGTCACAGGATTCAGAATCAGCCAGAGGAGAAGTCACAGGGTTCAGAACCAACCAGAGGAGGGGTCACAGGGTTCAGAACCAATCAGAGTAGAGGTCAGAGGGTTCAGAACCAACCAGAGGAGGGGTCACAGGGTTCAGAACCAATCAGAGTAGAGGTCAGAGGGTTCAGAACCAGCCACATGGTCACAGGGTTCCGACCTAGGCTTGACTTGTCTCCACCTCTGTCCTCCGGTAGTTTCCAGGACTTTGAGCTGCAGGGTTCCCATCGTTGCTCCTCAGACTGGATGTCCATCAGCAGCTACAGGAGCCTTGATGGACTGCGGGTTTGTGGGTCCTCCCTGCCGCCACCCTACATCTCGTCTCAGGATCACGTCTGGATCCACTTCCACTCTGATGACAGTCTGACAGGAAAAGGCTTTAGACTGTCGTACATCACTGGTGAGGATGCAGGACTTCCAGGTCCTCTAAATCTAACAGCTTTACTGTGGGAGTTTCAGGTTCCTGATGCTGATCCACAGAGTTCTCAGTGGTTCTCAGAGTAATCAGCAGAGCTGGCACCTCCTCAGGCTGTTACATAACAGTTGTTGACAGAGCAGACGCCGGCGGTGGGATGATGTAACTCTGGATTAGAAGTTGATGTAAACACTCTCAGCTGATCCATCAAACCTGATCTTCTACTGACGTAGACGACTGGTGAAGGATAGAGGGCAAAAACATCATCAGTTTTAGTGAACTGTTATCACATTACCAGTCGTCTAATGAATAACAAATATCACTTTGGTACAGGTAAACCAGAGGCATCCAGCTGTGACGTAGACCAGTTCCACTGCTCTAATGGGAAGTGCATCCCAGACTGGTGGCGCTGTAACTCCATGGATGAGTGTGGTGACAATTCAGATGAGGAGCTGTGTGTGGACTCTCCCTTCTCCTTCCAGCCCTGCAGCCTGAACCAGTTCCCATGTCTGTCCCGCTACACCCGCATCTACACCTGCCTTCCACACAGCCTGCGGTGCGACGGGAGCATCGACTGCCAGGTAACTAAGAGGTTCAATTGCCTTGACCTGGTCCTAGCACCAAACATGACCCTGTGTCACAGTAGCTGATGGCAGCAGTCCTGGGCTCAGATCAGTGAGTGTCTTTATTCAGTCTGTCGTTGAGTCGAGAGTTAGCTAAACATCTGAGTCATCACAGTCCTGTAAACTGCAGCAGGTGCAGAAAGTTGGATATGTATTGTGATGTGAAAAAAGTTTTCACCAGATGACTTGAATACCTGTTTTTGGTCAACATCACTTTGAATCCACAGCTGGTTAGAGTCCCTCAGTGACCTCAGCCAGAGAAATGGACTTCACTGTCCACTAGTATTCTCAGGCTGGGTCAGCCGTGGTGGTAACAGTTTCAACATCATGTACATGTTGATATCGTTGTGTATATGTGATTTTTCTCCAGGATCTTGGTGATGAGATTGACTGTGATGTTCCCACTTGTGGAGAATGGTTGAGGAACTTCTACGGCTCCTTCAGCTCTCCAAACTACCCCGACTTCTACCCTCCAGGAAGTAACTGCACCTGGCTGATCGACACCGGAGATCACAGAAAGGTAACCTCCACCCTCAGCTTGATGACACATTCCTACCTAAATCACTCTTGAGGTTTAACTGACTCCCTCCATTTTGGTCCTGCAGGTCATTCTGAGGTTCACTGACTTTAAACTGGATGGGACGGGTTACGGTGACTACGTGAAGGTCTATGACGGTCTAGAGGAGAACCCTCGCCGTCTCCTCAGGGTGCTGACTGCCTTTGACTCAAGAGCGCCGGTTGCTGTGGTTTCATCATCTGGTCAGCTCCGAGTTCACTTCTATGCGGACAAGATCAACGCTGCCAGAGGATTCAACGTCACCTACCAGGTGTGTTTGATTTGTTAACCCTGATTAACCTGTCACTGTATTTTGGAGGTGGACAACCTGCTCAGTCTGTCTTTATGGTTCTTCATGAATTTCTAAGATCAGTGGATTCTGATAAAACCTGTTTTTATAGCTCCCTCTGTATTTTTTGGTGACCAGGTCCTGTTAAACGTAGGTCTACCATTGTTTTTGACCTGTGTCATGGTTCTTTATGTTGTTGTTTTTTTGTTTGTTTTTGTTTTTGGTTTTTTTTGGTATTTTATGCCTCTATTTGATAGCAACAGCAGAGAGAGAAGAGAAATGTGAGGAAAGAGATTAGGACCAGCAGCAAACAGTCTCAGGGTTTTTGTGGTAGGCACCCTAACTACTGGGCTATTGGGTCGCCCCCATAGTTCTTTTATTTGTAATCTGGATGGTTTCTGTGGTTCTGTTTTTAATATAAGTTGGATCTATTTAACCTTTACTTGCGGTTCTTAATAAATTGTTAATGTGGATGGGTTCTGTTTAACCTATCTCTTTCTCCATGTTCTTAAGGTGGATGGGTTCTGCCTGCCCTGGGAGGTTCCCTGTGGGGGGAACTGGGGCTGTTACACTGAGCAGCAGCGGTGTGATGGATACTGGCACTGCCCCAACGGTCGGGATGAGGTGAATTGTTCCTCGTGTCAGGAGGACGAGTTCCCCTGCTCCAGAAACGGAGCGTGTTACCCTCGATCGGACCGATGCAACTATCAGAACCGCTGCCCCAATGGTTCTGATGAAAAGAACTGCTTTTTCTGCCAGCCTGGGAACTTCCACTGCAAGGTACCAAAACCAGAACCAAGGAAAGAAACAATGTTCAGGGACCAAAACAGAGACCAGAACAGGAAGCAGTCTCTGAGCTGAGCTTCAGATGAAACATGTACTTTCTGTCATTTAACATCAGTTTGACCTCTGACCTCTAACCTCTACCCTCTGCAGAATAATCGCTGTGTGTTTGAGTCGTGGGTCTGTGATGCTCAGGACGACTGTGGTGATGGTAGCGATGAGGAGAGTTGTCCTGTCATTGTTCCCACCAGAGTCATTACTGCCGCTGTTATCGGCAGCCTCATCTGTGGCCTCCTTTTGGTCATCGCCCTCGGCTGCACCTGTAAACTCTACTCACTGCGCATGTTCGAACGCAGGTGAGGATGGAGGGACACCTATGTCCTCAGAGACCTTTATCTGTTACCTCTGATGGCTCTGATGATTCCAGCTCTGTGATTGGTCATTGCAGGTCTTTTGAGACCCAGCTGTCCAGAGTGGAGGCGGAACTACTGAGGCGGGAAGCCCCACCCTCTTATGGTCAGCTCATCGCCCAGGGACTGATCCCACCTGTGGAGGATTTCCCAGTGTGCTCTGGGAGCCAGGTAGTGACACAAAGTCTTTCTCTCTGCAGACTTAAACAGTGGTTTTGAATGTTAAAGACAGATAACTCCTGTCTCCTTCCACCTTCAGTTAGTCCCCTGTCTTTTGTAATGTTTGTCTGAATTCATTTACTCAGTGTTGCGTTGTGTTTGGGTGATTTAACCACCAGTCACACATGCATTTATAACATAACTGTAACTCTAATTTCACTAAAACAACCTTTTCTCCTTGAACTTATTGCAACAGTGGAGGAAAACACTCCTTCTGTGTAGTTCTGTTTCCGTCCTACAGGTACTCTCATTGGACGGTCTGTGATCTATGTCTTTGACCCAAACACTGTATCTAGAATGAACGACTTTACTGTGTACTTAAAGATGGCAGTGAAGCAAGGGTGGTCTATCACATGTGGAGTTTCTGCCTCACTCAGACTCCATCTCCAAAATGTCTCCTTCATGTTGTGGACAGTTGTTGATGTATTACTCCACCACTGCTCTCTGCTGGGACACTGGATGATGTGGTCTGATGATTTTATTTTCATTCTGCTGTCTCTCTGTCCTCAGGCATCTGTCCTGGAAAACCTCCGTCTGGCTGTCCGTTCTCAGCTTGGTTTTACCTCCCTCAGACTCCCTTCCTCCAGTCGTCATAGCAACCTGTGGCGCCGACTCTTCACCTTCTCGCGGTCACGACGGTCCGGTTCTTTGGCTCTGGTCTCTGCAGACCTGGAGGACAGTGCTGGCACTGGGAGCACTGGGAGTTCTGGTTCAGACCTACTCTCTCCGGACTCTGACGACACAGATACAGAGGGGGAGCGGGGGAGGGAGCGAGGCGTGGGCGCAATGGGTGGGCCTGTTGCCCCGCTCCCCCAGAAAACCCCACCTTCCACTGCTGTGGAGGCTGTCGTATCAGTGACGACGTCTGCAACCTCTATGACCCCAACACCAGGCCGAGATCGATGCCGCGACCGGCCCAGGGATGCCCCGCCCCCTTCCAGCCCCATCACCATGGCAACATCCAATCCAGATCCTGAATGTCACAGTGATGCCTCAGAGCTCCAGGCCCTGCCCACCTCTGCCTTGCATCGTCTGGCCCAGAACCTGCACCGTCTTGCGAGGAACCTGACCAGAACCAGTCAGAACCAGCAGAACCAGACCTGGACCAATCACAGCCCACTCCGCCAACTGGAGACAGGAAGAAGCGGGCCCGAAGCTGCAGAGCGACGAGGGAGCAGAGATGAAGAAGAAGATGTGGAGCTTCTGATCCCTGTGTCCGACTCTGACTCTTCCTCATTGATCAGTGATGTCCAACAACCACTGCTGGAGCCACACCCCTCCTCCACTGCAGGCCACGCACCCCGCCATCACAGAGGAAACAGTGGTCGAGGAGGGCGGGATGGCCCATGTGAACACTGCGGGATGGTCCACACAGCACAGATCCCAGATGCCTGTCTGGAGGCCACGGGCAAGACAGAGAGCAGTGACGATGAGCTGCTGCTGCTCTGCTAACAGGCTAACCTGCAGGGCTTACATGCTAACCGACACACTAATAGTACGAATACTACCCTGACCCAACATCTAAAGTTAGCTAACATGCTAGCTGACACGACTTACACTGTTAAGACTATCCTGCCCCTACACCTCCAGTTAGCTAACATGCTAACTGACTGGCTAACAATAATACTGCCCTGGCCCCTACATTTCAAATTTTAGACAGCTAGCCAACATGCTAAGACTTCAGAGTAGACAACTGCTAGCCAACATGCTACCACTTCAGACTGGACGACTGCTAGCCAACATGCTAACACTTAAGACTAGACAACAGTTAGCCAACATGCTAACACTTTATGCTGGGCGACAGCTAGCCAACATGCTAACACTTCAGACTGGACAACAGCTAGCCAACATGCTAACACTTCCGACTGGACAACAGTTCGCTGTAATTTAAAACCTGTTAGCATGTTAGTTGGACTAAAAGTTAGTGCTCAGCAGGTTTTGGCCTTGAGTTATGTAGGAGATAACCAATCAGAGACTGAGGGGAGTGATGTCACTGATTGGATACTGATGTTGGTATGAAAACTCTCCCATGTTGTTCCCCTGGTCCGTCCCTTAAAATGCTCCCCTCCTCCTCGCAGGCGGACGTCCTGCTCGTTGGTACGACTTCCTGAACAATGACTGGTACGACTACAAACTGAGTCCTGACTGAGCAAAGTGAAGATTCCCTGATCATTGATCCAGGAACCTTGTCTGCCTCTGAACTGTCGATGTGCTGGACTCCTGCCCCCCTTTAAAGGAAATGCTTAGAATAACATCATATGACCGATGGAGGTAGCCAAAGATAGTTGCCAGGTGCTACTACACCGAGGTGATTCCCCCCCCAGGTGTAGTAGTTGTGAGTTTAACTACAGGTCTCACTTTGTGCTGTTCTTACCTAAACTGAATTTCATCGCTCTTCTCTGAGCTACATCTCTCTTCCTCCTCCTCCTCCCGAAGTGGTCATCTCTCTGAGCTGGATCACTGTCCTCAGTCTGTCTCTTGGTGGTCCCTCTTCTCTTTTCTCCATGCTCTGTTCTGTCCCTGTTCTCTGACTCCTCAACTTCATCTGTCCTCTTAATAACTTTATAAAAAATCAAACTGGTCCTGAGGAGGGCCAGGCTCTGAAACCATCATCAGATAGGTGAGGTTTTTTTACTCTGTGAAATTATGATTTTCGTTTTTATCCTATTTTGTGATGAAACCACGTTCACATGACACCGCATGACATCACAGCTGGATCTGCCTCACGCTTTCTATTCAGAGTAGTGGCTGGTAAAAGGCTCAGCATCGTACATTTCACAAACCACTCATTTCACTGTTGTTAAGCTTGACCTACAGATACGGTCTGAGCCAGTTAGTCTGAGACCACTGCCTCACCTCAGTGACGTTACTTGTCTGAGGACGAACATTGACATTGATCACACTGACCTGTGAGAAGGCTCATGGCCTAAAGAGGGGGAGTGTTGTCCAGGGTGGAGTCTCATTCTGCAGCAGTGCAGGTGTTGACTGATCACTATCAGATGTCACTGAACGTGGGCAGGAATTATAAATACTAGATTTGCAGGAATTACTCAATCCTGCTCTGAAATTCTAGACCTGGTTCTCAGTCCAGAGCACATGAAATCCAGACTCATGAGGGTTTAAGACTCAAAAATCTCAACTCAATGGTTCTTCTGAGCTTTCACTCGTTTTAACCCTGAGATACTGACACTGTAATGTACCATACATATATATACCACACTATATAATTTTGTTCAGTTTCCATTGAAGAGCGTTGAGGAGGTACAGGATGAGATGAACATTAGTCAATCAGGTGAATCAATACTTGATCACTATAGCAATTGCTAAGCAACCACCTGCAGATGTCAGTGAGCACCTTCCTGCTGACGGCTCCACACCTGATTATTGATCAGCTACAGCTTTGAAAAATCATGTGGTGCGTTTCAGATGTCATGATCAGCTGGAGCTCAAAGATATACATGTACTACAAACTAGAAAATCTACTACATGTTCTGGTTTAACATCCTGTCCCCTCTTCTGTATTAGTTCATGAAGAACATCACAAATGTAATTTTCACTAATCAGTCCTATACTTTATAAAACATTTCAAACCACATCATTGGTACCACTGACACTATTGATATCAGTGAGCTGGTCCCACAGACAGCTGATGTTGGCGTTAGCTGGGCTACCTCTATCAGTCATGTGATCCTGTTCATGTCAATTGTAGCGGTCCCTGCAGTCTTCTGTGCTGTCGGTTCAGGTTCCTATTTGGTTCCCCCTGTTGTTTGATGTTTCTACCTGTTCAGGTTTTTGACTGGTTCTAAAGGGAAGGCAAGGATCTAGATTGACTGTTCTCCAAGACAGAGGTCTAGAGCTGTTGGTTGTACAGGTCCAGGAGTTTTCTTGATCCTGTTACAGAGAACGTTCTAGATCTGATGATCTTAAAATAATCGAGATTATTCCATAAAGAGAGGACGTTTTTATGTTTGAAAAGTCAAAGGTCACGACTTGTTTACATTTATTATTCAACATAAATGAGTCAAAGTTATAATAGACTTTGGAGGAGTCTGGATGAAGGATCAGAACCAGAACAACAGAACCAGATCCAGTCTGGACTCTGAGGTCCTCACCCTCCCCCTCCTCCCTTCTCAGACTGAAGCCATTCAAACTGACCTGTCTGTATTTATGATCTTTGTTACAGTTTTTGGTACTCAGATCTCAGCTGACCTCGTGTGAGTGTGACTGTGTATATTTATTATTATTATTATTAATATGACTGTGTTATTATTGTTACTTTGCTGTTGTGTAGTTGTTTTTCTGACCTGCATGATTCAAGTTGTTTGGTGTTAGTTTTTCTTTGAGTCTGTAAAGTTAAAACTGTTAAACTGCACTAAGATTAAAAGTTCACATTAAAGTCTTGACTCTCTTTTCTACTTGATTTTTATTTTCTGTCACATTTTATTTTTAGTTTTACTTAAATGTGAACAGTGACCTCATATAATGACAGAGATCTGCTTTCCTCTGCTAGTACAGACATGACCTGATCAGGTCTTGTTTGTGCTCCAGATCCTCTGAAGGACATGCGGTGAGTTTAAAGTGTTTTGCCCTAAATCAGTTTTTCAAATCAAGTTTTTGCTCATAATTATTTGTTTGGTCATTACATCCCAAACAGCATTGTTTGTTGTTGCGCCACCATTAGGTGAAGTGTTGGACCTGCAGTCGAGTCTCATCATTCTGACTGAACTGAGCAGAGAAACTGTCAAAATAAAATGAAGGAAGAAAAATGTGTTTGGTAAATTACAAAATAAATGTGATTCATGTGAACCTGGTCTTGAGAGCAATACTCGTGGAACTTCATAGAGCTGGAATGTTGTTGGTGGTGCTAGAACCTTTAAGAATTGGCATTATCTGAGATACCAACAGAACCTAACAACCCCGTCATGTCAGTGATACCAGCAGAATTTAAAATACTGCAATCGTAGTGACACCAGCAGAACCTTTATAGAACCAGATTCATGTCACTTATACCAACAGGACCCTGCAGACCTTAAAATGGCAGTGGAATTAGTAGAACCTTGTTGTACTGAAGTCATGTTACTGACACAAGTAGAACCTTATAGAACCAGAGCTGTGTCAATAATACAAATAAAATGTGAGTTGTCTTAGCGGAACTAGTAGAACCTTACAGCACCAGTCATGTCAAAATGAAGGATGAGATAAAACCTTATAGATCAATCAGTTGTGTCAGTGACACTAGAAAAGCCTTATAGAACCAGAAGAACCCTATAGAACTGTAGATGGGTAAAAGTTACCTGCAGAACCTTTAAGGACCAGCATCATATCCATGGCACTGGTAGAAGCTTATAGAACTGGACATATCAGCTTAATCAGTAGAAGCTTATAGAACCAGAGTCATGACAGTGATACCAGTAGAACCTTATTTGACTAGCGCTGTACAAGGAGAACCAGTCATGCAGAACACATCTTCAGAGAACAACTGAGCGTTGGATCTTTTTTATTTTTCAGGCGATGTTCTCATGTTCTTTAAATTTTTCACAGTTGATGTTTTTTATGTTCTAATCTTTTAATCGTTCCATGCAAAAACATAAAGAACCAGACCTTCGTGTTCCTGCATCTCCATGTAAACTCATGCTTCAAACAGTCACATGACTCCTGAGGAGCTGCTGTGATTGGCTGGCAGCTGGAGGTCACATAGCCTCTCCTGTCTTTTCTTTTCCGAGCATCCTTTGCTGCGTAGCTCTACCCTCAGTGAGAGGGTCTTTTTCCGTGTCACCGTCAGAGGGCGGGGCCTCCCTACTCCTCCTAGTGACATCATCATGACACTGTTACATCATTGCTGTGATGTCATCATGCAGCATGCAACAGCATAGGAGGATCATGGGACTTCTTTCAGCCCCGCCCGGCAACAACTTGTCCCCTCCTCCTCCCTCTTGGCCCATTACTATGATGGTAAAGTCAGTCCCACCTCTTGACACTACGACTTGCCGCCCTCCGTTTCTTTATTGGTCAGTGGGGCCAAGGCAGGGTCCACCAATGAGGTGGCAGGAAACAGTTTAAACCAACCAATCACCATGTTTGATAGGTCCAGGTCATCCAATAGAATCTGAGCGGCGCCCATGAAGGATTTATGATCCATCCGACCGTAGTCCCCCCACACGATGATCTACAGACAGGTAGACAGGTAGGTTAGAACCTTCTGTTCCACACTGGGACAACACCACGACACAGACACTCAAAACTGTGGAAACATGGCAGACACCACAAGACTCAGAGAAAACAGAAATTACTACAATAAAACGACTCCATCTGCTGACGAAGATCATGTGATCAAAAGAGTCGCTACAGGACAACTACTAAATGGACATGGCAGTTACATTGTGAGATTTAAGACACTTGAACAATTATTTGATCGGATAACAACAGAGGTCACTGCTGCTGGAGGAGCAGATCCTTAAGATCCTGGGAGTTTGAAGGTTCTGCACAGTATCTTAGTTCTTCTGTACAGAGACCTCAGATGTTGAACCTGGAGTCTGATTTAGCCACTCTCCCAGTATGTGGGAGCCCCTGATGCTCCTGTTACCGCTGTGACCACTTTGGACTTTACATTCCACATTTGCTCCAGTTGTTCTACTGCTCATCAACCACCATGATGTCTGATTGGTTAGTCAGCAGCTGTTTGTCAGTCTGGAACTTGAAGTCCCACAGGATCTCAGCTCTGTTGTTCTCAACCTCTTTTGATGGTGTGTCCCTACAGGACTTGGAGACTTCACACACACACACACACTACACACACACACACACACACACACTACACACACATAGTACACTATGTATTCACCTGCAGGACTTTCCCCTCTGGATTCTCCTCAAACTGGAGCTGCTGTTGATAAAGAGGGTCGAGTGTTTTTCTCGCCAGACGAGTTCTCCTCTTCAACACACACTTCCCGTTGTCCATCAGATACACCTTCACGTAGGGAGCTACACAGCAACACAGACACACACGTTTAGTTTGGGAGAAGTGTGAACAGGTGAAACCAGGATCAGTTGGTTCTACACTTCGACTCGGAAGGAATCAAAGTCTGTTTGTGTGTCAAGTGGTTTTATCTTCAGAGGATCAGTTCTCTGTAAGCTCTCTCTCTCTCTCATGTGTTTAAGGATACATTTCTGATGTTTTGATGTCTAGCCTGCTATCATTATGTGTTCGAACTGCAGCTCATAACTCATCCACCAGGTGCTGCTGTTAATCTCATTATCTGCCTGAACTCATGTAGCTAATGGATGGAGTGGTTTTGTGGTACTGATTAATTCCAGTCTGCTGCTCGTTTATGTTCATGTAAAGATGTTCATGTCGTTCTTCTCTCATGTGATTTATATGAAATCTGCTGAAGACATAAGCCTACAAACTGATCTGATTACAGCTGATGTGACGACAGAGACAATACTGATTAAATCTGTTGGTAACACTTTATCTGAACCCCCAACTTCCTGTTTACCATTCATAGTCACTGTAGTTATAAACACATGTGTATATATATAGTTAACATATTCCTCTGTAACTGATAAAGACATACATAATAATAATAATAATAACAATAATAATGATAATATCATTTGGCATCTAAATGATATGACAGAAGAAATCGGGCAAATGTAAGTGTTTATAAACAGTATCAAAGCTGCCTGTTAATGATGTTAGTGATGTCAGTCACCTGTCATAAACACTTCATATGAGGAGTTTAAGTTAGAATATATTAAGCTCTTATACTATAATTATGTAGTGATATAAACTGTTTATGAATGAGTTACGTTCAGTTTATAGATTAAACTCTATCCAACAGTGTAGTACAGTACTCTACAGTACAGTATGGTAGTGTGTATTAGTGTGTAATATACCGCTATTACAGTAATGTGTAGTTTGGTGTAGTATTTTCACCTGGAGTGTTCTTGTTGCCTTGTTTACCCACAAGCCCCCGGGCTCGAATCACCTCCACATCCAGGCGCTCCTTTCTGTACACCATCCCGATCTGGATGTCACCTGATCAACAAACAGCCAATCAAAGGAGCTAGTGTTAGATGATGTCACAGATGACAGATAGTTTCCTCAGGTGTTTCATTGTGTTACTGATTAAAAATAAAAACAGTTCAGTGTCTCAGACCAATCACAGTCTTGATCTGTCAATTCCAACCAATCAGAGAGGAGCATTGGTGTCAGCTGGTAAAGTATAAATGAATACAAAAGGTACGTATAAATACTGATGTATAAATGTCACTATTATGAATATAAATGTTGTATGGAATGTAAACACTGAAATATATACTGGATTAAGTATAAATGTAAAAACTGATGTATCAGTATAAACCCTACATAATCACTGATGTATGCATGTAACCACAACATTTAAATGATCAAATAAATAAAACACTAATGTACAATTGTTACCACCAATATATGAATACTGATTTTACTAATGCTAATATTTAAACATAAACACTGATGCAACAATCGATGGGAAAAGTCCAACACTCAGCCGACCAATTGTGTAACTTCATCACTCACTCACATTATTTTGGAAATTGAATAATGATAAATAAATATAAGTAATAAATATAAACAGATTTGAATAACGTTTTGATTGGTCGTTACCCATGGGGGGCGTGGCCAGAGTCTGTCGTCCAGCCAGCTGGGCGGGGCCTAATCCCTCTAGGAAGCCAGTGAACTGTTGGTCTGATGCCAATTTCACTCCTGGAAATATCAAACTGAAGTGACGAGAGTGAGGAAAAAAAAATCAATAAATATAATTACAGAGAGAAAACGTAATTATTATACAGAGAAAAAAATTTATATTAAAGACAAATTACTACAGATGTCTTACAGCAGATTAAAAATAAATAGATGAATAAATAAATAAAGGAGAACCAGAGCAGTGAAAAGAGGAATGACACATTTAAAAGAGGAGTGACAGGTTAGAAAGAGGAGTTATTCATACGCTCCAGGTTTGGGGTCCTCGGCGTCGGGGTCACGACTCGGCTGTCGAGTAAAACGAGATTTAAACTCAACAGCCAAACCGGTTTCTACACTCCTTTGGACAGGAAGTCTGATCACCTTTTTCTTCTTCTCCTCCTCTGGATGGATAGAGAGAAGATGATTTTAATACAAGTCCATCAACACTGAGTATCTGCAGTTACTTCATCCTGCCTGCAGAGGGCAACAGAGAATTGTGTGAGTTGGTTTGTTGCAGTGGCTGCAGTTATGATTGTTGGTGCTCATTGTAGGACAATCTACTCTCTAACCGAACTCCTCAGTACTTATAATGCTGAACTGTATCTATTAGATTTCCAAGCGTATAGATTGCACCAGGAACATCAAAGCTCTGTGCTGTGAATGAAAACATTTTGTGTTTTTGAAGTTTAAAACAAGGTAGTCGGTGGTTTCACACTTACCCTCAGGGTTGAGCTGGGAGGCGCTCTGACTCTTCTTTCCCAGTCCGACCATTCCCATCATCCTCGCTCCAAAGCTCGAGCGTCTTTTCTTCTCATCGTCATCATCATCGTTTCTCCCCAGCGAACAGATTTCTCCACCGACACTTGAGGACTTTGTGAGAGGAGCTCCAGATGCTGGCGCCGGCCTGCAGGAGGTGAAAGAAGCAACCATACCTGTCAATCACCTGGAGGGGGAGGGGCATGAACAGACCTGTTACTCACTTGAGGGCGAGGGCCATAGACAACCGCACCTGTCAGGTACCTGATGGTGAGTTGCAAACACACACCTGTCAATCATTTAAGGTGGAGTGGGGCATAAAGGTAGGGGGAATAGATCACAGTAGTTCACAGAGGAAGTGGCTGGCGTTATACTGTTGCTATGACGACTTGTCTGACCCCTGTCGCAGCTCATTGGTTGGTCTCTTACTTTGGAGGCTCAGGCTGCTCCTCCACCTCCTCTCCCTCCTCCACTGATTCGGTCTTCTGCAACGAGGCTCCGCCTTCTGCTGCTACTTCCTGTGTTCCCGCCACCAACTCCACTGATTGGCCTTCTAGAGCCTCAGCCCGACTGTCTCAGCCAATGAGAGGATAGCACAGGAGCATGCGGACAGAAACGTGCAGCAAGAGACAGAATGATGAAGAGTAATGTATGCTAACATGCAAATTTAAAGAAACATGCTAACATAAACAGCATGTTGAAGTAACATGCATGATAATTTAAACACGAAACGCAGACATAAACATAAATAACACAAATCAATATGTTTAGAGGGAGACATGCAAGTAACATTCATCAGTGTTTAGTTATGAAGGGATAAAGAGAGACAACATGCAACAAAGACCAAACTGAAGTGTGGACGTTGTGGTTATATAGTTTATACTTATAGTTAACCATTAGGTCACCAGGACACTCAGGTCATTCCTTTTTTAACATAAATTTATTCATAAATATGCATTATGTCTCTATCAAGGAAGTATTAAAGGTATTATAACAAAATTTCGATGCATACAACCAAACTGGTATTAACCTACCCAGTTTAACCAGCCTTGACTGGGATAGTTTGTCTTTAGCAAACTACACTACTGTTGCTATATCCTGACATGTTGTGGTTGTCATGACTACATGGTGAGCCAGTTGAAAAGGTTGAAAACTCAGTAGCTCCCTCTTTCCTCACTTCTGCTGTCATGTTTACACTGGAGGCGGCGACCTCTTGTCGCCTGAAAGCATCTTAACCCTTGTTTACTGTTATTGTTATTATTATTATTTCAGCCATTTTATGCCTGTCACACACCCAACAGTGGAGCTGACAGGAGGCAACAGGAAAGAAACGGCCAGCAACATGTGGCAAAAGTTTGCATCTGGCCGGGACCCTGCAGTTTGTTGTTGGTGCTTTAACCTTTAGGGTCCTCAGAGGTTGGTTTTTTATTTTTTCAGAAGTATTCAGCAGCTTTGTGTGCATTATAAAACAATCTGTATTATTTTTATTTCATTTTTCTTTGCTGAATAACATAGACTGACAAACTAACAGTACAACAGGACAAGAGGGCATATCAACAAAATAAGCTGCTCTGTTATTGGTTCCTGGTCTCACCTGATTCTGCGGATAGATCGAGTGTCGGAGGCATTAGACATGGCCGATACATCACTGACATCACTGTCTGATGATTTAAAGGACAGGCTGTCCCTCATCTGGACAGACAGAGGACAGGTGAGCAGGTGTGTGACATCATCAGCGGTATCTGTACAGTATTGTGTAATATGTTGATGATATGTTGTTCACCTTCGATGGATCCTTCATCACAGCTGCAAAGACAGAACAGCAGAGTAAGTTTATCACAACACTCATAGTGTGTCATAGTTTCAGGTTTCAGATCAGTGATGTCACCGTTTTGAACAGTGATGCCACTGAATCCTGTGGTGATGTGTTTCAATATATTTAGATTCTCAGTTTTTGCTCAGGTACAAAAAATTCTCTTATAAAAGTGACATCAAAACATTTCTGTCCTGAACAACAGGCTGACCTAATGACAACTGATAACTTCACGTTCCTGACATCACAGAGAGTAATGACCAAACAGAAAGATCAACCAACAGTAGAGCAGAGTTTCAGCTTCACTCTCTGCTTCACATTCAAACTGACTCTGAAGACATCTGTGAAAAAACAACTGAATTGAAAGAAAAACAGAAAACATTTGCTGACCAGATGAAAATCACCTGCAACAAGCCAAAACAGGCACTTTAGTCGAAGTGGAAATTAAGTTTCAATTCAAAACAGTGGCTCAGATAGAAAATAAAAAAAGAGATAAAGTCAGGACCTCTACCTTCTCTGCTCAGTGGTAACACCTCCCCTTCACATGACAACGATGGACAGATAGATGATGGATGGATGTAAAACGAAAGAAGAAATTCAACCAAACAAGAAATGATTCACAAACAATACACTTCACACAAACCAGGACAGGAGAGAGGAAAGGATGAATAGATGGAGGGATGGGACAGATGGGTAAAACAATGTATGGATGAGGGCTGGGTATCAAACAACAGGCTTAAGTTTGGTTACATGAGTCGAGTCTACAATGACAATGCCCATTTAACAGTAATAAATCCGACATTAAAAGAGGCAGTAGGGGCGTCGCGTGGCGCAGTGGGTTACGCAGGCGCCCCATATATAGAGGCTACAGTCCTCGCTGCAGCTGGCCCCCGGATCGACTCCCGCTTCGGACGGCCCTTTCCTGCGTGTCATTCCCCCTCTCTCTGCCTCCCCATTTCCTGTCTCTCTACTGTCCTGTCCATTAAAGGCACAAAAGCCCAAAAAAAAAAAAAAAAAAAAAGGCAGTAATTTAGCATAAACCTGCAGAAATGCAACATCTATCTTCATCCACAGTCAGTATGTTTTATATCTACACTACATATATCTTGTCTTTATGCAGATGATCCACAGTTGTATCTTCCTGTCAACTCTACTGACATCAGCAGTCTGACTAAAGGACTTCTTAGAAGTGTTGGATGACTTGTAATTTTTCCATTTTAATCACTCACACACTAATATCACTATCATTATGTTTCAATTAAAAAAACACTAAATTCTCTGCACTTTGTACAAAATGCAGCTGCAAAGCTTTAAATGATTCCAGTTTACTATCCCATCATTGGGTTCCAGCTGCTCCAATAATACAGTTCAGTTCACTTATAAAGGATATTTTATTGACTCCAAGCAAAACTTCTGACCTCTTGAGGTGAAACATGCAAGGCTGCCCACTCACATCGACTCGACCGAAAAATCCCCTTTTGCAACTGTGTATTTATGCAAAATCCTCACCTAAACTGTGAAACATTAGCTAAAACACACCCTTTTATACTGCCTTTAACTGACCTGTATGAGTTATATATCTTTTACAATACTGAATTATTTTTATTTTTTTATGTAATTCATCCCAAACTACTTTTTATTCTTGCTTTTTGTTAAAATTATCACATTCTTTAATTTAGCTCTTTGTAACCATGTTCAGAAAAGCATTTTACAAATAGAGTTAATGTGTTAATAAGTTATTATTATTATTATTATCATTATTATTATTATTATTATCATACCCCAGCCCTTGGACATATGGATGGATAAAAGTAAAATCAAACCAACAAGTAACGAGTCACACAGACCAGGAGAGGAAGGTTTGGAAGAATAACTGCATGAACCAATGAACAGCAGGATGGATGTCTGACTAAATGTGTATATGAATTAAAAGTGGCACAGACCAGAAATTCAAACCAACTCTAACTACTGCACTTCCTCTAATCAACATCTCTCAGGCGACAAACATGTCACTTTCTCTACGAGCTACCTGTCTGCCCCTAGGTGGGTGTGGCTAACAGCTGGTACATTACCGTTGGCAGTTTTTTTCTGCTGGTCCTCCCATGTGACCTCTACATTACGACAGACAGAGAGAGGTGATTGGTCAGACTACAGCAGCACTCTGAACACTCACTCTGTTCAGGTGATCCATCTGACACTAAACCAGTTAAACCGTCAGGGGTCAAATCCCAGTACTCAACAACACCGGATCAGTTTACGAGCTGACAAGGATCACTTGAACGCACCATCAGATCAAGCTGAGACTGACTTGCCTTTTCTGGTCCCTCCAGGTGTCGCTGAACGTCTGTCTGGCTCTGACACGCACAGGTGTGATGACATCAGCATGATGTAACCAAGATGAACACATGAATGAATGAACAATGATGATGAGGACTGAGATATCCAAATGTGACTGCAGAATTATCAGCTGGACTGATCTAGTTGACAGACTGGTTCATCACTATACACACCAAACTTGTGATGTACACACCTGGAGTCTGAGGGGGCGGGCCTGGTGAGGGGGCAGGTGAGGGGGCAGGGGTAGGTGTGGGGGCAGGTGTTGGAGCAGGTGTAGGGGGAGGGTCTGGTTGAAGAGGTGGCTGTGATTGGACTACAGGAGCTGGCGGTGGGGCTGGAGCAGTTGTTGCAGCTGGGGGTGGGGCTGCAGCAGGTGCTGGGGGCAGGACTTTGACTTGGACCGGAAGTGGGGGAGGGGATGCCACAGATGCAGGTGCAGTTACAGGCGCAGGTACGGGTGCAGGCACAGGTGCGGGTACAGGTGCAGGTGCACGTGCAGGGGCAGGGGCAGGGGCAGGGGCAGGGGCNTGCAGCAGGTGCTGGGGGCAGGACTTTGACTTGGACCGGAAGTGGGGGAGGGGATGCCACAGATGCAGGTGCAGTTACAGGCGCAGGTACGGGTGCAGGCACAGGTGCGGGTACAGGTGCAGGTGCACGTGCAGGGGCAGGGGCAGGGGCAGGGGCAGGGGCAAGGGCAGGGGCAGGGGCAGGTGCAGGTGCAGGTGCAGGGGCAGGGGCAGGGGGTTGGTGAGGTTGGATGGGTCCAGGAGGAGGCGGGGCTTGGATTCGTATAAGAGGAGGTGGTTGGTGATTGACAGGGGGAGGGGCTTGTTTGTGGGTAGTGGGAGGGACTAGAGCTGCAGTTGGTGCTCCTGTGGTGGGCGTTGCCAAAACTGATGGACAGTGAAAGATTAAATAGAAAATGAAAAAGAAAAGATGATGAAAAATGAATGAAAACAGACAGTGAGGTGAAGAATGATGACCTGTTTCAACAGCTAACCAATCACATGGCACAATCCCTGAGAGGGCCCTGATCTCTCTAATCCTTCTTTCTAAAGTTGTTACTTTAATAGGGTTCTGGACTTGCTCCCAATCTGTCAACCCATCTAGGATGAGTTTGTCTAGTAGCAAAACTAACAACAATTGCCAACGACAACATAGCTCCCAAGGTCATGGAGCTACTCAAAACCCTCTACCACATTAAAGTGGTGATTCTTGGAGGGATCCCCCAGGAGGAGCAGGAGGATTTGGTTAATAAAAATCATGTATGTGCTACTTTTCTTAGCCAGCTAACCATCAGGACCAGGATCTCTTAAAGTGGCTAAAAATAGGTGACTGTATGAAAAGAGATCAGGTAGTGGGATGCAGCCAGGAGGACAATGATGGAAGTGGAGTTTAAAGTAGACAGAGATAAGATATCCTGGGACAGAAACCTGGACCTGCTGGAGGGACTACATCTACCAGCATGCCAGAGGATCACATAAGAGACACATAATGTGATGAATAAGTAGAATATTCCTTAAACAAATCCCAACCTGTTACCTCCAGTCAATAGTTTGATATCAGATCAGTACATGACTACAAATACTATAAAGTCTTACAGAGAAGCAAGGCTGTTCTAGTTCTATGCTGAAGGAACTAAGAGCAGGTGAACTGTTACACACAGATCGCAGATCTCTGTACCTGTTTGCACAATGTCAGAGGGTTCTCCTCCATCTGAAAGACACAACTCACTGTTAGACCACTACAACCACCAGGGAGCCATCTCTTTCCGTCTTTATGCCGAGGATACACAGTTATATGTCACAGTAAACCCCAATAGACTGTCCACCATAATAGACAAAATCCTCATCATTTGCCCTAACACTCTGCATTAAGATTTTACTTGTTACCTTTAGAGCAGTTTGCCGCTCCTGACTGTTTCATTATAAACCTGAGGTTGTAAGGTAGAAACCTGTTCACCTGTCAGACTGAAGAGGACCAAGCTTTTACTGATAAACCCTGAAAAACCTGCCCAATGAACTCAGTAGCTGTCTGGTTGGTTGGAGATATCACCTGACAAGTAACTAATATCTCTAACAGACATACTTCTGTCCAGAGCTCCTTTGGGCGGGACAGCAGGCAACTGGCGTCCTCGGCGGCTGCAGACCGGCGTTCCTGATGGACTCGTCTGGGTAGATCCGCCTCGAGGGTTAGCCCTGTTGGACAAAGACAGAAATCAAACTACCAACCTGACAGGAGGGAAGTAAGGTCAAAGGTCAGAGGTCAAAGTGGTTGTAGTCATTAGTAATGTAAGATTAAGGCTTTTATTTATGTAGGTTTGTGCTGGACCATGCTACACTGTTTGCTGCAGGTGAGTGGCTATAACATACTCTGTGGCCCTGAGAGGTGTCTCCATGGTTACAGGGACTGATTTGATGAGCAGGGTATTTGGCACAAAGAATCTGCACTGTTCTCCATGTCTTGTCCATTTAGCTGATGAAGAACCAGGACTGATTTAAGTCAGTCAGAACTGTGAGCCATGTTGTCCTGTTGCTGCAGTTTCAGGCTGAATTCAAAACGTCCAGACTTCTCTGAGCCTGCAAACTCACAGAGTGACAGTCATGTTCCCACAAATGCACAAATTAATTTCCACTTCCTGCTCTGACCACTTCTTTTAATTAATTTCCATGGAAACAATTCAGGTCAAAAGGAAGAGAGACCGTCTGCAGGGGCTCAGTCTTTAAGTCTGCAGGTCTAGATTCAGCCTGACTTCACTGCAGGACAACGACCTGACTACAAAAGTTTAGTCTAGTCTAATCTCTTCAGAGACTCATGCAGTGTAACAACAAACAAGCAACCAACAAATAAACAACAAACACCAGCATGCTGTTAAAAAAACATGAATAGGAGCAAGAAACAAAAATAATATGAAGGTGAACATGTGCAAAAGAAAAGATTAATTCAACCCAACAGAAAAGAAATCATGTGACTGAGAATCGAAGACAATGACAGGTTTTCAGTGGTGTGATGTCACTGTGAGCCAACCAGGAAGTAGGACGAGGGGTTAAGACACAAGGGGTGTGGCCAGTCTTCAGACTGACGTCATGCCTCTCTTTGAGGATAAAAAAAACCACAGTTGGCAAACACCATGGAGACGGAGGTGGTTTCTGATCGATCAGTTGTCGGTCACCTGGTAAGGGCAGGTGAGGAGGGGGCAGAGCGTCTGGGCCTCAGGTGGACAGAGTCAGCTCGGTCCGTGGAGTGCGAGCGTGTGTAGACGGGTCGGTCCACCATCGCTCGCTGGTCAGCTGACCGAGAGCGACTATAGTAATCCCGCCGGTCCATCCCCCGACTATACCTGCACATCACCATGACAACCATCACCCACCGTCACCATGACAACCACTGCACCTGCAAGACGGGTTAATTAGTCACATCTCTGTGAGAATCAGGCTGCTGTCAGCAGATCAGCTGGTTGTACTGTACCTGAGGAGGGTTAGGGTAAACAGGAAGTGTAAGGCATTGAAGGCTGGAAATCAAAAACCCAAGAAGAAGAAAACTGAACACTACATTTCCCATCATCCATGGTCATCATCCTAGGGTGAACAGTGTGAGGTCAGCAGCATGTTCCCCTGAGAATAAATTGTAGTTACAATGACACCCTCACAGAGCTGTTCTTTAGACCAGACCATCTTCTAGACGAACCAGGTCTTTGATCCTGTAAGGGATCTTTGAGTTGAGTTACTGAGCCTAGCTCAGATGGAGATACCACCAGAACTCTGGTCTCAGTTACAAACTGGACACACTGTGTCCTCTTGATATCAAGAGTTTGGACTACAGATAAACCCAGAGAGCAGATTTGAACTTGGTGTACTCTGGACTGAGAAAGAACTGTAGGTTGGATGGAGGGGCGGAGGAGGAGGAGGTGACACTGAAAAACTACATTTACACCTGAAAACTGTCTGTCAGTCAAGTTACCTCAGCAGTTCTTCGTCGTAGGCGTCAGGTTCGTAGGGGAAGTCTGGGATGAAGTCCTGACTGAAGAACAGAAAGACGTCACAACTCTAGAACATAATGAACTTAAAAACTTTATCCTCTACACTACATTACCCATAAACCCCGAGGCTCACCTGTAGTCCTCACAGCTCCCATTCATCATGTGGTTTGTCCAGGGAGTGTGGTTCGGACCATTAAAATATCTAACGTGTGGAGACGAGAATGTGATGACTTATCCAACAATTACTGCAACTGATGACACTGATGATAGGTACTACTACCACCACCACCACTACTACTACTGCTACTACTACAATTCTTCATCCAGAAGCTGCATTACCTGTCATGAGAATCAAGAGAGTTGGCAACAGACATTCTCCTCAGTGATCTCCTGAATACACAGAAACAGACAGTCAAAAACAACTGTACTACAAACTGTGTACAACCAGGAATAGAACCTGGATTCAAACCAGCACTATAACCAATACAAGCAGTATTACTCCAACAAGTAGCCGTAGTATAAACAATGATGAAACTATAACCTGCATCATTACCTGTACTAATACCTGAATGACTTGAACTACACACAGTACTGAAACCAGTGCCAAGACTAGAAGTACAACTAGGAATGCAACCAGGACTAAAACTAGTACCATATCCAGTAATCAAACCACTACTACAAGCATTACTAACCAGTATTACATCCTGTAGTAGTAGAATAGCCAGTACTGAAAACCAGTACTAAAACCTGTACTTTGATCAGGTCTACAACCAGCACTAGTACCAGTATGACCATTACTAAAACCAGCAGTACAACCAGAACTAAAACTACTGCTGTGTCTCTGTTCATGTTCTGCAACATGCAGTGAACTACAGGTACCTGGATGGTTCACTCAAAACAAACAGTTGAGTGAAAACGACTCACCCCCAATGGTCGCCATCTCGGCTACATAGCAGAAGGCTAGGGGCCACCAACGTGTTTTCAAACTAAACAGTGAGTGTATTTTTGTACACAGTGTACTACATGTCAGTATAATGTGTACACAGCATACTACATGTGAGTGTACTCACTGTATTTGAGACACAGCACTGGAGAACAACTAGCACTAAACGGTATTACGAGTACTAAAACCAGCAGTACTACCAATATTAGTAGTAATTGTATAACAAGTGCTATAACTAGTATACAATGTATACGACAAGTACTAGACTTGTACTAAAACCAGTTCTACAACAGAACTACAACCAGTCCTAGAACCAGAACTACAACACAACACCTAGTCCTGACCTGGGACCTGGTTCATACCTGGGTCAGACCAGTTCATACAGTCTTTGCTGCATATTGTTTGATTGGTCCTGCTGTAGCAAAGGGGCGGGGTTTATCTTACAGATGTATCTGATACTGACTCCCTGCTGCGATCTGATAAGATGATATTCTCCTTGCACACATTATCATACAGTGTCCTACAGTGGCTGTGTGCTGGTTGGCTGATGTCCAGGTGACCCAGGTCAGGTGTTGTGCTGTGTGTTGCCATGGTTACCTGTTCAGGCTGCTGTACTGGCCGGCATCAGAGTATGCTCGGCTCAGTTTGGAGCCTCGCAACAGCCGCACGGCATCTTCCCGGTACAACGGGTACAGAGGGTTGCCACTGGCAACCACAGGTTGCAGGTCAGCAAAGGTCAAAAGAGATCAGTGGGCAAAGAGGGTCAGAGATCAGCAGAGGTCAGAGTGGTCAGAGAGGTCAGAGGTCAGGGTCAGGAGGTGAGTAAAATGAAGACCTTTCAGAAGGCTGATTGGATGCCTGGACACTATCAGGTAAATCAATTCAAATGCATAAAGTTTTTTCACGTTTCAGTCAAACTGGAAGAAACACATTTAAACCCAATAATAAAGTCCCTGTCAGGTCCCAGTAACCTAATCTCATTTCATCCTCTCATTGGTCCCCTCTGGTCTCATCTCAGTTTATCATCTTATTTAATCTCTTTTATATCTGGTTTTACCTACACCTATCTCCTCTCACCTCGTCTCCTCTAACTTCTTCTGGTCTCATTTGATTTTACATATAATCTAATATCTACTCATTGCATATTCTCATCTCATTTCCTTTCACTCAATATCATATTGTCTTATTTCATTGCATCGTTGTTTTATTTTTATATTAACTCGTTACGGTCTCTCACCTCAACCTCATGTCATCTGGTCGTCTGGTGTTTTCTCTCATTCTTATCTCAATTCATATCATCCTAATCTCTCCCCATCTCTCATTATCATAAATTATATATACTATATATATTATATTAAACACACTCACACAGAATGCGCTCAGTAGCGGCTGGTTACCTGTGAGGAGGCGGTTGGCTCGGTGACCGAGACCTCATCCTGACCATATCCGATCGAGAGCAGTGATTGGACGACATCACCTGCTCCGGCACTGAGAGGGTGGAACTGTGGAAGTCTCGCCCGTTCTGTCTGTAGTCTGCACACAAAGAAACAGAGCGGGAGCTCAACCATCAACCCTGACTGAGTGCTTTGCAGGACCCAGTCAGACCAGCTTTTATCACAGTCAAACTTCAGGGTGAAGTCAGTTAATTTCAGCAGAAACACCATGAGCACTTTTATTATCCAGGAGAACACTGAGAACACTGATCAGATCATTAAAGGTAATATTTTAAATGGGAATTTAAAGTGACAGTTCTAAAACTAGCTCTGTTTCACCAGGACATGCAAATGAATTTCACTTTGATGTCGTCTGTTCAGACTGGGCTTTAACAATAAGCTGCAGGTGTTGCAGTGTATGATGGGACATGAAGTTCACCTGAAATCACCCCGATGCCGTCTTCACAGTCGTAATCTGAAAACTCACTGTCACTGATCCTCTGAGACCCTGCAGAAAGAACGAAAGGTAGAGATACACAGAGACACAGAGAGAGAGAGAGAGAGAGAGGATGTTTAAGCCTGTAAGCAGCTCCTCTGTAATCCTCTACAGGAAGGTCAACTAATCTGACACAGAAACAGAAACAGTACAAGGAGATAAGAAACAACTGAGTTTACACATCAACATTAAAAGGACAGATACACACATTTCACTTGAGTTTACCCCTCAGACTCCCCTGAAACCTTTCAGAGATCCTTTGGACCACATCAAGGACTACTGAAATACCCCTAACCACTTCTAGGACCTTTTAAGAACTACTGGACTGGAGCTACTTAAAGATTGGTGAAATGGCAACAAGCACCTTCAGAACTCCTAACAAGGATTCCTAGATCCCCAACCAAGACCACTGACTTTAAATAGTCCCTTCGATACCATCTACCTCTCAAATATCCACATGAACGCCTACAAGACACATGGAAACCCCTATGGATTATTGGGGAATTTAGAATTAAAAAAAACTGGGCCACTTCAAGGATTACAGACCCCTGACACTGATTTCTAGAATCCCAACAAGGACCTGTGAAACTCAGTAGTCGCTTGGATCCTCTCAAGGACCTCTGAAGTCCATATAAATCCTTCTGAAGGACTCAAGCCCCCTTAAAGATGGTTACGGTCTGAATTTCCATCAGTCTTTCTGAGAACACTGGCCCACCTTAAAAACTACTACTTCTAGAAACTTTTAAGAACTTCTGACATTGCATTTGTAGGGTTTCTGCATGCACATCAATCTCTCAAACCCCCTGGTGTTGTCTTGGAGACAGCTGGAATACTTGGACCCTAAGACCTCTAGGATACTGTCAGTCATCTGCAAAACCGCCACAATGATCTCTCCAATGAACATCTCCAAGACACTTATAAAGTTTCTAAAAGATTTGTGAAAATCTAAAATGAAACACTGGGAACCTCTCAAGCACATCCAGAAGCTCAATACAAAAAATCTGGAGGCCCCATCAAGAACCACTGAGACCTTACTAAGGAACTTGAAATCCCAACAACCCCACAAAGACCCCCCAGTCTTTAAGACAACTGCAAACCCATTAAGGAATCCTAGAACCAATTCGAGGATTCTCAAGAACATCAAAGACTGGTAGTGTTCCACCTTAGTGTCCGCACAAGTACCTGTGAATTTCTATTCAAAACCACTTGGATCCTCTCGTGGACCTTTGAATTAAAATTAAGGAGACCTGGTCAGTTCTGTCACTGCAGTTTGAGAACAAATGGAGATAGATTATATTACTGAATGGTTCCAAACATGAAAATTCAGAGGTGTACATATCCTGCCAAACACAATGAATCCTCCTTTCAGCACGGTTTACAGAAGAAGCTTGTTAATTTAGCATCACATGGGGAAAAGCCATAGGAGTTAGCATTAGCTACAGTTGGTCAGTAGCCACAACACAAAAGCATACACAGAGCTGTTGTTACCTGAGTTATAGTAAGGACCTTTGTCTGGAAAAGCATCACGGGAGGAAAGTAAAACAAATCAACAGATGAGTCAAAATTAAAAACAAACAAATGAAAGAGAAAAACACACAAACAAAAACTTTACAGAGGCAGTTATAGATTAAACACAGCTGTTGTTGAAAATGTATTCATGTTGTCAGAGTTACACAGAGGATCAGTGTGTATTATCAGAGTGTGCGTTCTCACTCTGCAGCCTCCTGCTGGGCTGACTGTGTTCAGGCTGCAGTCCTCTCCTCTGCAGGTAGGGGGAGGCACTGGGCAGCGGCAAAGAGGAAACATCATGAAGCTGCAGTTTGTACCAGTGAGGCTGATCGTCTAACAGAGCCGACTCCAGTTCTATCAGCACCTAAAGAGACAGAGAACATACAGAGAGAACACATGCAAACTGGTTCTTAGAAGATTCTCATTTAAGATGACTACATCTGAAGCATGAAATGCTCTATGTTTTCTGAATGTTCTACATGTGTTCTGACCTCTCCCAGGAACTGGCTCTCCTCCTCCCGCACCCGGGCCTGATCCCAGACCGTCAGCTCCAACATCCGTTCTCTGAAGTCCCGCTGGTGGACCGGAGAGTACATGAAAGTCTGGTTCCAACGAGGCTCCACCGACTTCTTTACTGTCTTCGTCCTCCGCTTACTCTTATCACTGCAAGGAAAGGAAGGGGCAATTAACAGCCAATCATAGAGCAGCAACCACTTTTAGTTATAAAGAACCAGACAAGAGGTTCTGCACGTTATACAGCAGAACCAGATCAAACTGGGCCTAGGAGAATAATATCTTTGGACATGTCACATATACCTAAACCAACACATGTTCTTATCATCAGCTGACATGTCCTGGTCCATTAAATCTCTGGACTCTGACTCACTCTTTTTTTTTTTTACCTTCTGTCTGGCAGGAAGTAGATCTTGACATAGGGGTTTCTGGGTCGGCCGTCATCTTGGACAGGAAGTTCTTTGGCTCCAAGAACCGTGACGATCAGCTGATGACCGACTTTATCATACCAGAGCTTCACCTGTAAAAACAGATTTTAAATCAACAACAGCATTAAACACAAACCCCAAATAGCTGTAGAGGAACCCAGTAGACCAACACAGGAACCCACGGCAACAGGAGGAGAACTCAGCAGAACAGTGAAGAGTTCAACCGTGCAGAAAGGTGCAGACTTCGATACAACCAAGGGAACCCAAAGAGTACAATAGCACCAAATAAGATAGCGTAATAGAACAAAGTAGAACCCTGTTTAACTGCAACAGAACCCTCAGAATTAGAATAATGCTATAGCATCAAGGTGCATCCTGTAGAACAAATAAATCTATACCCAGAAAAAACCCATAATGTAGAGCCCTGTAGAACAGTGGGAGAACCCTTGACAACAGCAGATGAATGCAAAAGAACAGTAAAGGAGCCACAAAAGAAAAAAGGTGAACACAATCAAACAGAACCATAGAGAACCATAGAGAACCTTATAGAACACAAGCCCTATCATTTGGAACAGTGGCTGAGGTCAATGAAACAGCAAAAGAAACCCAGAAAACTGAAGTAAAACCACATAGAACAGAAGCAGAAACCCTGGTAACAAGAGAGGAGCCCTACAGAACATCAGAGAACCACAGAGAACAGATGTGGAACCTAACACAATATTAGGAGTCTGTGGAAAAGAGAAAAAAAGGGAACCTTCTTGACCAGAACTTTTAGAAAACAAGCAAAGTCCAACATACCCTCATCAGGATAGAACATAGAACACTATAGAATGATAGAAGGAAGCAGAGAACTGCAGAACAGAGGAGAAACCAAAGAGAACAGTGTTGAAACCTATAGAGTACCAAAGGTCTGGGAACAGAAACTGAATAGTTATGGAAGCCAGCAGGAAAGCATAAAAACTATTTGCTGTCCCTAGGGGTTCTGGCTCTGTTCCAGAGGAACCCTATAGAGCAGAACATTGAGAACAGAACCAAATCCCTTCAGAGCAGTCCTAGAACCATGTAATACCTGAGATGGATCATTTGAACAGTGGCACAGCCTGACCCAGAACCCTCAGAACTTAAGTAGAACCCAAAAGATGAGAGGAAGAAACCCTGATAACAACATAGGAGCCCTACAGAACAGGAAAGCTCAGTGGAACAGAAATAGATCCTTATTCAACCGTGACAGAACCTTCTACTACTGACACCAGGTCCTTTGTCACCAGTACGGGGGGACGGAGCTATGACATCACTAACACTAATTAAAAACTAAGGACTCTACAAGGGCTCAATTACTAACAGTATCTAGCTGCTCTGTGTTCTACAGTTTACCTGAATTCGAGGAACCAGAGGACGCCTGTTCACAGTCTGAAACACACACACATCACCATGGAGATGGCTGTCAACTGACTGCTGATAGGCTGTGGACTATGTGGCAATGCAGTGCATGATGGGCAAACTTACAGAGACTTGTCCGGACAGCATACTGGGGCTCATGGGAGATGTAACAGAGATGGACGGACCAATTTTCTGAGAGTCGAAGGAACTGGAACCTGAACATAGAACATACAGAATAACTCATTTATTTTATAAAACAGAGAACAGGTCCAGTTCTTACAGACTAAGATTGGTTTTGAGTCTGTGGTGGTTTTGAGTTTGCAGTAGTTTTGTTGTGTATTAAACTCACTGGAGTCCAGCTGGACATGGGAGCTCTCTGTTGTTCTGGAAACATCTCTGAGGAACAAAAATCACAATGTGTTAACATGATGTTCTAACAGAACTAATCAGGATTGTTTCTGAATGTATTTGAGGTTGTTTCTACTGACTGATCGGCAGATCCAGATGTATTAAGTCTGTGGGGTGGATGTGGGTCAGTTTAGGATTCATGTTCATAGTGAACAGTCCGCAGAGCTCTTACTCAGGTAAATATGTTTGTTTCCTGTCTCCCTCTCTGATTAACCACATCTGGAGATCTGACAACATTTTCTCTCATAGTTTCAAAACCCCAAGAATCCTCAGTTTAACTCTATTTGGATTTTCCTCCGACAGAGTATTTACAGAGTATTTCTAACATTTTGTCAATTTGTGAATACTCAACAAACAGCAGGTAAACCATTTAATGGTTGGGGTTAGTGAAACAGTTGAATTGTTGAATCTCAACTAGGAAGTGTTACTGAATCCTCATTAATATAACCTGTGTGACCTTTGACCCACCCGATGAGTCGGGACACCACCAGTTCCACCTGTGGTTCTGGTTTGGACTCCAGGATGATGTTATATACTTCGTTAAACGAGGCTCCCTGAAGAGCCCGACCATTCCACTCCAGAACCTGATCACCTGAACCACAGAGAGGAAGAATAAGACGGAGATCGTGTCACATGTGATTGGCTATAATTAACATGTGATGCACTAAAGGCATTTTCTCTCTCAGGGCCTGTTCCACAAAGACAGATCATCACCATGGTAGCCGGGGTAGATCCCCATGGTAACCTGTGCTGCAGGTTGAGCACAGAGGTTCAGATCAAAACCTGACGTCTATATCTTCTGCTCTTTCTGTCTATTGTAAACTCTTTTGTCCCTGTCAGCTTCCTGTAAGATCTACCCCGGTTACCATGGTGATCTACCCAAGTTAAAAGTGAGCCAGCTCCATGATACAGGAAAACCAAAGAGAGCTTGATCCACGCCCCTGGAGTCCAGCATGTATACCTGGTCTCAGGTGTCCCACGGTGTCAGCCAGACTTCCTCTCTTCACCTTGGTGATGAATGCACAGAGACGACCGGACTCCGTCATCTTCCCACCGACAACCTGAAAACACTCTGCCCATGAGCAAGGCATGAAACTCAACACTGAGGTCAGAGGTGCATAAACAGGAAGAAGAGATTTCATCACCTTGAGTCCCAGCAGCGCCCCTGTATCCGCGGGAACTGTCCCATCCTTCATCCTCTTGTTCAGCAGAATTCGACCAATTAGACGCTCTCCATCCTTGGATGGTTGCCATGTGACTGGTTGCTGAGGAGTCACAGCGGTAAACATGTGTGGTTGCTTAGCAACAGCAATAATATCAAACAACAAAAGTTTAGTCCAATCAGCTTTAAGATGAATCTGATCAGATTGATTGAATTAATATTCAATACATTTATCATAAAGAGAAAACCATACATACATACACACACACACACACACACGCACACACACACACACGCACACACACACACACGTAGAGAGAAAATGTTTCTGTCTTCTTCCCAATCATATCAAACTCAAGTTGATTCAAGTCGTGCGAGTGAGGGAGTGTTCAGACCACATACACACTAATGTTGAGTGATCTGTGAGATTGCAGCAGGTGATAATATCACCTGAGATTGTGTACAGTTGTCTGCAAAAGTTTCCACCCTGCAGCTGCAGTCGTCATGGGGTGGGGGGCTTTGTCAGACCTGCAGTTTTTTCAGAGTACATAAATCTGCTATCAGTCCGCCTCTCTTGGTAGTCTTCCTTTTGTGTCCTTTCCTTTTGTTGGGGACACTGTTGATGTACTAAATACTATTATAAATTCAGATAAGAACAAAGTGACATCCTGGTCACCTCTGATGTGCAGAACCTGTGTACATGCATATGTGATCTCTCAGCCATTACTTCATCAAATACCCAGACAGGATTTAACCTCCTCGTGAGTTTATCTTACAGTCTCACCATGAACTTCTTTAAGTACTTGGATTCATATCACTTGTGATCCTACGGTACAGCTGTGGGCAGTGCACCATCCTGTTTGTTTTGTTATGAGTCTATAGAAGAGAACTTCATTTATAACCCAAAACACATTTCTGTCTAAGACTGGTTTACATGTAGAGGTGATAGAGGAGACTGTCTGTCTTTCACTGTGGACCAGCAGGAAACCTTTGTCCACGTTCTCTACCTTACACTTGACAGAGGAAACAACATGACTATAGAGACTACTGTCTGTCCTAAACCCTGAGGCAGAACCACACTTCTAAAGCTGAGTGAGACCATCCTAAACAGTCAATGACAATATTCCTATTGTTCAGTTCATGAGATCACACAGAAACTGCAGCACTGTAACAGATTTACAGTGAAGGGTTAATCTCCATCATGTATCTCTCAACCTTTCAGACGGCTCTACCTATACAGAGGAACTCTGCTACAGTCACCACCACTCCCTCTCTCCTCTGACAGGCAGGGTCAGAAACATTCATGTCCTCAAGGTGACCCATCTCTAAATGATATCAGCTCTGAGCCTCCACTGATCACCTTTAAACATGACCTACAGTTTTAACTCAACCCAATAACTCAACAGACACCAAAAGACTTAACACATCCTCACGCTACAACAAACACTCCATGAACTCCTTCATTAACTGCAGCAGCACTCATGTAGTCTGTATGTTGTGGTGTGGTTCATGTCTGACGAACAAAAATATTCACATGTCTCAACATAAGAACACAGCATAACACATGGATGTTGCACACAGGCTGAGCTCGGTTCTGCAGTGTCACTGAGGTTATATGTCCTCTGGAAAACAGTGGAGTCCTCTGGACCTGAATCTGGTTCCTGTGATTTCTCATACTGACAGATGTTTGCACTTTATCTTTATGACTGTCAGTGTTACAGGTCTGTGCTGGTGTTGGGGGTGTGGCACTCAGACACTATGGTAACTCACACCTTTGGATTCAGTAACCAATAGATTTGAAACATGTTCAACCTGTGCTCTCATTGGCTCCTCACGTCTTCATCCACTGTGACTCTGATGAAGACACAATGTTGTTGAAGTGTTACAGCCTGTGAATGACTGTTTGAACCACTGAGAACCACCTGATTCAGCTGAACCTGGTTTCATTATTATTATTATTTTATATATATTATTTTATTATTTATAATTTTTAAATATTTCAAATATGAAATTTTCCCAAACTTTTGCAGACCCTTGTACCTGTCAGGTTCTAGAGAAAACCAGTGATGCTACACAGGTGAAGAAGGTGGACTAAGGAGAAACCAGAGAATCTGAATCTATAGCTCTAAACCCCAAGATGCTGACTGGTGACAAGCAGTGCAGAGTCCTGATTCGCCCTCTAAGCTGTGACATCATCATTCAAGGGAGGAGAACAGAGTAGAACCTCGTCGTCCTCACCTGTACCTATTCTTCGCTCAGCGCGGTGCCACTGCAGCCAATCAGCTTCCTCCTCTGACCTACACACCCCGCCCATCTCACTCTGCTGCAGCTTCTATGATTGGTTCGGAGTAGGCGACAGGAAAAAAGCTGTCACCTCATTGGCTAGTTTCCTATTTCTCCTCCTACTGTTGCCTGATAGGGTGTGTGTGTGTGTGTGTGTGTGAGTGTGTATGTGTGTGTGCGTGGGGGGGGGGGGGGGGGGGTTAGTCCTACCATAGACATGGGCGCAGGCTCGCCATGCCAGGAACCATGATCCCACCATTGGCTGTCCATGTCTCCTGGCAACGAGACATCCAGAAGGAGAGGTCAGAGGTCAGATATGATTAAAAACATAAAGTTGGACTGAGTTCATCAGAGACTTTTGCTTCCTGCCACTGTCTCAGTTCTCTGCAGATACAGTCTGTTTAAAGGACATCTGTGTGACATTTCAACCTGGTATAGTTCACCTGTGTCTGATGCGGACATGTCACAGTATAGAAAACATTGACAAACCAGGTCATAAATTCATGACAACACCAGTGTTACTGATACAGCGGACACTTCACGAGAAAACGTGTGTCAGCTCTGTATCTGCTGAGCTTTTCCCTTCGACACCAGATCCTCCATCACAGTCCTGTTGGTCGTCACGTGATCAGACTCGGCCCCTCTGTGATGAGATGGAGACACTTTCGGGTTATAAATTTTGATAACTAGTCTTTTTTGGATGAACGTGGACAAAAATTAACCAAATTGGTTTTATGTCTGAACACTGAGTAACATTGTGTAACACCGAATACCATGGCAACCTGAGTCAGTTGTAGAGATTCAAGGAGACAAGGACTCACACAAGACAACGTACATCAAAGCAAGCAGATCCAAACAAATCATTGACTCTGAGTCCAACCAACAGTAAACACGGACTGAAGAAGCCCATGTTGCCATGTTGGCTGAAACTACAACACATGTCCTGATGGTAAAATCACCACCTTGTAATTTTGCGCTCTAAAAACAACTAAATTACACAAACTAGGATGAAATCACTGAATTTCATATCCCACAATGCAACACTCAACAGAAATGAAGGAGCTGGGTTCTGGATGAGGGTCTAGACAATTAGGAGGAGGGGTTCTGGATCTTGGGGGGTCTGAAGCGTCCACCACAGAGTCCCAACATATCAGCTGTAATCCGTCTTTACACTGAGTCAAAGCAGCTTTAGACACTCACACTCTTCAGTACTCACAGGTCTGACTGAACGCCATGAAGGAGGAGGCTTCAGCAGAGGAAGAGGAGGAGGATGAAAAGGAGGAGATGAACCTGCAGCTCCTCCTCCTCACTGTATCTGTGGGTGCTGTTTGCCCTGAGCTCTGCCTGCAGGCTGCAGAGCTGTTCATTCCTGTCTGTAATCAGATTAACTGAGTCAAAACACCAAGTCCATCTTTTGTCTATGATTTCATTGTTAACTTGTTAGAGAGCTAGCTTCACTCTCACTCAGACAGCTGATAGTTCAGAGTTAGCCTGGTGTTAGCCTGGTGTTAGCCTGAGCTGCAGCTTGGCGTGCAATTAGTCTGGAGGTCTGAAAATGATCTGGTTAGTCAAACTGTAAACTGAAAGCTGGTGGAGGTTAGCAGGTTGGGGCCAACACTGCACCCTCAACCCTGCTACTTTCCTCCCACCTTTCTACCAGATCAGAGTTGCTGAAATCCAGCAGATCACCAAGAAGTCCAGAAGATCATCAAGAAGTCCAGAAGATCACCAAGAAGTCCAGAAGATCACCAGATCACCAGGGATCCAGCAGTTGCAGAGACGTTGATCAACGCTCTCTATCAAGTGTGCAGACATATTGTTGTCTGGTTGGTCAACAGTTGCGTTGCCTCCTGCAGTCTGTGCTTCTATTCTTATGTCCGCAGTGATTCCTGAGGCAGGCTGGTAATCCACACTCTCCTCTTTTAATCCAATTGAACAGAAGTAGAGACAGTGATTCTGCAGCCCAGCAGTACAAGAGCAGCCAGGTGAAGGTGTTCCTCTCTAATCTGGATCAGACATTCAGACCAGTTCTCCAGGATCCTCCAAGGTTCTCTGGGCCTGGACCAGTCAGGTTTGATGGTCTGTTGAAGGTCTCCTGGTTCTTGTTTAAGACTAGGTGTATTCAGGGCAGTGGCAGCAGAGACTCTGAGCTGCTCTGTCACCTCCAGACCTGAGAGGAGGAGCCAGGAACCCTCTGAGCCAATCAAAGCTCATAATCTCTGACCAGGTGACATCTGGTCCAATGACATGGAGGCAGCAGATTAACTCGTCAGCATGACGTCTGATTTCCTGAGAGATGACCTGCAGCAACTGCAACACGTTCAGAAGCTTTATCTACATCACGTTAAGCAACTTCATCTGCAACACATTCAGCAACTTCACCTGCAACACATTCAGCAGCTTCATCTGCAACACGTTTAGCAACTTCATCTGCAACACGTTAAGCAACTTCATCTGCAACACATTCAGCAACTTCACCTGCAACACATTCAGCAACTTCATCTGCAACACATTCAGCAGCTTCATCTGCAACACGTTTAGCAACTTCATCTGCAACACGTTAAGCAACTTCATCTGCAACACATTCAGCAGCTTTAACTGCAACACGTTAAGCAACTTCATCTGCAACACGTTCAGAAACTTCATCTGCAACACGTTCAGCAACTATATCTGCAACACGTTAAGCAACTTCATCTGCAACACATTCAGCAACTTCATCTGCAACACGTTAAGCTACTTCATCTGCAACACATTCAGCAACTATATCTGCAACACGTTCAGCAACTTCATCTGCAACACATTCAGCAGCTTTAACTGCAACACATTTAGCAACTTCATCTGCAACACATTAAGCTACTTCATCTGCAACACGTTCAGCAACTATATCTGCAACACGTTCAGCAACTTCATCTGCAACACGTTAAGCTACTTCATCTGCAACACATTCAGCAACTATATCTGCAACACGTTAAGCAACTTCATCTGCAACACGTTCAGCAACTTCATCTGCAACACATTCAGCAACTTCATCTGCAACACGTTTAGCAACTTCATCTGCAACACGTTAAGCAACTTCATCTGCAACACGTTAAGCAATTTCATCTGCAACACATTCAGCAACTTCATCTGCAACACGTTCAGCAACTTCATCTGCAACACATTCAGCAACTTCATCTGCAACACATTCAGCAACTTCATCTGCAACACGTTAAGCTACTTCATCTGCAACACATTCAGCAACTATATCTGCAACACGTTAAGCAACTTCATCTGCAACACGTTCAGCAACTTCATCTGCAACACATTCAGCAACTTCATCTGCAACACATTCAGCAACTTCATCTGCAACACATTCAGCAACTTCACCTGCAACACATTCAGCAACTTCATCTGCAACACATTCAGCAACTTCATCTGCAACACGTTTAGCAACTTCATCTGCAACACGTTAAGCAACTTCATCTGCAACACGTTCAGCAACGTTATCTGCAACACGTTAAGCAACAGAACAGAGGCAGTACTCATTACCAGACCATAACAGAACAAGGTAGACATCTTACAGAACAGTAACAGAACCTTGTTCTGAAATGTAATAATAAAACAAATAAAACAGAGCATTCAAAAAGTCAGCAGGATCCTGCACAACACTAGGAGAACCAAATAGAACATGTACTGAATTGTAAGGAACAGTAGCTGAGATCAATGGAACAGCAGAAGAAAGCAACAGAACAGGAGCAGAACCTTAGAATACAGACAGAACACACTGCGAAATGAGCAGAGCATCACAGGGAACAGTTGTGGAACACTACAGAACAGCAGGACTCTGTGGAACTTATTAACCCAACTTTACAACCTAAAAATGTAACCGTATGTGATTGGATTGTTTATAATAAACACAAGAATATATAAGTGTATACTTCCCCTCTTTTTTTTATATTTCATGTTCAAAATAAATAAAATTCATTCAGCCTTTTGCTAACTGCATGCACATTTATTTACATGGTGATTAATGTACACTTTTAAAAACTGAAGAGTAAAGGAACCACACATACCAGGGCTTTTAGCACAGAAGTCATATACACCACGGTTCGAACCATGCAGAACATGGAACCCAGCTGAACACATAACCTGTTTAAGTGTTTTTCTCTCTTAAGGTAAAGTTAGACCCTCAGAGGGCTGTTTTGATCCGTCAGTGTTTGGTTCTCCAAGTTCTAGTAGGAACCCTCTGGTGTCAGTTGGAGGAAGTGCAGGGTAAAGCTGCTCAGACTGGGTGTGGAGGTGAACATGGAGTTCAGCTGTAAGAAGATTATCACACTGAGCTAATTACTGTCAGAGAGAGAGAGAACACAAACTCTGTGTCTCTCTCTCACTGTCTCCTGTTCCTGTTTCCACTCACGTGCTCTGACACTGTATAAAACGTCATTAGCATGCGTCATCCACCTGCACCACTGCAGTGGTAAAAAGCAAGGATGGAGTCCTTGAAATAGTGGTATTAATGTCTATGGAAAACAATCCAAAGAACACAAGGAGGAGGCGAATGTGGACCTGTTTGTAGCTCAGGAAAACAGAACTTGAGATAAGTACTTTTTAGCATAGATAAACATACGTAGCTATTGTTCCATGCTGCATTCCTCTTGGTTGGTTAGTAGACACACAGGTTGTAGCAGCAGTCACAGTGTGAGGACCACCGTTTTGGAGCAACAATCAAAGATATCACTACGTTTCTTTCATGTTGGTCATTTTTCCTCTGTGACAGCCCGGAATCACACAGGCTAACCTGCCTTTACGCAGCTGTTAACATGTACCAACCTAGCCTCATGTAGCTAGCAGTTAGCATACAGTCATCTAGCCTGATTTACATACCCTCATTTATTTAGCTGTTAGCATGTAGGCACCTAGCCTCATGTAGTTAGCAGTTAGCATGAAGCCATTTAGCTTCATTTATGTGGTAGTTAGCGTGTAGCCACATAGCCTAATGTAGTTGGTAGGTAGCACTTAGTCACTCACTGTCAGGCTCGTCACAGCTGGTGTACTCAGGTGTGGTCACTAGATCCTCCTCAGAGCTGCTGAAGCTACCAATCACATGCATCTTCCCCATCCTCCGTGCCCTCTGCGCTGTGCTCTCATTGGCTGGCTTCCTCTTGTGGGCGGAACTCGGGTCCAGGTGTTGCTGCAATAACGGACTGCGGCGGGGAGAAGTGGGGCTGGCATGATTGGCTGCCCGGTCCACAGAGAATGACCTCTGACCTCCAGATCCGACCAATCCCTGAGGCCGATTCTGATGGAGAGCTGAGAGGAAAAATAGAAGTCAGACTGAGGCACCAACAGGTTGATGATTCTATACTCTGTGATTGAGGCACCAACAGGTAGATGGTTCTATTCTTACCTGTGTGTCTCAGGGTCAAGTGGTCGGGCTCGGCGGCTGCCAGGGAGACATCACTGTGGCGACGTTGGTGGCGGACCCTGCCAACTTGAGCTAACATCCTCATGGCCTCCTCACTCGGCTGTGGCTTCACCGGGTAACGAGCCAGGTTTGGGTCACTACGGTAACGGGCCTGAAACTCCTCTTCTTGCCGCCGCTGCAGCTCACGCTCATCCAGAACCTGGTCCAGAGGATGGTCCTGATCCAGGAGAGGAGATGAAGATCAACGTCATCATCAGAGTAAAGACTGGCTGCAGTGTTTATTACAGGAACAATATGAAAGATGAAAATGACCAATTAAAGTGGTATTATGAAAATTATATTAACAGTAATTAATTATAATTATCATTATTATTATTATTAATAATAATAATAATAATAATAATAATAATAATAATAATAATAAATAACATTCATAGGTTTTAGTGCAGGACCCCACAGATATCATGTCATTAATGTTTCACTTGTAGTTTTAAATGTTTTAGATTAAAAACTGGACAAAACAATAACAATAATAACAAAATCAAATCTAAATAAAATCAAATTAACAATTATTGATTTGACTTTATTTTAAATTTGTTTTAATTTTCATTGTGGTTCTTTGAGTAGTTGTGTCACTGTTGATTCAACAGCAGCTTCAAACACCTGTTTCCTACTTGTCCTATAAGACTCACCTGTGAGTGCCAGCGGCCCCGTCCATCTCTGATTGGTCGCCTCCGGCTCCGCAGATCCTCCTCCCCACTGCCATGGTAGCCATGTGGCGAGCGAACACGGCAGTCCAGACCGAGGTCGGAGGGTGAGTGAAGCATCCTGCCCCCCCCACCATCATAATATGACCCTGAGGGGCTCCGCCTCCTGTCAGTCACACAGAATGAGCCGGTCAACAGAGAAGAGGAGCCTCTGTGTGTTGCCTGGTTTTATACAGAACCTGAACTTTGTGAGGTTCTTCCTGTGTTTCTAATGGGACATTATTATCATTACAGGAGCAGTTCATCATTTTGGGGAATGAGTCCAGTTAAACAGAAACTATATCAGTTTCTGTCTCTGTTCAAACTAAAATTGTTTTCTTCTCAACACAGTTCACACCGAAGTCACAAAGTTAAAAACTGGCCCGGGTTGATATGCACTGGTACCATGATGGGTTAATTTCACCCAGTACAGCCACGTACTGATCCAAAGACCAACCAGTTAACTCACCATGAATCCTGAATCAGATTAAATTAACAAAAGGTGGAAGCTAAAACAGAACCAAACAAAAAGCTCTGTCCTGATTAGTCCTCAACTGATCCACACCTGAACCTGAACCTGATCCTGGTCTCCAACAGCACCGCAACAATCAGAATACATCATATTAATAAAAGCTTCAGTCTCAGTCATTAATCTGACTCATAAATAAACACATGAGTGTAAACGAGAAGACAGGTGAACCTCAGTGTGAAGAAACCGTCGCTCTACAAACACACACAAGAAAAAAAGTTTCTTACACTTTGTCCTTCAGCTGTCGGAGGTTTGAAGCTTCATATCGACTCAACACACGACACATTCAACCTCCACACACACACACAACCACACACAGTCAGCAGGTTTATAACTGATATCTGGATCATAACTGAAGCTCTGCCCACTTTGTGACAGGTCCCTCCCCCCTGCCTTATATCCTCCACCTTCGTCACCCTCCCATTTCCTCATCCTTCTCTCTCTGGCTCCACCCACACTGGAAATTACATCACAGTGTGTGTGAGTGTATGTGCTGTTAGCCTGTTAGCTTCTGTTAGCAGCAGTAAGCCTCTGTGAACTGCAGGATTATTCATCTGTTAATCTGATTACAATTGTGTGTGTGTGTGTGTGTGTGTGTGTGTGTGTGTGTGTGTGTGTATGTGTGTGTGTGTGTGTGTGTGGTGGGGGGTCACACACTCTAATTAACAACAAACCAAACTCATTAACAGTCTGTCTGACTTTAAAGGAGCAGTCTGAGGTTTAACTTTTTGTTCCAGTATAAATGTTTCCGAGTCTCAGTGTTTCATAAAGAAGCAGATTGTTCCTGCAGCTTTAGAACCAGGAGAACTACGGGTTTATTCCTGTGTGAGGTCAGAGGTCAGACTGATGAAGACTGTGGAGCTCCTCAGTGTCTCCACACTTTGATAGTTTCATCACAGCTCTCTCTGTTTCTTCAAAACAAGGTGTTGACATTAATAATAAACCGTATTCATACGTTTTCATCATGTTGTTTGAAGCTTTCTCGTTTGTCTTGTTGTGAGCACTGTGAAGACTCTTGACTGCCACCTGTTTCTCTGTAGAAGCAGAGCAGATTTTAACAACATGCTAAACTGTTTATTAATGCCGTTGTTTCCCGTGTTCGGAGCGATGGTAGAGTTTCTCTCCTGTGTGGGAAATCTGAGAATCAGCCTCAGCCTGAGCTACAACAGATCAAAGGTGAAGTGTTTGTGTGTTTTTCTGTGTGGTTCTCTATGGTTCTAATGTGGTTTTCTTTATGAGGGTCTTTGCTGTTCTCTGATGTTGTGTCAGCTTCATGTTCTCTCAGATATTCCTCAGGTTCTTCTGCCTTTAAAAGTTGGACTGTGTGAACTGGTCCTCATGAATTCTGCTGTATAAACAATAATCAGTGAAGATAAAGGTACTCACCGCTCAGTGGCTCCATTGCTCAGGGGCCCCGTGGCCATCGGCGACCCCTGCATTGATGGGTGTGGAACCCCATGAGAGGTGTGGTCGACAGACAGTGTGTTGGAGTGAAACTCCCCCGAGCGAGTAAGAATCTCCTGCTTCCTCCTGCACACGTTACAAACCCACATCACCTGAAACATGACACACACACACACACATTCAACATATCACACATTCTCATATATATGACAAATAAAAACTGTGACCTCAGATTATTTAAAAAAGTATTTCACCAATTTGATTGGTGCTGTTATTCACTGTGGTTGGGCAGGTGGGGGTGGGGGGGGGCTACAACAACTATTAGGCTCCTGCTGAACCTGAATAATTTACCATTTAAGGACATCATTAATTTGTTGTAATTGCATAAAAGGAGATAATTAATTTCATTCATGTAACAGATTGTAAAAAGAAAAGGTGTGTGTGGAACCAACAGTCCAGGTGAACACGCTCATCTTCACTTGTTAAACCAGGTGTGTGTGTGTGTGTGTGTGTGTGTGTGTGTGTGTGTGTGTGTGTGTGTGTGTGTGTTTGTGTGTGTGTGTGTGTGTGTGTGTGTGTGTGTGTGTGTGTGTGTGTGTGTGTGTGTGTGTGTGTGTGTGTGTGTCCTGATTTCTCTGGCTGTGGTGACCCCTCCTGTTCATACTGGACATTAATAGAAGTCTTGACAGAGACAAAGTCCACAGTCCACAGGTGCAGATCCTGTTTCACTGTTGAGGTCCAGTGGAGGGAAATAGGAAAGTAAGTAGTGAAATGATTCCCATTGATATGATTCAGTTCAGTGTGAACAGGAGGAATCACTGCACGGGAAACAACAACTCTAACTCCTCACTCTAACTCCTGACATGGAGCATCTTAAAGGTTTGTAGTCCTCTCTTAGTGTGTCACAGTGCACTCACTAGAATCAACGCTGAGAACACTCACCTTATTGGCTCTCAGAGGGACACGCCCCCCACAGCGGGCACAGAAGCGACTCTGGCAGTAGCAGCAGGCTCGCCCACAACCGTCAGCGAACTTCGTCTTGCGACAGATGCCGCATGTCGGAGACTCTGCCCTCGCCGTTTGAGCTGCTTGAGGCTCCTCCCCCAGCTTCTTCACCTGGTCCTTGTACATCTCAAACTGCTGATGTAACTTCCTGTGTGGGGACATGGAGCGGACAGAGGTTAAAGAGGTTGCTATTCCTTCAGCTCTGCTGCTGCAGGAGACTGTTGACCAGTCTTACCTGCAACGTGAGGATCATCAGACCTACAGCATTAGCTGAACTAGCATTACTGCTAGCAAGCTTGAAGAGGTGTGCGTTTCAAAATCTAAATGAATCATGTTAAGTAGAAGTCAGGTATGTACAGTATACTTTCTCTTACAGTACAAACTAACAAACCCAACAAATAACCAACTGACACTGTCAGCTGTCACCGTTGGTCATGACCCTCACTCTGCAGATTAAGGTGGTCCATCAGGAGTCTGTTTCCTCAAAATTTCCTGTTTTCACTTTACCTGTATCCACCTGCACACAGGTAACAGGATCTGACGTGACAGAATGATGACTGACTGACTCCACCTGTTTGTCTCCTCCAGGGGAGAAGCAGTCTAGTATCAATCTGGATCAGAGTTCCTGGTCTGATGAAACAGACCAGAACCACCAGGTACCATCAGATCTTTGTTTTCCTTCGGTCTGGACCCAATGACCTGAACCACGGGTGAGACACACACCTGATCTATCTCTGGTTTTTACTCACGTCTGCGACCCGTCGTCAGTCGGACTTTTAACCTGCAGAACTTCCGACACATTGGCGGCAACGTCATTGACCAACTGACTGAACCCCGAGAACAGATTCCACCTGTCCAGGTAACACAGAGAATCAGCTGACAGGAAGGAGATTCTCTGGAGGGGGAGGGGGAGGGGCAATTTGGAAAACAGGAAGTAATTCAATAAGGTTTGGGAAAGAGATGTGGCCAGGACAGGTGCACTCAGGGAGATGTAGTTCAGACTGAGGTACTTACGAGGTTGGTTTCACTTCCTCCTGATCCCTGAAGACACACATGATGACGATGATGTGGATGATGATGATAATGAAATAAAAATAAAAATGACATCAGAACAGAAACAAACTGAAGTAACAACTAATAGAAAACATGAAGAGACATAGAGGAAGCTGCTCATGTTCATCAGGGTCAGATTTTATACGTCACGCTGTCGTACAGATGAGCCTCAGTCTCAGTTTACCTGTGTGTGTGTGTGTGTGTGTGTGTGTGTATTTTTAAACTATTCATACTCTGAAACACTAAAAGTCTCTAAATATTATTCAGCTTTTTAAAGTGTTCACCATCTCTGTTGGACATTGTCATAAATCACTCTGCTGACGTCATTTCACAACCTGATTTCATTCATCTAATTCAGACTAATTTAGTGCAGCAGCTCTTATTTTGAAAATCATAAGGTTCAACATAAATAAATGACAAAAAGTAAAAAGACAATCAGACAGGAAACACGTCAAAATAAAATCACAAACATCACATGATCAACCTCCGCACTGAACAAGGCACCAGGTCAGAACTGTCCGTCATGATGCATCCCTGGCCACATGCCCAGCCAGTGATGTCACGGCAGCTGTTTTTGATGGAATGAGCCTTTAATAACAGGAGTTGCTGGCTCATATCCCGGGGCTGATGGGTAATGAGGAACGAGAGACTTCCTGTCAGCACATTCTCCGCATGTTTCACCAAAAAAACTCTTTTGTCAAAACCTGAGGCCTGCATTACCCACAATTCAGATGGACCTCTGACAGGTGGGTGGTGGGTTGGGATGAGTTATGCTAGTAGCAGCTAATGTAGCCTGGAGCAGAGATGGGGGGGGGGTGTCATCATTGTCATAGTCCCCAACACCTGGACACACCTGCTGATGTGGAAACACCAGTCCATTTAGTTCTGGACTAAACTAAGAATATATGATATACAGTACGAGTCAAAAGTTTGGACACACTTTCCCATTCACGTGAATGGTATTCGTGTCATTGCTCACTAGTCGTTACTATATAATCACATCAGTACTCAGTAGTCATTACTACAGTAGTCATGAGTTGGACCCATCTTTGTACTTGACCTTCATTCTGATGTCAACTACACATCTGTTAAGTTTTGTGACTGTGTCTTACACAGTTGTAACACTGTCATGGTGATAAAATCTGTCCACAGACAGACAGACAGACCTACTAAAGTCCTCAAAACCACCTCTGTGGTAGTTCCCTCTACAGTACGGTCAGTAGGTGTCTCCAGGACCACATTTTTCCATGAACCTGACATGCTGTCTGCTGGTAATCAGAGATCAGTCACAGTTCAGACAGTTCGGTGCACAATGAAGTAGGCTACTTTTACTGTGATACTTTAAATACATGAAGATGATAATTTATTACTTGAGTGGGGATTTAAACTGTGGACTCAGTATGTTTACTTCAGTAAAGGATCTGAGTACTTCCACCATCACTACATGAATGACACCTAAAGTTGTAGTTTTTTAAAACCTTTATTTAACCTGAATTATGTTGTGTGCTCATCAGCTGATGTCTGACAGTATGAGCTTTTCACAGCTTCAGAGAAAATCATCAATAATTCTGATGGAAATATTGCTTCCTGTGTGAAACCTGTCCTTCAATTCAGTGACAGCAGCTCTGACCTGCAGTCAGCAGGATATTTGCTCATCAACAGAAAATATGTCACTCAGACCAATTAACTTTCTTCACTGATTATTGATTATCATCACCTGGCTGGAGGGCACTACCATGATCAGTCAGTGATTCGGCCTACTGATTATTGAGACTTCCCCCCCTTACTTGAGCATGCTCTGCTCCTTCTCCTCCTCCTTCTTCTGTCTCTCCATCACCGACAGGATGATGCTCCGCTCCTCCTCTGTCAGGTGGCTCAGGTCCGGCAGCTCCGGCTCCGAACCGGGCGATGCAGGTCCGGCCGGGCCAGACATCCCGACTGTGAGCCGCTAAAAAATCAGGACGCAGTCAGTCAGTCCCGGCCATGTGACGGAGGGCCCGCCAGTGTAACACCAATAAATGTAAATGATGATGATGGTGATGAAAGCCATAGAAATGTAGGGTGTTCATATTTTTTTGTCCACCTCTAGGTGGATCCAGCGGGTGAAGCCTCGAGTGGCGGACACAGCACCGGTCAGAGCCACTCCGTCTGCACCTTCACCCGCCATCAGATCATCCACACATCCACCTGTTTATCCATCCATCCATCCATCCATCCATCCATCCTTCCATCCATCCATCCTTCCACCTCTCACCGACAGACGCAGCGGCGTCCTTTCGCCTGTTTACTCCGCAGTCATGTCGCCTCCTCCGGGGTTCAGCGGCGGCGGCTCCGGACGGCTCTCCGTCCTGGCGGCGGCTCTCATCCTCCGCTACACCCCGGCGCTCAGGCCTGCTGTTGTCGCGGAGTCCCGCCGCAGTTCCTCGGTTCTTCACGGTGATAATGGACGCAGCAGCAGCGCAGGAGGAGGAGGAGGAGACGAAGGGAAAATAAATAAATCCTCCATAGACTGAGGAGGAGGGGACGGGGGCAGGGCCACGGCGTGACGGCGTTACGCACAGCAAAGATCAGCTAGTCACGGGGTGGAGTGGAGGGGGGGTGGGGGGAGGCAGGTGGGTCTGCTAAGGGAGCTAAACATAGGCCTGCCGCCAAAGATAGACACACAAACAGCCAGATTAACAAATATATAACACATAAACCAATAGATACAGTGATTGATCACTAGTAACCTACAGTCCTGTAAGTGTTTCTTATGCGGATTCAGGATTAGATAGTGGGTGAGATATGAGATTATAGTGGTGCAACTTTTCAAAATTAAAGCCCTGTAAGGAATAAAAAGGAAAACAGTCAATGACTGTGACCAAACAGAATATTTATTTTCCAGTATAGAAACATTAAATCAATCACAGGTGTATCTGTGACATCAGAAGGAGCACAAACATCTCTAAAACTTCATGACCACTAGAACCTCTATGGACATGAATTTGTCTCAATATTATTTGTGGGAATAGATTGAGAGTCCCTGTGTAAATGTGTAATCTGTAAATATAAAACACCTCCCACAAATACAAAAAATAAATTTATAAACTCACAAAAATATCTTGCAGATAGAACTTGGATCTGCAAATACACAAACAAATTCCACGAATAAAAACATGTCTGTGAATACATTCAATTAAGCAGCTAGCTTGCCCCCAGGGGGCCATGCCCCATGCCTGAACAATTTACTTCCCAACTTAGTCCCCCGATTTAGATATAGGTTCAAATTAGGATCAAAATGATTTTAAGTTTGTAAACTAATGTTTACAAATAATTCCAAAGTTTGTAGTTGTAAATCGACCTTTGTAAACCTGTAAAATAAATCTGCATGAGAAATTCAAGTTTGTGCCTGTGAAAAAAGTTGTGCTTGTAGCAAAGAGATTTTTATTTGTAAAAAAAACTAAACTGAATCAAAACTGAACAATTGTGGTGAGGTTAAACAAAGACACAGGGAAAGGAGAAATGCTTTTGTGGATGTCTGTGTAGAGATAAAGTGCAGGAAACTGTAAAACTCAGTGTGCAACATTCCCAATGTTTTCATCCTTGTAGCTTCAGTGTCTCACACTGTGAGAGTAGATAGTGCTACAGTTTTCTGCCCTGTGTCAGGACACAGATGTTGACATAACTATTTCTTCTTTTGCAGTGTCTTTGTGTAACCTCGACACTGATCATTTGTTCATAGTGTTGTTTCAGTCTTTTAACAAATACAAATACAGATCCCTGTACTCCTCTTCCTACCCGTTCCTGATACATGCCACGATAGCTGTGTCATCTGAGTATTTCTGGACGTGGCAGGACTCAGATTTGTATTTAAAGTCCCCTGTGGAGCCCCAGTGCTGCTCATCACTGTCCCTGAGACACAGTTACCCAGCCCGACATACTGTGGCCGTCTTGTCATGTAATCCACATTCCAGGATGTGAAGCAGGACAGCAGAACAAGACATAATGTTTTCCACAGGACCGGGACCCTCCCTGTTTGTAGACCTAAGTTAAAGATCCTCTGGACAGGCTCAGCCAGCTGGGCTGCACCGTCCTTTAACAGCCTCAGACACACACCATCCGGGCCTGTTGCCTTTCCAGGACGTAGCCTCTTGAGCTCCGCCCTCACCTCCTCCGCTGTAAAGGACAGGAGACCTGACCCCAGTGTGGAGGGAGTTGCAGCTGCAGTGTCGGGTTGTGAAGGAGATGCTGTAGGAGAAGCTGCAGCTGAAGCAGTGGGAGAGAGAACAGGTGAGGCTGTGTCAAAGCTGTTGTAGAACAGGTTGAACTCATTGGCCTTGTCCACATCACCTGATGTTGCTGTTCTTCTGTTTATAGCCAGTGACAGTCCTCATCCCCTTCCACACCTCTCTGGTGTTGTTGTGCTGCAGCTTCCTCTCTACTTCTTTCTTTTTGTAGTCCTCCTTCACCTGCTTTAATCTCCTCTTCAGCTCATGTTGCACACACCTAAGCTTCTCCCTGTCTCCATCCCTGAAGGTCTCCTTTTTCTGGTTGAGGAGGGTTCTTGATGTCACTGGTGATCCAGGGTTTGTTGTTTGGAAAGCAGTGTACAGTCCTTGTTGGTCTTACAGTGTCCATACAGAAGTTAATGTAGTCTGTGGTGCATTCAACCATTCTATCAGGTCAGTGACCTTGGATGTTGTCATTTTCATTTTATGATAAACATGTGGCTCTAATCCTCTTCTGTAATTTCCGTTTTATATTTTCAAGATATTTTTATGAGTTTATAAAAGTTTTTTTTGTATTTGTGGAAGGTGTTCTATATATACAGATTACACATTTACACAGGGACTCTCAATCTGTTCACACAAATAATACTGATTCAAATCCACCTCCATAAACCTCCTAAAGAACCTCGAGAACGTCCTCAGTCATATTTTAGAACAACTGCACCGTGCTTTAGTTGTATCTTAAGACCCATTGTGTCAATCTCTCCTGGAGCAGGTCGGCCATCACTCCTCCACCCAGCAGATGGAGGTAGAGCTCCATGTGAAAAAGAAGAGGGGTGAACGGCTGGGGTTGGCGCCATCACAGGGTTTTTAGGTTGGAAATGTCCAAAATGAGTGAGTTGCAGGTCTTGGTGAGACGCAGACTGACGGCTGCTGCGGAGGAGATCTGCGGGGTTCTGGATCTCACTCTGGGGGGTCTGGAGGAGGAAGTCCGCCGCCAGCAGAGACTGCTGCACTCCGTGCTCAACCCAGAGATCCGTCCGCAGAGAGGCGGTGAGCGACCGCATGTTGAACTCTGGCATTTTAAAAGTTAACTACTTTACAAGCAGCATGCCCACAGGATATCACGTTAAAAACGACCCTACTACAGTTAGAAGTTTGTTCTAGGTAATTCGGCAGGTAGACAATTCACCAAGAAGGTACTTCTGATACAAAAACGTCAACTTTATTAATTGTGATTACTGCTCGCTGTTAATGACAGTGTGTGTGCAGATGGATAAACGTCACAACTGTCGAGTGGAGTCAGGTGTGATGTTGCTCCAGTTTGTGCCTCTCATGTGTTACCGCTGTCCTCCAGTCACAGAGCCCAACATCTGCTTCTCTGAAACACCTGAGACCGTTTAACAACACGTGCTGCTGTTGTGAAGATTGATCAAATCATTTAAACTAAATTTTAAAAAAAAAAACTGGAAATTATCCTCTGACTTTTCACTGAGCATCACCAACACATGCAGCACCTTAGTTCATGACATGAGACAGATTACATGATGAAGCCTCCAGCTGACTCATTTTAAAATGAGAAATTGTTGGATATGCACTTGGCTACAAACATGATATAATGGTAACAGGTGACACAGAGGTTATATTTCTGCTTTATTGTTTGTATTTTTAAGCAACATGTTTAACTTCTATCAGAGAAAACTCAGACCCAAGAATCTCCCTGACCAGAATATTTCACACAAGCTGAATCATGTCCAGCTCATACAGATACACAGGTCAATCTACGTTTGTTTTTGTCCAAGAAGAAGCAGTCCTCCTCCTCTGGTAGTCATCCAGCACTGAAAGTCCTACAGGGCTGACATAGGGAGTCAAGTTCAGTCATTGTGTCCTAATGTCTTAATTTACTGTTCCCTGCAGACGTCCAGCAGTTGTTGGTGAAGAAAGAGGAGCAGCAGGAGTGGAGCTCCAGTCTGGACCAGGAGGACCCAGAGCCCCCACACATTAAAGAGGAACAGGAGGAACTCTGGACCAGTCAGGAGGGAGAGCAGCTTCAAGGACTGGAGGAGGCTGATATCACCAAGTTCACATTCACTCCTGTCCCTGTGAAGAGTGAGGATGATGATGATGAAGAGAAACCTCAGTCTTCACAGCTTCATCAGAGTCAGACTGAGGAAAACGGAGACTTTGAGGCAGGAGAGGACTGTGAAGGACCAGGACAAGCCAGGAACTTAGTCCTTGTAAAGGCTGAGCGATGTAAAGATGAAAAAAAAACCTCTTGTTGTTTTTGTTGCTCTGAGTGTGGGAAAACATATTTCTACAGTTACCTTCTGGAGAGACACATGAGAACTCACACAGGAGAGAAACCGTTTAGCTGCCCTTTGTGTGGTAAAAGATTTATACAAAAGGGACGTTTGGCGCAACATATGGCCATCCACTCAGGAGAGAAACCGTTCAGTCACAAAAGATTTACCTGCTGTGCACAGGTCAAAAACCATGAATGTGTTCACAAGTCCTCACAGCTTCATCACAGTCAGACTGAGCCTCCAGCACCAGAACCAGACAGGATCTCAGTTCCAGATGGTTGTTTACAGCCAGTTAGTGATGACAACACGTCAGAGTGTTCTGAACCTGAGTGTGAAGATGATGATGATGAAGAAGAGAAACCTCAGTCCTCACAGCTTCATCAGAGTCAGACTGAGGAGAACAGAGAGGCAGAGCCTCCAGCCAGCAGCTCAACTGAACACATGGAGACAGAAGCTGATGGAGAGGACTGTGGAGGACCAGGACCAGACAGGAACTCAGATCCAGACAGACATTTAGAACCAGGTTCTGATGACAAGACTTCGGGGTCTTATGAACCAGAGATGGAAGACAGTGATGATGGTTGGACAGAGACGCAGAAATCATTTAGCTGCTCAGACTGTGGGAAAAGATTTGGCCGAAAGGGAAATCTGCAGACTCACTTGAGAACTCATACAGGAGAGAAACCATTCAGCTGCTCAGTTTGTAAGAAATGCTTTGGATGCCGCTCAACCTTGACAAAACACATGCTAACTCACACAGGGGAGAAACCATTTGGTTGCTCATTTTGTGGAAAGAAATTTCATATCAAGGGAACTCTGGTGAGACACATGGAAACCCACAGAACAAGAGAGAAAGAATTCAGTTGTTCAGTTTGTGTAAAGAAGTTTTATGATAAGTCGACTCTGGTAAGACACACGAGAACCCACATAATAACAGACAAAACTCCCAGCTGTTCATTCTGTAGAAAAAATTTTTATGACAAGTCATCTCTGGAAAAACACAAAGCGACCCACACAGCACGAGAGAAGACGTTTAGCTGTTCAGAATGTGAGAGGAAATTTTATTTAGAGGCACATTTAAAAGGTCACATGAGAATCCACACAAAAGGAGAGAAACCATTCAGCTGTCCCGTTTGTCCAAAGACATTTAAATTAAATGATTATCTGAAGAAACACATGAAAGTGCACACAGGAGAGAAACCCTTCAACTGTCGTGTTTGTGACAAAAGATTCACATGGTACCCACAGCTGAAAGCCCATCAGTGTGGTGGGGAGACCAGCTGAAGCAGACTGCCTTCTTTCAGTGGTGGTAGCAGGGAGAGGCGACAGCCAATGAGAGTGGAGCCCCAGCTGAGCTGACTTCACACTTAAAGTTTCTTTAAATGACGTACAGAGTCTCTGTGGTTTAGACAGGACCAATATGGACAAGTATGAAATATGAGGAGATATAATAATTGACTTGTAGCTGTTTCTAGTTGTCTTCAGAAATCATTTTGTAAAATGTATCAGCCTCTTTGCCACTCCATGTTTAAAAAACCCATTGACACCATGACAAAAATTATTCGCTTTGTTTCTTCGTCATGTTTTAACAACACTGTTTTCACATTATAACTTGTAATTACGTTCAGATTCTTCTCCATCATCAGGAGGCCACTGATTGGTCCAGATTCTGCAGGACAAACGCAGCCATAACTTGGAAACCATCTTATTAAAACTCAGTAAACATCAGGTGCACCAGTAGCTCAACTGGTTAAACATGTCTGACATATGAAGTCCTGAGTCCTTGCTGCAGGGACCTGGGTGTGAATGCAGCCTGGACTCTTTTACCTCCTTCTCTCTACTGACTGTTGAAGGTAAGACTTTAAACAAGAAAAAAAAAACATGTCATGGTGGCAGTGATACCGTGCTGTGATGACAGAAACATCTGCACAGAGTTAGAAGAACTGCTGTTCACACTGCTTCAATCAGTAATTAATACATTTGGGTATATTTCTCGATTCGTCATCAAACCTCTAATGAACCTCTGATTCATCAAACCAACTGATCTTATTTTGTTTGAATTTCCTCATTAAAGCTTTTGCATTTAAAAAAAAATATTTTTATTTTGTTCCACTTTGACAGTTTAAATGAATTTGTTAGAACCAAATAAAAATCCATTTTAATTGAATTTTGAAACCATGTTACTGTCTGTAGAGTTGTAATTAAAGTTTTGGAAATTTACTCTTTCTTTGTAACTTTCTCTTTATCTACTTATTTCAGAACACAATATGACCAGTAGAACCTCATAAAGAGATCCTAGAACCTTTTATAACTATTATATTATATTGTCCTCAGTGACAACAAAAACCTCAAACAGCTTCCCCTGTGAGCACGAGAACCCCATACAGGATCCCTAGAACCGCTTTAGTGATCACCAGAAACATATTAAGATCCTAAGAACATCTTCAGAGATCACTGGAACTTCTAGAACCTAGTTAATGATATTAGAACATCTGAATGGATCCCCATAGGACCCCTAAAACTTTTTAAATTCTGTATAAGACCCATAAACTCAGTGATCACTAGAACCTGATGTGACCTCTAGAATCCTAACCCCCACCCACCCACCACCACCACCACCAAAAAAAAAGTTTTAGTGACAACTCTGATGTCAGGAGGTTTCTTCATACTGTGTATAATCCTAAAAAACGCCTCTTAAGAAATTAGAGACTGAGATCTCCAGGTTTGTGGAAGCAAAACAAACAGAATTTACTGAAGACACTAATTGATCTCATTCAACACAGAAGGCTGAGGCTTCCAGACTTAGGGCGAGTCAGAGGACTTTGGATTTCAACAAACCTCCTGTTACGAAACAGAGAGAGGCAGCGATATTCAGGTGACGTGCCACTGATAGGTTCCCTTTAATGAAGATACACCACATATTTCATGTCACAATCATGTTGATGATGATATTAATAAAAATAATGAGTCTCTTCGTTTAAGAACTGGATAAATCTCCCTTAACATGTTCAACAGTTTTCTCTTTCTTGTATTTTTTTCCCTTTAACTAATGATATTCATTCATAAAATGGATGCTTAGCTTAGCACAAACACTGGAAGCAGGGGTTAACTGTTAGCTGTTGGTATGATGTTGCTGTGACAGGTAACATAAAATGACTGCAGAGAAAATCTTTAAATTAAACTTTAATGACCAAAAACCTTCAACAATGACAAACATTAACCTTTTTCTTCCACTGAATCCAAACTGGTCCTTCATCAGACACTGTTAATGTAGTTCAACATGTCCACATTCAGTTAATGGTCAGAGCAACAATACGAACAACATTTATACTTTTAAATAAACTTTGAAATTAAAAATTTACATTTAATTTAAAATGAAAAAGAAGTAACTTCATACATTTATGTTTTTTATGTAAAAACTGGATAATTAACAATAATATTAATCCTGAAATCAGAAATAGCAGCAAAAAATCATTAAATAATTGATTGAAATCTAATGAGACAAACTCTTTTCCGAAACTCTGTGCAATAAAAAGCAAGATACTTTTTCTTCAGTGAAACAGAGCAGGACGTAAATGAACATCACATCTGTTTACCTGTTCACTCTGCCACACTCTTTTCCATGAACACACACACTGTAGTTAACTTTGACTCAATCAACAAATACAGCAACATCATAGTCCAGTAAACTCTCTGTCAGGTGATCGTCAGAAGTCTGACCCCTCAGACAACAGCATCAAAACTGAACTCCTCACTGCTTCCTGAACCTAAATCTGTGCTCTGCTCAGGACAAATCTCTGACCCCTGATTTCTCTCAGGGGTCTGGACTCTTTCTATCAACACAGACATCTGCAAAGAAAATATCGTCACAACCTGAAAGATACAGGTATAGAACTTAACAGTGTGTAGTTGAGATCAAAATGAATGTTGAGTTCAACCCATGAGCACTGAGTTCTCATGTAATGATGTCATAGTGACTACGTCATGTAATAATGTTAGCTCTGTCCCAATTCAGGGGCCACATCCCTCAGAGGACGTGGTCTATGAAGGTGTGGCCTTTCGTAGCCGCCACAGACCTCAAAGGCCAAACCAAGATGAGACGGTCTGGCCAATGGACAATTTTCTCTTTGCATTACCAACTGTGACCACCCTTACCATTGTGTTGAAAGCATGGCTCCTGTCGCCTAGCAACCTTGAAAAGACGTAACTTTTCACAAAAACTTAAACTGAGCTGAAACCCAATACTTACATTTAAAAGTGAAATCATCAGGGTCTCTGTCTATGTTGTTTGCCATATTATTTTCATTACCGGTACGCAATGAATCTTGGGACAGGTAGGGCCCTGAAGGATCCACCTGTTGGAGCATTCGTTGTCCAGGAAAAGAAGGAAGCATTCGAAGGAGCCTTTGAAATGGGACAGTCTAGCCGCACCTCTGTGACAGTTGGTCTTTAAATGCAGCCTCTGAAGGATAAAACCCCTGAACTGGGACAAAGCTGTAGTTATGACCGTAGAGTACTGATGGCTTATAACGTCAACATGTTGACGGGTGTGTGTGATGGTGTCACCCCATGATAGATGACCTCTAAGTTAGTGCACGTATTCTTATTAACCAAGTTAAAATAAATTCAAAGCTCTGATACAATAAAATACAGTTAATATAAATATGTGCTCTGAGTTGTCAGGTGGTTTCAGTCAGTGACAGTTTGAACTCCTTCAGTCATCAGCTGACTCTTGGTTTCATCCTGCTGATTCTCTCTCAGGTCTGGACTATCTGTTTCCTGTGACTGACTTGTTTCAGTCACAGTGTGTTGCACCATGTGTCGTTTCATATTTGATACTTGTGTAAAGCTTTTACCACAGACTGAGCAGCAAAACGGTTTCTTTCGTGTTTCCCCGGTGTGCTGTGCCATGTGTCGTTTCAGATTTCCTCCTTGTGTAAATCTTATGCCACAAACTTGGCAGCTGAATGGTTTCTCTCCTGAGTGAGTCCTCAGGTGTTTCTTCAGAGCTCCACTTGCAATAAAGCCTTTGCCACAAACAGAGCAACTGAACGGTTTCTCTCCTGTGTGAATTCTCATATGAGCTTTCAGGTTGTGTTTGTGATTAAATCTGTTCCCACACTCACGGCAGCGGAACGGTTTATCGCCCGGTTCCACCTCTGAGTTCTCCTCAGTGTCCTCCAGCTCTGACTGCTCACTGCCACACTTGTGTCGTCTGAACCCCGACAGCCACGTGAACTTTTTGTCACAGATACTACAGCTGAACTGTTTCTCTCCCGTGTGGACAGCCATGTGTTGAGTCATGTGCACCTTCTGTGTGAAACCTTTACCACAAAATGGACAACTGAACGGTCTCTCTCCTGTGTGAAGTCTCTCATGTGTCTTTAGATTGACCATGCGGCCAAATCTTTTCCCACACTGAGAACAGCTGAATGGTTTCTCTCCGGTGTGACTTGTCATGTGGCCCAGCAGAGACCTCTTACAGCCGAATGTTTTACCACAGTCGGAGCAGCTAAACGGTCTCTCTCCTGTATGAATCCTCACATGTGTCTGCAGATGTTCTTTGCGGCCAAATATTTTCCCACATTCAGAGCAGCTGAATGATTTCTTGACAGTGTTACATCCTGAATCAATTCCAGGCACTTTTACAGACTCATGTTCATGAGTTTCTTTCCAACCAAAATCTTTGGTCTTATCATCAGTATCTGACTGTAAATGTCTTGCTGGATCTGAGTTCCTGGCTGGTCCTGGTCCTCCACAGTCCTCTCCTCCCACAAAGTCTCTGTTCTCCTCAGTCTGACTCTGATGAAGCTGTGAGGGCTGAGGTTTCTCCTCTTCATCATCATCATCTTCACTCTTCACAGGGACAGGAGTGAATGTGAACTTAGTGATATCAGCCTCCTCCTGACTAGTCCAGAGATCATGAAGCTGTGAGGACTCACCGCCACACTTGTGTCTTTTAAGCTGATAGAGCCACGTGAATCTTTTGTCACAAACACTGCAGCTAAACCTGTTCTCCTTTGTGTGGACAGACATGTGTTGTGTCAGATGTCCTCCATGTTTAAAGCTTTTCCCACACACTGTGCAGCTGAATGGTCTCTCTCCTGTGTGGATTCTCATGTGAATGTTCAGATTGTCCTTGCGGCTGAAGATTTTCCCACACTCAGAGCAGCTGAATGATTTCTCACCTGGCTCTGCATCTCTGTTCTCCTCAATCTCACTTTGATGAAGCTGTGAGGACTCACAAACACACTGGTGGCTTTTGAGCTGCGTATACCAAGTGAACCTTTGGTCACAAAAACGGCAGCTGAATCTTTTCTCTCCTGTGTGGACGGACATGTGATACGTCAGATTTACCTTCTGTGTGAAACTTTTAGCACAAAAGGGGCAGCTGAATGGTTTCTCTCCTGTGTGAGTCCTCATGTGAATCTTCAGATGTGGGCTGCGGCCAAAAATTTTTCCACACTCGGAGCAGCTGTATGTTTTCTTGCCTGTGCTACATCTCACATCATTTGCAGGGACTTCAATAATTTTCAGGGAGTTTAAAACTGACTGAGGTTCCCTGGTCTCCATCCAATCACCTTCAGTCTTACAGTCTGTGGAGTCTGACACCCTATTGTCGGGATACAGCTGTAAAGGACGATCTGGATTTAAGTTACAGACTGATTCTGACTGACTGGTCCAGAGTTCCTCCTGTTCCTTTTTAATGTGTGGGGGCTCTGGGTCCTCCTGGTCCAGAGTTGAGCTCCACTCCTGCTGCTCAGGGGGAAGCTCCTCTGTCCTCACCAACAGCTGCTGGACGTCTGCAGGACAGAGTTAACACACAGAGACAAGTGGTCAATTGTGTTTTACGTGTCACTACAAAACCTCCCACAGAGGTTCCACCATTTGATAGAACGTCTGACAACCTCCTAAAGCACCACTAGAACCACATACAGGAACCACAGAACTTTATAAAACATGGAAGAACCATTTCCAGGACTACAAGAATCCTCTAAATCTTCTCACAACCTGACAGGAAAACAGGAAAACTAGAACCTACTAAAGAAAACCAAGAACTTCCTTAAGGACCACAAGTACCATCTAAAGGATTGTAGAATGAAGAATGTTCTAAGGGACCACCACGTTCACTTACAGGGCAACAAAGACCACCCAAAAACCTGCTTAATGACTGACAAACATCCCTTAAAGGACTTCTAGAACATAATGAAGGACCATTGCATCCATCTAAAGGACTAATAAAATCCTCTCATCGTCCACAATCATAGCCTAAAGATAAACTACAACCTCCTAAAAGAAAACTAGAACGACCTAAAGATAAACTAGAACCTCATAAAGCACCTAAAGCATCATGGCTCCTTTAATGTACAGACAGGTGACAGATGAAAGTAAAATCCCACATACGGGTTCTCTGAAGTTTTTTTCATGCTCAGTTGTCACTTCAAATAAACAAGGGTTCCTCTCTTCTCTCTAAAAACTGTTCAATGAACAGATCCATGTTGTTCCCACCTGATTCTTCATCATCATCTTCACTCTTCACAGGGTCAGGAGTGAATGTGAACTTGGTGATATCAGTCTCCTCCAGTCCTTGAAGCTGCTCTCCCTCCTGACTGGTCCAGAGTTCCTCCTGTTCCTCTTTAATGTGAGGGCACTCTGGGTCCTCCTGGTCCAGACTGGAGCTCCACTCCTGCTGCTCACAGGGAACCTCCTCTGTCCTCACCAACAGCTGCTGGATGTCTGCGGAGAACAGTAAACACACAAACATCAGGAAACTGAAGCCAAGAAAGCCAAATGACTGATGGAACATGACTACAAACACTTAATGACCTCTACAACCTCCAAACAGACTATAACCTCCAAGAGGTCCCCTAGAACATCTTCAGTGACCACTAGAACCTCTTACAAGAGAACTCGAACCACATTAAGGAACCGTAAATGCTCATCAGTCGCCACAGGCATCATCTCAAGAACCACAAGAGCCTCCAAATGGACCCAATGCCCTCCTTAATAAAAATCAAGCTCTACCTTAAATATACCCCAGGAACCCTACAACCTCCATAATAATGACCTGCACTGTGGGCTAGGTTTTACCCAGACAATATTTTATATTCACCATCACATGTGATGAGAAACGGCAAACGCCAGCTTTTATTATCAACTAATCTATTGATTGTTTTTGTGATTAATAATTAGTCTAATCAATACTAAGAAATAGTGACGTCTTCAATGTCTTTTGTCCAACCAAAAACAACCAGAAAATCAGAGGTTTTTGACGTTTCTTACAAATAAAAAAAGATGAATTATTGAACAGTTGTCGATTATTTTTTTTCACAAGTGTATAACATTTTTATTGGTTGCTTTTTAACCTTTTGAAGTTGTTCGTGCAGCTCAGGTTACCATGGTGATGCAACCCGGTTGCCACGGGGACACAGCGGGGTGAAAGGTGAGCTAGCTTCTTTATAACATAGAGAGTCAAGAGAGCTGCAAACCTGCGATGCTAACGCGAGCTCGGTGGAGCTAGAGTTGTAGATGTTCGGGCTCGTGTTCAGTTCGGGTTCGGGTTTGGGTTCGGGTTCGGGTTCAGGTTCAGGTTCAGCCAGCTGTTACAGCTGGAACTGACTCAATGTGAATCCTTTCAGTAATAAAACACACAGCTGCACGTTAACTACTACCCAGTAGATCATTAACGAACAGACCAACAGCTCTATAAGTCCTGGAGGCAAATCACCTGACCAACACCAGCTAACGTTAACTTAGCAACGTTAGCACAACAGTCAGCAGAAATAAAGCAAACCTGCTTTTCTCAGTTTCGTTTCAGGTTTTAGCAGCAAACCAGGAAGATTTCCGGCTTGATCCATCTCTGATCCGTTTACAAAACGGAACTCTGACGGTTTAAGTACCGTTGTTAGGTTCAGCTAACGGTTTACTCTGCTAACCGCTGCTAACCGCTATCACTGTCAAACCACCTACAATTTCAATTGTCACTTCCGGGACCGGTTTCAAAATAAAACTCAATATGTACTCGGGATTGTGTTCAGACAGGTTTATGGTGTCAGGTCCATCACTCTTGGATGTTACAGCCACTCTCTAAAGAAAAGATCGGGATTCGCCTAAGAGAGCGAATCTATGGGTTAGCCACAATAGCCGTGAGCGCTTCCAGTGAAACTTGGTTATCGCACGATTTTCCCACCTGTTAACCGGTTCAGGTTACAGGGTCAAGTGGACGTCAGAAGGTTTGATAATGATTAATGTGCTGTGTTTACTTTGCGTCAGTAAAAATCAGGTTTATGTGGAAGATGTTACCAAAGACATCATCACGGATGAAGCTTTGATTTCTGAAGCACCTGTGATTTGGTTTATTTGCACTAATTTGTTTTAGTCTAATACTAGTCAGTTCATAATCATCATCCGATGCAACTGCTTAGAAAATATTATTAAAATAATACACTAACTGTATATAAAAAAAAATAAATAAAAAAAAACTACAGAGCCCCGAGATGTTTATTCCTGTTTGTATTCCTAGAGCAGAAGTTCTCCGTTTGGTTTCCTTTTTGTTTTTATTTAATCTATATTTATATATTATATTAACTAAGATCACAGATTATTTATACCATAATGATAAATACAGGGCTCTGAAGCACAGCAGGTGATGGTAACGCACCTTAAACTCCAGGTGCCACCCGCCATGCAAGAAGAAGAAGAAGAAGAAGAAGAAGAAGAAGAAGAAGAAGAAGAAGAAGAAGAAGGAGAAGGAGAAGGAGAAGAAGGCGAAGAAGGCGAAGAAGAAGAAGGAGAAGAAGGAGAAGAAGGCGAAGGAGAAGAAGGAGAAGAAGGAGAAGAAGGAGAAGAAGAAGAAGAAGAAGAAGGAGAAGGAGAAAAAGAAGAAGGAGAAGGAGAAAGAGAAGGAGAAAGAGAAGGAGAAAGAGAAGGAGGAGAAGAAGAAGAAGAAGAAGGAGAAGAAGAAGAAGAAGAAGAAGAAGGGGAAGAAGGCGAAGGAGAAGAAGGAGAAGAAGAAGAAGAAGAAGAACAACAACAACAACAACAACAACAACAACAACAGTAGTTAGCCCAACAACGACAGAACAGACGTGGTGTGAACAGATCAGAGATGGACCTACACCGGAAGCCGCTAGATTTGGATTCAGGAGACCCTGAACCGAAGCACAGTGGAGCAGGTTTGTTTTACTTCTGCTGCTGGAAACACGTTTACTGCTGTAGTATTGTTGCTAAGCTAACGTTAGCTGTTAGCTGCAGCTAGCTGGTTTATGATGAACGTTTACTTTATGTTGAATGTTAATTATTACTGGCGGGAAGATAAAGCTTTAGCTTGAGGTCGCAGCAGGAGACTTCAGGTGAGGCCATCTGCCGGACGGGAAGAAACACCTGAACACAACAAACAGTTAAAAACTGAATCCCTCAACGTTTTACTTTAACAATAACATTAACTTGATGATCATGTAATTAAGGTATTAATGGGCTCTAATAGCAGCAAAAAAAACCATGTCAGTTTCAGTTTAATAAATCTATCTGAAAAACCAATATCATTAGAAGTGTATGTTATATTTTGGATAGGTTCACTTTATCTGTAGTCAAACATCTGTTTACTTTGGCACTACATTTTCTCAACCATTGAACTATTGTATTCCTACGCATATGTCTACTTACATGACTGTATTATGCAGATCAGCTGTTTGTTGGAGAGACACATAAATTCAGTCCATTTACCATTTTACCATTCAAACCTTTTCATCTACTAATTAGTTCACTCAGGTTTATGAAATGTGAAGGCAAAGATATTTCATTACTTGACTAACTCATTGTGTTATTTATTAAACTTTATACAGATTAATTTCTATTGTATAGAAAATGTGATGAATAAAAAACATGACAGTACAACAACAAAAGAGAAGAATGAAGAAAGAAAGTTATGAGATACTCTGTCATTATTTTGAGTCTGTGAATATTTTTTATTAAAATATATCTGAACATTTCTGGTCTCACTGTCAATTAATAATGTTATCCAGCACAGATTAATAATAACACCTGTGTGTCTTACAGTTTTACCTCCAGACATCCACAAAGTGATTGTTGTTAAAGAAGAGAAGCAGGAGTGGAGCTCCAGTCTGGACCAGGAGGACCCAGAGCCTAAATAAATTGCACCGGAAGTGACTGTTCTTCCTGTTGCTAAATTGTGACAACACAGCACCTGATAGCGGCTTCGCTGGTCAGAGTGAAACCGCAGAGGTGTGACAGAGTGTGTGTGGTTGTGTGAACATGTCTAAAATCTACAAGCTGAGAGCTCTGGTGAAGCAGATACTGACCGCGGCTGCTGAAGAGATCTTTGTTCTGTTCGAAAGAACTGTAGCGGAGTACGAGGAGGAACTATGTCGTTCAGAACAGAACCAGCAACAGCATAAACTACTGGACACTGTTTTCAGCCCCTAAGGTTTTTTTACACAGAGCAGGTTAGCTCTCCTCTTATTTTCGCACAGTCAGATTCCCAGGCTCGAGTACCGTCACCCCTTTATCTGAACTAAACCTTATACCAAACCCAACCATGTCTGCATTTGCTTTTTCTCCCAGAGGCCAAGGGATGCCAGGCTTCCCATTCTTGTCTTGTTAATAAATAACATTCGGACTACTCCATCCCACTCTCATTTAGGTAAACAGTCTAACTAATGCATGGTGAAACAACGGTGGCCTTGATCAATAAACTCCTTCTGTAGACTGATGTCATGTCTCGGGGGGGACGCCAGGTCGGAGTTGGCATCCCTTGATGAAATAAACGAATGATTAACCAATCAGATGAAGCTATTGTCATGCCAATGCCAAACTGTGATTAGTCAGGACTAGCTGCCCTCTTGCCTCACAACAACCAAATCATAGAATATTTATAACACCAGGGAGATACCAGCTAACCCAACAACACTGTAAGTGCAGTTACAGAGTTTAGGTCCAATTAAACAATAAGAAAGTATGCCAAGTATTTGTATATGTCAAGCATATAAAACGGTTTCAGTTTGTAATTCATGTGTTTGCCTGTGCAAGCCCCAGCCCCCACCCCTCATATAGAGTCTAAATTGGCTTGCTCAATCATTTTTCCCACGCCACGCCACTGCATGTTTGTCTACTCTGAGCCTCAGAAGAGTTTTCTGTCACCTGATGTGATACATGATGAAGCTTCTCAGATTTCATTTTAACTAGTTTTCCAAAATTAAAACTAACAATGAGGACATGCCTGTAAAAGTATTTTATTTATAAGGAATATTGTAACTGGTTTGAGCAACTACGGTTGAACTTAAGTCTGGACATGAAACCATTGGTTATGTAATGTCTATGTGTCTGTATTTCACTCTGTCCTGCAGACGTCCAGCAGCTGCTGGTGAGGAGAGAGGAACGTCCCTCTGAGCAGCAGGCGTGGATCTTCAGTCTGGACCAGGAGGACCCAGAGCCCCCACACATTAAAGAGGAACAGGAGGAACTCTGGACCAGTCAGGAGGGAGAGCAGCTTCAAGGACTGGAGGAGGCTGATATCACCAAGTTCACATTCACTCCTGACCCTGTGAAGAGTGAAGATGATGATGATGAAGAGAAACCTCAGTCTTCACAGCTTCATCAGTCAGACTCAGGAGAACAGAGAGGCAGAGCCTCCAGCCAGCAGCTCAACTGAACACATGGAGACAGAAGCTGATGGAGAGGACTGTGGAGGACCAGGACCAGACAGGAACTCAGATCCAGACAGACATTTACAACCTGATCCTCATGTCAGGGCTGAAGACTCTTCAGACTTTAAAATTGAAATCAGTGATGATGATGATGATGATGATGATGATGATGAGGATGATGAGGATGATGATGATGATGAGAAAGAGACCAGAGAACCTGAGTATGGGAAAATACTTGGTCACAAAAGAGATCTGAGAAGACACGTCAGAACTCACACAGGAGAGAAACCATTCAGCTGCTCTGTGTGTGGCAAAAGCTTTGCCAGAAAGTCTAGTGAGACAATACACATGAGAACACATACAGGAGAGAAACTATTCCTTTGTCTCGTGTGTGGTAAAAGATTTACACACAAAACAAGTCTAAAACAACACATGACATACCACACGGGAGCCACTGGTGGAACCATTTGGCTGCTCTGAGTGTGGAAAAACATTTGTTCTAAAGTACACTCTGCAGGAACACATGAGAACTCACACAGGAGAGAAACCATTCAGCTGCTCCCAGTGTGGTAAAACCTTTGGCCGTAAAACAAACCTGAAGGCACACATGAGAATCCACACAGGAGAGAAACACTTCAGCTGCAGTGTTTGTGACAAAAGCGTCACTTGGCATCATCAGCTCAAAAACCATCAGTGTGTTGGTCACTCAGCTGATTGTGGAGGATCCACACCAGCCAAAGACCATGTAGCACTCACTGTCACCCACTGACATTCACAGAGACCACAGATTGTTAGTGACGGAGTGTGTGTGGTTGCGTGAACATGTCTAAAGTCTACATGATGACAGCTCTGGTGAAGCAGTGACTAAGTGCAGCTGCTGAAGAGATCTTTGTTCTGTTTGAAAGAGCCGTAGCGGAGTACGAGGAGGAACTATGTCGTTCAGAACAGGAGAACCAGCGACAGCATAAACTACTGGACACTGTTTTCAGCCCCTAAGGTTCTGTTACACAGACCAGGTTAGTTCTCCTCTTATTCTTGCACAGTCAGATTCCCAAGCTCGAGTGCTGTCTCCCACCCCTTTACCTGAACTAAACCTTATACCAAACCCGCCATGTCTGTCTACTCTGAGTTTTCTGTCACCTGACCTGATACATGATTATTTGCTGTAATTTCATTGTTTTCTTTTTAACTGTATGTTGTTTTTATTATTTTTATTGTGTTTTTAATCTTCTGTAAAGTGTCCTTGAGTGCTGTGAAAGGTGCTGCCAAATAAAATGTATTATTATTATTATTATTATTATGATGAAGCTTCTCAGATTTCATTTAAACTTCTGGGATAGTTTTCCAAAATAAAAACTAACAATGAGGACATACAGTACCTGTAAAAGTATTTTATTTATAAGGAATATTGTAACTGTTGTTGATGTAGTTAAAAGTGTGAATTAGATGAATGAATGAATGAATTAATTAATTAATGTGAGGTTCTGAGCCTCTGGTAGAGAAACTCTACATCAGGAACTTAAGTCTGGACATGAAACCATTGGCTACGTAATGTCAATGTGTCTGTATTTCACTCTGTCCTGCAGACGTCCAGCAGCTGCTGGTGAGGAGAGAGGAACCTCCCTCTGAGCAGCAGGCGTGGATCTTCAGTCTGGACCAGGAGGACCCAGAGCCCCCACACATTAAAGAGGAACAGGAGGAACTCTGGACCAGTCAGGAGGGAGAGCAGCTTCAAGGACTGGAGGAGGCTGATATCACCAAGTTCACATTCACTCCTGACCCTGTGAAGAGTGAAGATGATGATGATGAAGAGAAACCTCAGTCCTCACAGCTTCATCAGAGTCAGACTGAGGAGAACAGAGAGGCAGAGCCTCCAGCCAGCAGCTCAACTGAACACATGGAGACAGAAGCTGATGGAGAGGACTGTGGAGGACCAGGACCAGACAGGAACTCAGATCCACATAAACCTGATCCTCATGTCAGGGCCGAAGACTCTTTTGAGACTCAAGATTGAAGTAGGTGATAACTGTATTCACACAGGAGATAAAACATTCAGCTATTCAGTGTTTCAGAAACACTTCAAAACCAGTGAAAATACAAACAGGAGAGAGACCACACAGCCGCTCAGTTCGTGGTCACAGTTTTATCCAGAGATCTAATTTGGTGAAACAGATGACGAACCACTCTCTCTAACTTCTGACAGAAAACACACTGGTGTGTCGAGAAATGAAGGAACCTGAAGTGTCAGCGTTAAGTGTCATATGGCAATGTGATATTTCAATTTTTACTTTTTAATATGTTTGAAAAAAAATTCTACAATTCTGTTCTCACTTTGTCATTATGGAGGATTGATGTAGATTGATGAGGGAAAATAATTTAAATGATTTCATTTTAAAACTGCAACATAACAACATGTGAAACAGTGATGGTCTGAAGACTTAATGATTGAAGTTATGAACACTGACACATGGCAACAGGAAGAACTGATCTACTACAGATAAAACTTTATCATCCAAAAACAAAGATGAAAGTTTCCAGAGTGAAACCGTTCGTTTTCTGTTTGATGTCATAAACTAAAAATATAACCTCAGAGGATTAAGGTGGCCGGCCAGGCGCAGCAGGGTATATTTTTGCTTTTCTACTGCACAGTGGATGATGTGACTCATGAAGATGAGATCAGATCACACAGTGAAGTGATGTGATGATAAGTTTCTGTGGCTGCAACTCTTTTATATTGTGTTTTCTTCTACACACCATAATAACCTTTGTTAAACCTATTAATCAGTTTGTTAACCAGTTCACCAGTTTAACCAGTGACCTGCCTGCACATGATAATTTGTCTGTTCATGAAGAGAAGAAGGAAAGCTGCATTAACTCTGCAGGGTCAACACGTTGACCTCAGAGCGTTCCCTGCTTTCCAGTATAAAGCTCTTACTATGATGTGTCAGTCACATATTGGAGGAGCTCAGTGTGATGTCATCGTCTGGTCATGTGACTCCTAAACCAAACTAAGAGGATTACTGTTTCCTCTTCAGTCCGTGATTCCTACTTCATCTGTTGTTTTTATTCATACAGAGGAAGAAACAAGCCTGTGGACAAACTGCTTGCTTGATTGATAGATTGATTGATTGATTGATTGATTGATTGATTGATTGATTGACAGATGAAGCTGAATGTGTTTCTGCTGCTGATCTGTTGCGTCTGTCTGCAGAGAGTCGACTGCAGTCTGCCCAACTTCACACCTGCAACGCCTCAGCTGCAGGTAGGACATTTGCATGCTGGGAAAAAATTAAACCATGATCAAAAACACAAACTACACGTAAGTGCTGTTGAAATTCAGTGGATTACTATTATCAGGCCTTCTATGTTTAATACATTACATACTTTTATCATTCGTGTGTTGTTTCTGTCCTGTTGTCAATAATGTTATCTCAGTGGGCCAACCAGGCACCAGGTCCAGGGGGTCAGGGGGCTCCTGGTCCAGATCCTCTAGTTGAAGTGACTTCATATTTACTGTTGGAAAGTGACAGAACTCAGTTTAAAGTAGAGATGTCCTGAATCTAATCAGTTTAATGATGAACAAACAAATCCAGTATTTGATCTAGTTCATTTCTCATTTCATGCAACATTTAGGTTCACACTGACACAGCTCTGCTTTAACAAAATAAAAGCTGCAGGTCAGGCTTTCTTTGACAGTTTACTACTCTACCTATTGACCACAGAGACTCAAAACCACCACAAAGAGATTCACAAACACCAGAGATTCAACACAACCACTAAAACAGATATCATTCACAGAGACATGTTTCAGTTCTGACATTGAGCAGCTGAAACACTTTATTCTCTACTTGTTGTAATGTTGGTCTTGTTCTTTGTGTCAGATTGAAGTGACGGTGAACTCAAACACTGACATCAAGAACGGGTTCAGTCGACTTCCTGGACTCTGTCGACGCCTGAAGAGACGCAGAGTCACTGTCCTGGTAAGACCTCACATCTCAACAGAGATCGTGAGAAATTACTTGCAGAGAGTATGATAGAGGGCCACCTGTCTAACCTTATTTTATTTATGTCAGTGTAATCTGGAGAAGTTCTGCTGGCGGCGGCGGGGTCAGAAGAAACAGTCCGGTCAGGTGTGTCGTTGTCCATGGGGCTCCAGGTGTTTGCATTTCTATGTCCACAGTCTCTGAACCACCTTTAAATAATAGAAATGACGTCACTCGGAGGGCGAACAACGTCACTAACCTTCAACCTGCTGGGATGAACTTCAGCAATCCAGAGGTTTTCCATGAACACTTCCATTTTAACACTTAAATAACGGTCAGAAAATTAATCTTCTGTGCTGTTGCTATAAAACATGACATCACATATAGGTTTTAATACATAATATAATTTTTTTAATTATTTAAATATTTTTTATTTTATATATTTTATATATTAGGACAATAACTTCAGTAAAAAACAAACAATATGTTAAAACTGTGAGACTGCACACCAATTTTAATGTTTTCACTTCCTATTCATTTATGTTGGCTCCTGAAATATTTTATTTTATTTTGTATAGAATTATTATTTTCTTAAATGTATTTATTAGTAACATTTGTAAAATTAAATTTTTATTGAAATTCAACAAAAATTGAAAATAAAGTGTGAATTAAGTTTGACCTGTTTATTAATTTATTTTTCAACTAATACAGTCATTGATTCCATCATTCTTGTCACCGTCCAACGTGTACATCTCCAACACAACAAAACTAAGAAGACGACGTCAGGAAGTGACGCATTTAGACCTTCAAAATAATGGTATTTTATTACATTCGCACACAGCGGCTTGTACAAACACAGTAGTCAAATCAATCAAAAACATCAAACAATATATTCTATGACTTGTTACATTATTTAGTTATATTCACAGATACAGTGTATACCGCATAATATATTCACCCTAGACAATATGTAACACTGCTGCATAGTTTTTGGTGGATATTTCATATGTGTACCTATAGAACTATACATGTTCATACAATATAGATATCCAAACTTCACTATGACTCTTTAAAGTATGTTTCAAACGATTGTAAAACATAAACTTTATTGATATGAAGTATTTTCCCTTTCCTTTTTTTATTTATATTTAAAAAGCGTTTACTACAGACAGATTCTGACATGTATTTGTTGCAGTAGTATTTCCTGTGTTGCTATACACTTCATTGTAAATTAAAACATTCATACATCTAGAATCAGGATTTAGTGATGTGATTTGGTGCTTTTATTTTGAAGAAACCATACCGGAATTATTCCTGTGTTATTTGACGTCAACCTGTAGGTCTAAGGCCGCGGACAAATTCAGTAACAGTCGATGGTTTAATCAGATCTCCTTTACTCGGTAGATTTAACTATTAGATTGTGTCTCTCCGCCGGTAATCAACGGTTGTCTATTCTTATCGGTTCCCGCGCTGATTTTGAAATGGCGACTGTTACGGTGAGTGTGGAGCTAAGATAGCTAACGTTAGCATGTATCTGTAAGTGAATACAATGCTAGCAGGGTATCTGTTAGCATTAGTAAGCAAACAACTGGACTGTTGTCTGACTGGTTTATTTAACGTCGTTACTCATCGTGAATGTATTCGGTTCTTCGTGTCGTCACTCAGATTGGCAATTAGAGTTAAATCATTAACTTTGTTAGCTAGCCTGCTAACGACGTATCTTTGTTTTGAGTCTGCACAGAAACGTCAGAGAGAAACGACAGATTCAAGAAACGGTTTATAAAACTACTCGGTATTATTGAATGATTACCTGCTGTCAGCTGATTGATTAACTCAAAATACATGCTTTATTATCCGTTAGTAACAGCAGCTCGGGACTTATTCTCCAGATCATAAACTCTACATTAAACGTACCATGTACAAGATTCTGTGACCTTAAACGATTTGTCAGTCTCCAGAAAATTAATTAGTTGATAAAACTTTACTTTTGATAGTTTTTTTTAAAAGCATAAATGCAAAGTATTTGATCGCAGCAACCCAGATATGAGATGTTGCTTTTTCTTGACTCACATTCAAGTAAAGCAAATCTCTGGGTTTCGACTGATGGCCAGACCAAATCAGACTTTTGAGAAACTGAGATGAACATTTTTCATTATTGTCTAGACAAGAAAATAACCGTCAGATTAGTTAAAGTTAAAACTCTGACGACAGACTGATCCTGATTGATTGACTGATTGATCTGCTCTCTTTTATCTTTTAGGTTTCAGCAGCCTGGAGTCTTAAAAAAAGTCTGTTCAGTTGAATCACAATGTAAACAGACAGACAGTAAACCAGCAGCGAGTCAGGCAAGAAACAGGACAGAACCAGTCAGGAGCCAGTATCCAGGGTCAGGGTGGCTGTGGTGTCGTCCTGGTGGAGGAGTAAGCTGATGGAGAGTGACTGTCGGATCCCCGTGGCATGCTGTCGGCCTCGAGTCCTTGTCCTTCATGCCCTGTTCTGGGGCCTCGTCTCGCTCAGGTTAGTCTCTACACTGAGGTGACAGGTCAGTCTAGATTTTAAAGTCAGAGAGCAGCTGGTGAACATAATGGAGCATTCAGCAGTGCAAGAGCCGGATATTTCACTCAGGAGCAGGAGGAGACCAAACACAGAGATTAAAGAAAATAAATAGGTTACTGACAGAAACCTGAAACTGTCTCAGTCCAGGACCAGAATCCTGTGTGATACTCTTTAATGTTTTGTTGTCTTTCAGAGTCTTTGGAGCAGCTCTGCTGAGTGAAGAGAAAACTACAGGTACTAACACCTGCATACAGTTTCATCAAAAATAAAACATGTCTCAAAACAGCAGCAGCAAGGTCTCCTGGGAAAGTGATCCCCTGGCTGTCAGGCTGGTGATGCTGCTGTTTTCAGAAGGTGATGTGAGAAATGAAGGCTGTTCTTCTCAGTCTGAGCTCTGACCTCTGTTCTTCTGCAGCAGTGAAGCCTGTGGTCACCCCCTGCTGGCTGCTGGAGGAGTTCGTAGTGACGACAGTGTGTTCACAGTGCAACGCCTTCCAAACTGTAAGTGTTCAAAAATAAAAAATAAAAAGTTTTGTCCGTGTGTAGATCTGTTAAGTGATAGATTTGTGTTTGTTGTGTTACAGAAGTCGTGGTCGGCCTGTGGACTGACGGGATACGTGGAGAGAGTCAACTGTACCAAATCCAACAGAGACGAGTACAAGAGGTCAGACTGTCACACTGTGACCATCATGAGTCATTAGATCGAGATCCAGGTTGAAAAGAAAAAATGCACAAGCGGAAAATTATTTTCTTTACAGTTAATAGTCAGAAAGACAAATGAACATGAATGAGAGGAAGAAAACAGTTTCTTCTCAGATTCACGTTGGAACCAGTCGTTCAAACACTCGTTCTTAACATAGACGTCACCAGTATTATTGTAGATGAAGTACCTGTTGTCAGACCTGTTGTCACTCACCAGTGGAAGTCTTAATATGAATGAATTAGGTGAAATCTGATGCAGAAATCAACTTAAATAAAATATAGAACTAAAAACAGATGTCACTGTCCCGTCAATGTCTTTTATCATCTCACTTCATGTTAAACTGCCCTGAATATGTTGTATAGTTAAGTTATTAGCGGCTCTATTATTCATGTTTTCTAATGGTTTAAACTTCTCTAATAAGAATACTGACACTGATCAAAAAGGCTTTAATTTTGACATGATGTTTGGACCCGTGGAAAGGATTGAAAGTCTTTGTACTGAGTTTAGGGCTTTATGTCTGACCTAGTTCTTCACAGGCCCGGTAGATAACAGGGTCTGGGATGTAAACACAGATGATGCTAAGTGAATGACTTGTGAAACATTCTAGTGCTTTACAACCTGAAGTCTCACATCTTTATTTTGTGATTATCAACAGTTAAATTTAATTAGCATTAAACTTTCTGATTTTTTAATATGTCATACAGAAGTTTTTGGAGATAGTTTTAAATGTTTGAAAAATATTGATTGCCCAGCCCTAAAATGTGCCCTCCCACCCCGACAGCTGCCGCTCTGCAGTGATGGAGGAGCATCTCTTCTGGAAGTTTGAGGCAGCCATGTTAGCTCTGACGGTTGCCTTTGCTGTCCTGGTGGTCATCCGTCAGCGCTGGCTCGACCGCCTCGCTTCTGAGAAGGTCCGTCGTCAGATTGAGTCCATCTAGGACACCAGAGACACCAGGACCTGGACCTGGATTGAGGGGTTTTTCCCTGCAGCATTATTTTAACAAGTGGAGTTTAAACTGATCCAGATTCAGAGTTTGGACTGAAGACAGACTGCGATGGATCAGGGAACAGCACTAAAGAAAGCTGCGGGAAACTAGACTTTTTGTTCGCGGCAGAGGTGTAAAGTCTGAGCTGTTCTAACTCTTGTTTTCTTTCCTTCATCAACGATTAAATCTTCATTAAAATTCATTAAAGGTCAAATTCTCCATTAAGAGTCTGTTTTCAAATTTTCCTCACAGATGTAAACACGTTGGAGATTTGTGGTTTTCCTGGGACAGTAACATCATCACATTACAGTTGCATACTGAACTAAATCTTGTTGTCAGTTAAGGAATTAAATCTTTATGGAGAATTTAACTTTTTTTAATCAACAACTGTTTTTAAACTGAATTTGTTCAAACTTTGTTTTTGAAGGAAGAAAAGGAAACCTTAAAACCAGACCTGAACCAGGTTGGAGCTGGACCTCAGTGGTCCTCGTTCTCATTTTAAATACTCCCACAGTGTTTTGTTTTGAATCTGTCCTTCACCTGATTGGGCAATCTCACCAGTGGATGGGCTCTGATTGGTCCCTGCCTCAGCGTTTCAGCCTGAACAACCAATGATGGCAGCAGATACGTCATCATCTGAGCATCTGATAGGTCGGAACAGATCTGACGAGCTCAGAGGTTCAGTCGACAAGCTGATGAAGACGATCAAACTTTTCTCCATTGTTCAGCTGCTGTGTCTTTAAGCATCAGGTGGATCGTTTGATTTTCTGTTGAAGTTCAGATGATTTTTATTCATTATAGGGTTCAACTGTAAATATGTTTAGTTTTGTTTTTCTGTGAAGTTTAAGACAAATAAACTTAAGAGGTAACTGATGAGTCTGAGCCACAGTTTGTTTTTAAAGGAACTAAACATTTATCCTCACGTCAGACTTTTAAAACAAAGACTCCAGAGCCTCAGATGACAGACATTTTTATTCAAGTAAAAAACTTTTTTTTAATTTATACAGAATTTGGCAGAATCCATAAAAACCTGGATTTGAACCATTTAAACATTTTAAAAGAAAAGTTACAAACTAAAAAAACAAGTTACAAGATCATCATTTGTTCCAACACATCAGTGTAAAAACAAAATGAAGGTACAGACGCACTCCACCCCACCCTGTCTGTTTCTCCTCTTTAAGTCAAAACATGAATCTGACAAAGAGAACCCTGTCAGTGGTTTTGTCCCACTGTTGTGTTGTGTGTCTGTATGTGATGGTGTGTTATATCCCTCTTTATATTTCTTTCCTCGTTTTCCTTCCCCAATTAAAAATAAAAACAGTCAGCTGACAGAAATGTATTCAGAGGTTTAAAATCAAAACTGCTGATTCAATGATTAAAAATCTAAAACAATAAAAATCAGCTCCAACATGTAGAAACTTTTCTTCACTATTAAAAACAAAAACAGGTTGTAGAAAATAAAAATCTTAATAAATACCCTCGGTCCTGATTGGCTGACTGAACCGCAAGGGGGAGGTCTTCAGGACAGTGATGTCATCTGTCCTTTAGCAAGTCTTTAAAAACAAAATTAAAACCATCTCTGTCATCTCATTGGCTGGGACCCAGCTGTTAGTTGATTGGCTCATAGGCTGTCGTCGAGTCTGCCGCTCTCTTACGTATGCAGACCCAGAGTCCACCCAGCAGCAGGAAGACCACAGGAGTTCCCAGACCAACCGCCATGATGGCGACAACCAGTGGAGAGAAGGAGTCAACAGGTGGAGAGCCGACACCCACCAGCACAGTCCTAAAGGACAGGAAGTAGAAGTTAATCTACAGGACTACTACACTGATCAGAAGTCATCAATATGGATCATTAACCAGACCACAGACCAGCTGAGGAACTGAGTGCTGTTGTAGAACGGTTCTCCTGCGAGGCCGAAGCTCACGTTGAGTGCAAACGTATCAGGTTCTGAGTAAAACGCTCGGATCAGACCAGATGATGCCGCTGTCTTCTCACTGCTCTGAGGCCTAGGGTCGGAGTGACGGCATGGCGTGGCGTCCTCCAGAGCTGGATTAGACTGACGGTACGCCACCGGCTTCCACTGCACGAAACCCAGAACGTCAGAGCTGCCGTTCACCGACGAAACCCACTGTGACACCTGAGGGGTCAGAGGTCAGAAAGGGCAGGGTTAACCCAGTAAGACACCTGAGAGGTCAGTTTGGTTGATTATCTTTAAACACTTGATGATCTTCAGAGCTGCTACATTTTTTTTCATTATCAAACAATCTGACTAATTTTTCCTGATAAATCGATTGATTGACGAGGTTACAAAACGCCAAACATGTCCCTCCTCTTCTCTCAGAGCTCAAGTGACGGCTTCAGGTGTCCTGTTGGACCGACCAGAACACAAACAAAACAAATGTTCTGACTGAAATGATCAATCGATCAGTTGCAGATTATCCTTCTGTTGATTGATTAACCAACTGATTGTTTCACCCAGTTACTGATGCCCTGTGTGTACTGAAGATCTTTTTTCTGTTGTATAAATAAAACATTTGATTCGTCGAATTACTGATTACCTTGAATATTGATGGTGTGTACTCGTCATCGATCGATCGATGAACCTCCACTCTGCTCAGAGGATATGCCCCACTAACTGCCTGTAGCTCCAGTAGGAACCTGGAACGATTTGCCCGTGGCAACATACCATCAAGCCACACCCCCATCTGGGAGGAGTTAGCTGTGTGTATGAGGCGGGGCCACAACTCACCACGTCCCTCCGACTGAAACACTGACAACTGGGGGGGAAAAAACAGAGGGCTGAAAGAATCTATAACTAAAGATTTGTCTTATTGATTATTTGAATCACTTCACTAAAATCAATACAACACAGACAAACAGATTGGTGACTGGAGGTCAAAGGTCATGTGACGCTGGTGTCACCGTGAAGGCAGTCAGCTGTAGCTGTATGTGGACAACTGACCTGCAGGCAGAGCGATCCATTCGTGAAGTTTGAGGCGGCTCCACAGAGCAGAGCAACTGGACCCGACAGGTTGAGACGAGACCAGGTGAAGTTCTGCAGCTCGTATGGAGGGAAAGGGTCAGAGGTCGGATCAGCCGTGTCGTTAACGTCATCGTACTCCAACAACTGAGAGAGAAACAATGAAAACGTCAGAGATCCAGATTTTATTTTCCTCTTTTTACATCAAATTCTTCTTCATCAACTTCCTGTTACTTGTCCAAACCCAACACACAGAAAAAAAAATTCTGTATTCTGTACTCTATGACCAATCAGAGCACACTGGGCTCTGATTGGTCAGCTTGCCAGCAAGGACCATGGCAATAACATGTCCTGCATGTCTCGTGTAAACAAACGGTTGTGGCGGCTTCGGTCCTGTTTATCATTTTGAGCAATGGTCCGATTCTGAACCAGAAGATGACAGACCTGATCCACCTTCACAAGCTGGACTGGAGCAGAAAACGAGTGTACTCACTGTCAGGCAGCCGCAGCGCTGCAAATGAAGATGCTGGACAGTCTGCAAAGACTTCGGATGACATTATTCATAACTTGGAATACTTTTATGTGTGGACACCTCCGGGCTAAAGGAATGTAAATAATGGAGGAACAGACAGACAGTCGACAGATAGGGAATCTCTACCGCTTCACCTCCTGCTGGTTTATGATGCCAAAAATCTGATTGAATTTAACTTTAAGGTGCATAGCTTCTGAAAAACAAACTCAGCGGTTAAATTATGGATAATTTATCTGAGCTAAGGAGGTGCAGCATCAACACTGACAAATGTTTATATCTTTGCTGTGGCTTCTTACTAATGTGATCAGGTCGCGGTGACACAGTTAAACATCACAGATCCACAATAACTACACAGACTGTAGGCTGTGAGCCTGAGTCCCCTGCTCGGCCACATTAAGTGTGAACTACAGAAATAACTGAAAATGAAACATCTAACTGTGGGTGTTTTCTGAAGCAGTCCTCCTTGAAGTGCAGGATCACACTATAATGTTTGGAGCAGTGGAGAACCGCGGAAAGATGAAGTAGATTTCTGCAGGAAATTGAGAACACTGTCTTTTCGGCATTGGCTACAAAACTAAAGAAAAGTCTTCATTATAAATAGTTATGTGCTGTGCCTTGTGTGGGGGCATGCCAGGCTTGCAGGGGGTGTCCAGGTGGCAACAAGAGATATATTGAAGTCACTAGGACCAGGAAGTAATGTCTGGACCCCCAACGAGGCTTTTCTTACAAAGGAGAAAATTGGGTTTTTATCCTGACAGAGTTTCTCACTTTGATGTAAACTTTGATCCATATGACTCTGTAGACCATTTACATGCACAAAAACCTATATAACACACTATAAGTAAGGGAAAACTCGGAAAAGCATAATAGGTTCCCTTTAAAGTTATATTTAGTTTCAAAGTTTAGTAAAAACACAGTAAAGGTGAACAGAGCCTTTGGGAGGAACAAGTCTACGTTCTGTTTAGGCAACATTAATGTCTATGTCTTTCACTAAAATGTCGTCCTTCAGTTTAACCTCAGTAGGACCTCATCTCTGGTGCTCCAGTGATGGTTTGATCCATGTGCACAGACTTATGATCGAGGATAACGTGACCCAGTACCTCACACAGACCAGTTCACATGTTTTAAAATCATTCATAAACAGCCTTTTGTTTAATGGCGATGACCAGATGTTCCTCCTGTTGAGACTGAATAGATATTACTGCAAAGAGGAGGAGGAGGAGGAGGAGGAGTCTAAAAGGGCGAGGGGTGTGTATTTTTCCTTTTCACTGAAGGGACAAAGTCTTCTACAACAATCTTTTAACTTTTAACTCATTTCAAATTTATATTTTATTTCATCTTCTCTTTCTGTCTGCAGATTTAAGGTGGACAGACTGATTTAATGTGGACAGACTAATTTAAAGTGGACAGTCTAATTTAATGTGGACAGACTGATTAAAGGTGGACAAAGTCATTAAAGGCAGACAGACTGACTTAAGGTGGACAGTCTGATTTAATGTGGACAAACTGATTTAATGTGGACAAACTGATTTAAGGTGGATGTTTCTGACCCTGCTGAAGACAACGGCAGTGCTGTACAGGATGCTACTCTCTGGCTCCACCCTCAGGCTACCGCTGGTGTTACGAGCCAAAAACAGAGGCCAGTCCACCTGAGAGAAAGAATACACAACACACATCATGGTCAGAATATTAGGAACACTTGTGAACATAAAGCAGCATCAGTGACTCTGAGCTCAGCAATAAAAGACTCAAGTTATGAACAAGAATAACTGATCATTAGAGGAATCTTAGACGTTGTCCTGATGTCCGAACAGCTGGATTAGATTGTGCAGGTGTACCTAATAAAGCGGTCAATAATACACAATGAATAATACTGAATAAATAATATACATGGATTCACTACATAGTTGTTGTCGTTTACATATTTTTCACTGAGCTGCTGAACTGTGACTACACAGACATTCGAAATAAGTGATGACAGAAACAACAAAAAAGTCATCTTGTCTGTTTTAAATCAACGATTAGAAATATTTTCTGAACTGTGTTTCTGTGGTTGAAGGTTTTTACCTTCACAGTAGAAGAAGAAGAGTTGGTGTGGACGAGCAGCAGCGTCGGCGCCCCCTGACTGCAGAACAGGAAGTGCAGCGTATCATTGTCTCCCACAGCTCTCACATGCAGCAGGTCACCACCAGGAGGTGTCACGGTCAAGCCAGGGTTCAGCTCTACCGACACCTGAAGGAGAGAAGAATCAGGTCATCATCCGTCAATCATCAGTGATCAAAGGCTGACACTGATTGATTGATCAGTGGCTCCTTTTACAGAAGAAAATCTAAATCAGTGTCTTTAACTTTGTCGAGTTACATTAAAATATTTCTCTTTAAATAAACTTATTAATGCAAGAGTCAAGTAAAACTTCTGTCATTCTCATGTTTAATATTTTCCTCTGAAGAAAAACAAACATAAACTAAACAGAAGGTTCAATCTTTCACTCCAGGATAAAAACTTTCAGAATACATCAAATGTCAATAATCTGCTTTAAAGTGAATATTGAACTGCATCTAAATGTTTTTGTTTTATTTACTGTGGATCATATTTAACTCCATGTGTTACACTGTTCCACTGCTGTATTAGTTTACCATGAATTTTATCACATATTAGTGGATTATTCTTTATTTGGGCTTTTTGAGCTTGATCAGAGATACATTGAATATCAACCTTCTACACTTCTTTCTGTTTGTAAGAGTTTAAACATTTCAGAGTTTTCCTGTTTGTTTCAAATATAAAAAGTCAAATATTTCTCTTTGAAATGATAGTAGCAAATTAAACTAAATGGAATCATAGGCATCAAATGAAACTTTTTTCTGTAATGTTACAAGAAAATAATCTGCATTAAACACAAGAATAAAACACTAAGAAAACAAAAGTCTCAACAGTTTTACACCTGAATTTAAAGTGGATATCATTTAACTGCATAAACCCGTTTAGACTTTTAATGTGGAGACTGTGTGCAGCCTGTCTGAACTGTAGGGAAATAAAATGTATCACTTTCACTTCCTCTGCTCTGTTTAACTCGATGTTTTCACACACTTCCAGGTTCCAGGTTCGCTTTAATTTTTTAATTTTCTCACCTGTCGTTTGAATGTTTCTCCTCCGCTGAACAAACCGAGACACGAAGTAAAAACATAAAACAGAAGAAACACAGAAGAAACTCCACAGCTCATCGCAGTCGCCATCTTTGTTGTGACTGAGCCGCGAATCACATGACCTCTATCTTCATATGTCAGCTGACTACTGAGAAGCCCCGCCCTTCGAGCTTTTTTTTTTTTTTTTACTTTTTAATCTTTATTAACAAAGTCTGTTACCTTAGATACAGTTTAGATACTGTACCTGTTCATCTACAGTCACAGGTCAAAGAACATTTTACTAGTGTATTTTTACAGCAAAGGTATCTTTTTATATTCATGATTGAGACTAATCTGTCAGTTTAGCTGATTATTAAAATTATGGTAGTTGTTGTAGCCAGTTAGTTAAATAAACAAATCCTCCAGTTTAAGATGTAATTAAAATTTTTCTAAATTATTTTCCATATAATCAAAATCTTTAAACAATATAAACAAATTAAACCACTGTAGATACTTACTCCACTCAAAGAATAAACTAAAGTAGTTTTTTGTTTTCCTCAAATATTTGTTTTGTCATCAAACTTTGATTTTTTTCCTCAGTATGTTAAACATGTTCTTTGTCGTAATTCCTGGTTTGTATCATGTTGTTTGTTTCCTGTATTCAACAATAAGTCCACAGTTTAAATGAACCAAATTAAATTCAAGGAATTTATTCATTAAAACTTTAGTTAAGGCAACATCGTTAATCATCTCTCCTTGATCCCAGATATGATATTTGGTCTTTATGATCCTGATTATTAAATTAATTTAACTATTTTCAATGAACTAAATGTCACATCACACTGTCATCAGTTCTCAGATTTCACCCTCTCTCACTGATAGGACTTGTTTTCATTTTGTTTTTACAGACATTTCAAACAGTAAAAACCACAAGCATCTGCAGGTCACACAAAGGTGGGTGGTTCAGCTTCAGGTGAGTTTGACAGGTGAACAGGTGTGAAGATGTCAGACATATGAGGAAGAATGAGAACAGGTCAGAAACGTGTTTCTAAGTGACTTTATTGGCGCTTTTATTAAGTTTCAGTGAGTCGTCGCGTCCCCACACACACACACACACACACACACACACATACATACACACACACAAACAGACAAACACACAGACTGTCGGAGTGACTCTGATGCTGATCTGGATCAATGTAGATCTACTCGGCTCCCTGTCCTCCCATCTGCTCATCTTTGTCTTTCTTCTTGTGACCAGAGACAATGTCATCAATGCGCAGCAACAAGATGGCCGTCTGAAAAATACAAGTCCATATCTGTCAGTGAGCATCATCAGTATCAATCAGTATTGATCAGTATTGATCAGTATTACGTTTTTGTCCTCACCTCGACGGCAGTCTTGTACGTCTGAGCTTTAACAGCAAGCGGCTCCCAGATCCCCAGAGACGACATGTCAGACAGAGAACCAGTCTCTCCGTCCACACCCCAACACACACTGTTGTCCTGAGTGTGTTTGGCCTGAACACAGAGATACAAAGAGAAAGAGACGGAGAGGGACATGGACAAGAGACACAGAGACAGAGACACAGAGAGATAGAGACATGGGGAGACAGAGGGAGACGCAGGATGAAATCATTCGTAACACTAGAAATACACAAGAAATTTAAATTAAGTTTTGCATCCTGAAAACCCTCATTTTAAGAAGGTAATTGACATTATAAATAAAGTTTTATTGTACCCTCAGTGAGGTGAGCACTCGGATGGTGGAGGCTCCACAGTTCTGGATCAGGGTTCGGGGGATGACCTCTAGAGCCTGGGCCACAGCGCGGTAAGGCCACTGTTCGATGCCGGTCAGAGCGCGAGAACGCTCCGTCAGACGCTTCGACACCGCCATCTCCACAGCGCCGCCACCTGGCAACAGGAAGGGGTCCAGCAGCACATTACGACACACCTGCATGGCATCCTGCAGGTTCCTCTCAACCTCCTGCAGATCAGAGACATGGGTCAGTAAGTGGTCCACTGTGACAACACCGTGAGTCGATGTGAGAACAACACGTGACCTGTGACCACAGGAAACTGAAAGAAGTGTGAACAGCTGATAAAGTTCATATGTGAAGAAGCTTCTGGATCACAGTATGAAGAAGCAGGAAGAGACAGATCGTTAAAGGTTTTATAAATAATGATAAGTAAGATGGCGGATGCTCACAGCGAGGATCTCCTTGCTCGCTCCTCTCAGCAGGATGGTGCAGGCTTTTGGATCTTTACACTCAGTGACAAAGGTGAAATACTCATCACCGATCTTCTTCACCTCAAACAGGCCTGCCCCCAAACCAACGTCTTCCTCACGCAGCTCGTCAGTCCGACTGACGATACGAGCACCACATGCCCTGGGAGAGAGAGAGAGCGTGAGAGAGTGAGAGAGAGAATTCACTATCTGGACTGGAGTCACAGGGACCACGACCTGTGGTACGAGTCACAGCAGGACAGAGGTTTTCTCAGAGTACTTTCCTCGCTCTCTGCAGAGAGGTTTTCATCATAAACATCTTGGTAGGAAAAAAGTTTGTTTCTCAACAGCTCATTGAGCTCTCACTAGTTTTCAGTGTTACTGTGTAAATGATCAGCATCATGACAGGTCATCCTGAGAAGAACATGAACCAAAAACCCTCACTGCAGCTAAAGATGACAAGTGACTACACAAGGAATAACAGTTTAGAAGCCACTGTTCCTGCTGTGTCACATCATATCCATTTGAGAGCTGATTGGACAGTCAACATCATTAACAGTTGGTTTACCTGGCGATGCGGTTGTTGTCGGTTTTCCTCACACGGCGGATGGCGGTGATATTTGCCTTCACCAGGTAGTGCTGAGCCAGATCTGGAGACACACAGAAGCTGTTGTTGGTGTTGTGTTGTGAGATTTAATTATTATTTGTTTTTTTGGTCTTCGTATCTTTATGTATCTGCATAATAAAATTTTTTTTACATTCAGCGGCCAGCTGACCTGGTTAGGGTTAGGTCAGGACTGAATCACGGTGAACTCTTGATTATAGACAATAATCATAAATTTATTAATGTGAATGTGACTCATTAGGAAACATAAACATGATGTGATGATGAAGTTCATGTTTGAGATAAAACATGTTGCAAATTATTTAAGGAGTGAGTGAAGTCATGTTGTAGTTCAGAACCAGATGTGGTCCAGGTGTGCTGTGTGATACCTGATATGCCCTTCTCAGTGAAGATCAGGTCTGGTTTGAGGCGGATGATGTCCTCGCAGATCTGCTGGATGTACTCTTCCTCCATCTGCAGGATCCTGGCGAAGTCCTCCTCCTTACTGATCTCTATGTCGGTCTACAGGGGGTCAGTAGGACAAGTGTTGAGTACAGGTACAGCACCGCGTCTGAGTGTGACATCATGTTAGTGTGATCGAGTACCTGGCTCTCTCCCTTCTTGTACTCCAGAGAACAGTCCAGCAGGACGATCCGAGGGTCTTTGATCATGCGTCTCATCCTGGGATGGGTCACGTCTTTGTTGACCATCACTCCTTTCAGGACATACGAGTCCTCAATGATGCCCCCTGGAACCTGGATCAAAGGAAGAGGATCGACAGAATTAGCAGAGTCAGGATGGATCTGAGTCATCAGTGCAGATCAAAGTCTTTGGACTCGTACCTTCTCAACCTTGGCGTACTTCTTAATGTCTATCTCTTTGCGTCCATTGTCCTCCAGCTCCACAGTACGAACTGCGTCCAGAGCGATGCTGCAGGCCAGTTCAGACCAGCGGCTCAGAGCTTTGGTGTTGATGGCAGAGTGGACAATCTTCAGCATCATGGAGCGGTCTGCCGTGTCCACGGGAGTGCTGGAGGGGGTCAAAGGTCAGTCAGTAACCTGATGAACTCCTGTCTAAATGAGGTACAATCTGTCAGTCTGGGTCAAAGGTGAGTCTCTGAGTTTGGTGTGAAGACATCACTGAGCTGTGATCAGAGAGCTTCACTGTTCCTCATGCAAAAAACAATCAGCAGATTAAACATCATGAACCGGTCAGTCAGTCACAGCTCCAGTTCAACATATTCAATCAGAGAGGATTCACTGAGAGTACGGAGCCAGAGGTGGTGTTTTCAGATTCACCGCTGTGCCAAGCCGTTATTTTATTTTTTTTAATCATTTATTTTAAACCGTCTTCCCTGGCCTGTAAATAAGGTGAAATCTTCCACTTGCAACATTCACAGAAACGACATCACACTGCTCTTATAGAGCTGTTTGTGTCAGGAGCATGTGGTCTTCAGTCCTGTAAGAAACCATCCCTCTGTCAAATTCCTACCGAAATTCAGGACTATCAGTTCTGGTTCTCAAGTCTCATTAAAACCCCCAGAGACTGGTCTGATCACAGATTTAGAGCATACCTGATCTCCTTCAGAGTGTCCAGCATGTCCTCCAGGGCCTGTCTATAGGCGCTGATGATGATGGTCGGGTGCATCTGCTGCTCCAGAAACTGCTCCGCTACAGACAACATCTCCCCAGCTGAGCAGACACAGACAGACAGAGACAGGCCCATGAACAGTGTCTGTGATTTGATCTACAGCAGCTGACTGAGGACAGAATCTGACAGGTTCAGTTCAAAACTGCCAAAGTAGCTCATGTTCTCATCTCTCCTTATCTTATAATAAGATAAAAACTTCTAGTTCCATTTCCAAAACAGAAACTGATGTAAAGGTGAAAAACGTTCAGTTCATCTTCCTGACATGAAATCACTGACAACGTTCTACTCGGTTCCTGAACCTGACAGGAAAAGCCACTGAACCAGCTGCTCTGAGGGTTCAGTTCTCACCCAGTATGATGACAGACGTGGTCCCGTCTCCCACCTCCTCATCCTGAGTACGGCTGATCTCTATCATCGACTTGGCTGCAGGATGCTGAACCTGGATCTGTTACCATGGAAACACACGATTTGTTTCATGTAATGCTTTAAATCACCACTACAAAGCAAAACTAAGCAAGTTCCCCTCACCTCTCTGAGGATGGCATTTCCATCGTTAGTCATCACAATTCCTCCTGTGGGGTCGAGCAACATCTACACACAGACACACACACAGTCACTTAAGTCACTTTATAAAGAAAAAGACCAAACCTCTGTCCACTGAGGATTAACTGTAATAAACTGTTGACCTGAGGTGACCAACTACAGATGAAACACCAGTGTCATTTCAGACTGGACTGTGTAACACTGTGACTGAGTAATATCCAGTATACAATAATGTTATCTATTACCACATCCTTCAGCCTCAGGATGTTTTTTTTAACTTTCTGTGCCGTGATTGGACGACAATGTCTCACCTTCATCATGGCCCGCGGGCCGAGGCAGGTCCTGATCACATCTGCGATCGTCTGAAAAACAAAGAGGCTGGTTACAGACCTGACGGTTAAAATGCTGTTCCAGTATCACACCCAGAGAGACCCATTATTCAGTTTGGTCCCACTTCACACAAATCTACACACCTGGAGCCTCCAGTCTGTCCATCAGGTCAACAAGCACAAACAATGATCATCAGACAGAGGAGATGAACGAACAGGGAGACACAGGGAAAGTTTCTGTCTCTCTATCAGTTGTTGCATTTTTTCTCCTGATGAAGTTGACTGCAGCTCCAGACTTCTACCACCTGAACATTTGAAATGAAGCTGTGTCTGATCCTTTCATCACCGCTACAACTGAACCAACATGGTTGTTCCATTTGAAGATGTTTAGGAAGAAACTAAATGATCGTTAGAGGAAAGTTTGTGTGTGAAACCTTTTTATTCATCCGACTTATCTTGTGACCCTTGTGGGGGGGCCCGACCCCCAGGTTTACCTTTGCAGCATTGATGTTCCCGGTCTGGACTTTACGTCCTGACTCTCTCTTCACGTTCTGGTCTGCATGGGGTAAAAAGTAAACAGACAGGAAGTTAATGACACAACACACTTTTGAGTTTATTATGAAACTCAGACAAACAGATCAGAACATAAATGTTGTATGGATATTGATATCGATTATTATTTCTGATGTGAAATCTTCAGATCAGGAGTGGTGATCAATAATGTGTCAATATAGAAACAAAACATATGAACTGAGTGGAAACTAAATTCTGCTGCTGGGGGAGAGGAACTTCAGAGAACACAGATCATACAGAGAACGTAGATCCACACTGAGGTGAACTGTGAAGATGTGTGATGATAAGATGAATGATTTATTCTGGTTGCTGCATTAACATCCAGTCAGTGAGACTAGCAACACACAAAAATAATAAAAAATAAAATCAGTAACAAACTGAACGCAGAGGATTTTAACTTTAACCGATGCCTCCAGATTGAGACTTTATCTAGTTTTGGAGGATCCGTATCAGTGAGGGTGTGGCTGCTTCAACAAAACATCTCATCATTTACACTTTAACACCGTTAGCCGGCATTAGCAGTTAACACAGTGACGAAGCTTTCTACCAGCCGTGAAGACTTCATCTTCCCACTGTTAACCGAACACATAGATGATAAATGGTGGAAGAAGCTAACTGCTAACCAGCTATTTGTCTATTTATGCTGAGTAACGGGGACATAGTCATTAGTTTAGCTTAGCATGTCGACGTGCTCTACCGATGAGCTTGTCAAGCTAACGATGCTAACAGTTAGCTTGGCTAGCACACCGGAGGAAGCACGTGCTGTGCCGGGCCTCTGTGACGGTAAACAACCACAAAGCGGAGACCGTAACGGCACCGAGCTGCCCCTGTGTCCTGGTTAACAGTTTATAGCTGTACAGAGTAAAGTGTGAGCGTGTTGGAGACACTTACTGAGCACTAAGACCTGCTGGCCGATCATTCTGACTGCGAGACCCGGACCACAGCCACCTAGAAGCTTCTGAGAGGCACGAGGAGAGGGAGGGCTCAATCCGCAGGGGCGGCAAAACCAGCACAGACAGACCAATCAGCTGACAGGAACAATATGACAGACAGATTTTTCACCAATCGAGTCAATAAGCTGAAAGCGTTAAAGCGATCACTAGGAAACAAAGCTCGGCCTTTTATGGCGAAAACCAACCAGACTTTATTTAAATTTTTCATGATTGTAGACAATGACAGTGAGTTAAGGGGGTTTTTATTCTTTCTTCTAAATTTAAAACGTTAATGTTGATGGATCCATATAAACTGTCTGTAATGACAAACTATTTCTAAAAATAAATATATTTGTACTGGATATCCTTAAAATACCATTAAAAAGGCATAGATAAAAATGAATTATTTTCAAACGAGAATTGGTGATGTATTTTAAACACAAATATATTTCAGACATGTTTTTACCCATCTCGTCACATTTCTTTCATGTTATATGTTCTTGGTAACAATTTAATTTAAGACAACTGGATATCTGTTGAATAATCAATAATGATTTAATAATTAGTTTATTGGTTGTATAATCAGTTTATAAAGGAGTAATAACTGGTAACAGGGCTAACATAACTTATGTGCCCACAGGAAATAATAAATTACAATAATCATGGAAAAAGAATTAGTCACATGGTAAATAAAAAACACACACACACACAAAGCTGTATTCAAAACTGTGCAAAGTTTTTTACGTCATTTTTTATTTGATGATTTTTATGATTTCACCTCTGTATTAATTATTAGTCTGGCTGAGGTCAAATTTCATGTGGTGATAGTGAAGTAAACAGCAGAGTCTATCAGTCAATTTATCTTTATTAAATTTTCTCAGCTCCTCTTCAGTGTAAACAGTAAATAATTTCTTCTGACAGTCATAAGGCTCAGAATACATGTTTGCATCAGTAAACAAAGAGACTTCATATACATCCAAAAAATAAAGTCTGTCATTCAGAAACAAATATAAAATCCACAGATGAGATTAACAAAAAAGTTCCACTGCTTTTGTGCATAAAATCAAAATAAATATTCATCATTGCTCAGAACCACATGACAGGAAAATATCTAAGGTTTTATTTTGAAATGAAATTATACAGTAAGATAAAATCTCTTCTTCTGTGTTTTATTTGAACTCAGAAGCCTTAGACTTTACAAACAGGAGTGTGACGACAACCTGAGCAACAAAGTTTTCACATGTATGCATCTGAAAAGTGTCAGCAGGTGATTTAACGAGTCGATCGACGACCGGCTTGATTATCTGTTTATGATTCCTCAGCTGCAGCCAGAGGTTTGAGTTTTAACCAACAGTGAGGTGAAACTGTCAATTAGCCTGTCAGATAATGATTTTGATGACGGAGAAATAATCTGAACCATTTGTGACACAAACCTCCACCATCAGTGTCTCATGTTTTCTGTCTCAGTAACTGAAGATCTTTGGGTTTCAGACACAATAAAACATTTTAAGACGTCACCTTTGAAAAAACGAATTGATTAAAATCAATCTGAAAATTAATCAATGGCTAAAATGTCAGTTAGTCTTATTCTAATCTGAAGGCAACAGGAGAAGAGTTGGTACTTTAAAAAACCACCTAATCTGTAATTTATGAACTAACATTTAAAACCAAACGTTTTGTTGTGTGAACTCATTGCATCTTATTATTTATTTATGTTGTGATATTGAAATTTGCCAAATTCTGACTTATTTTATGTCATTAAATCACAGCTGTTTTTGTTTTTTACAGTATCGGCCTCACACATCCAGTATCAGTTGTGCTCAATCACTTATTCACTACGTTTCCCAGAATGCCCTTTAGGAGTCACCAAAAAAGTCACCATGGGTGAGCACTGACCGTGCCCTCTGTCCCACATGACCCATGAAATAAATAAACAAAACTAATAAATAACTTCAAAATTAATCAGCTGACAGTCACATGGCAGCACACAGTCTGATGATGTCATGTGATGGCAAATTCATCATGATGGACAGGTTTTTTGTGGTATCTGGGGTATCTGGTAAAACCAGCAGCTGTCCTTTCATCAATGACTGTCTCTGGATCAGGTCCAGATTCAGGATCAGCCAGGATCAGGACTCCTTTTTCGCCCTCCCCCTGCATGTTCATTGTCATGGAAACCAGTTGGTTGCATCCCTGTAATCAGACCTGATTGGTGGACAATGGATGTGTCAGAGTTCGTCCTTGGACCCGCTGAAGACCAGACTGTGACTCGCCTCGCGCTTCAGGAACTTCAGGAAGTCTTTGAGCTCTCGACCCCCCTGAGAACAGAGAGATGTCACCTGATCAGCTGACCCCGCGAGGCCAGAGTTAGAATAAAGCTTCTGATACACAGGAGTTGTGCATTACCTCGTATCGTATGGGCTCGTCCTTTTTACCCACTGGAGCAAAGTAAATGGTTGGAAACCTGAAGACAGAGACCAAGGGAGGTTAAAAAAAAACAAGATCTGAGTCTTTGATTTGATGGTTCACGAGTCCTGGTGTAAAGGAGCTACATGTAAGTTTTTGCTATTGCTACATAGTCAACGTTAGCATTATCAGCTGCAGCTAGTTTAGCATCAAACCTCATTCCTTTACTCACCAACAGCTGTCTCCAGAGGTGGAAAGAAACACCAATGTTAAATCGTTTTGTTTCTATTTCTATCACTTCTTTTCTTCTACTGAAGTTAGCATGTTAACAAGCTAGCTTTCAGATACAGTCACTGTAGCCTCCAGTCTGTCCTGAAGACGTAGCTGCTCAGAAGACACATTATAACCTCTCGTATTATAACAACGTCACTGCACATCATTAAAAAAACAGTGTTATTGCTGAACTTGATCATCATTTAATGGAAAAAATCTGGTTTAAACTACTTTTTATATAAAACTTCTGTGGAAAAAGAAGAATGACATCATGCGTGTAACACTACAGACACACAAAATCCACAAATTCACATACATGAAGAGAATTTAATTTGAAAAACCTGATTCAGCTCTTTATTACACCTGATACAAAAAACAACCAGCTGCTGAGGCAACAATCATCTGGAGGCCACACAGAGTCAACAATACACATCTGCTGGAGTCATGTTGACAGAGTGAACTCAGGATATACAAGTGATTCATTTTATAGCTGGGAAACAGAACTACAGAGCTGCTGAAGATTCTGCTTACAGCTGGATACACAGACAGAACAGACACAGAACAGAAAGTGACTTATTCTCTAAGACTGACAGAAGAGTTAACTGAAAATGGATTAACTATAAAGATAAAGACATCGTCACATGTATGATTGTTTCTGGCAACAATGTAAATCATTGTACAAGAATTTAATAACAGTTCTGTGAAATGTGACCTCTGTGTGGTTGTGTGTTCTGATGTTGTATTTGTTTTATTTGTGTAAAGATAAAAAAGCAAATAAAAACTCTGCTCACCCTTGAACATCGTAGCCCAGCGGGACATCGTTATCAATGGCATTCATCTTGGCGATGACAATGTCTGAATCAGAAAACAGCTGAGAGGCAGAGAGAGAGAGGGAGGGAGTTTCAAAATTTACTTTAAGACCAGACTGAGACCAGGACTGAGACCTGGACTAGAGGAGTCGACCAAAGTACAACACAAAGACAGTCACCTCACAAACTATAACACAACATTATCTGGACCATTGTGATAACCTAGCTGACCTGTTAGTCTGATGTTAGCCTGGCCACAGAAAAGAGCAAGTACAAGAAAACAATGAGAAGGAGCTCCTGTGCTCAAAGACAAAACTAAAACTTTAACAAACTTTATTTGATTTTTAATGTGTCGCTACAGCAACAATCCACAGCAGCACCGGGTCTGACTTCAAGGTAAATCAGCTGATCATGTGATCTCAGACAGATGAAAATTTTAATTTATTCTGTTGATGGGCTGAAGGGAAGCAACAGGGCTGATGGATAATGTGGTCTTACAGCCCTTGAAAAGGCATGTTCACTAACTGATGCTGCTGATGCTGCTGATGATGATGATGATGATGATGATGATGATGATGATGATGATGATGTATGTACGTACCGTGTCAGCCAGCTCTTTGTAGACCGGCTCCAGTTTCTTGCAGTGTGGACAGGATGGAGAGTAAAACTCTATCAGAACATCTTTATTTGGATCATTAACGACGTCATCGAAGGTCTCAGCAACAACTAGCTGCGGCACAGAACCAGAGAGGTCAGAGGTCACAGGGAGGAGGTCAGAGGTCACACTCTGCACAATCTGATTTCTACTGGACCTGACTGAATTAAGGCAGAACAGACTCAAAAACATGAAACCGTCTCTCAGTCTGGTCTCACCTTGACAGCAGCGGAGTTTCTCTCAGGTATGGGTTCAGACTTGACGTAACGTTTGAGTCGACCTGTGAAGTAATCATCCAAAAATCTCTCCAAGGACTGACCGTCCCTCCTGAAACACACACATTACCTCGGCTCAGCATGTATGAGGTCACAAAAGGTGAGCAGAGTGGCACAGATATGTTTTAAATATTTCATGTGTTCAGACACATTAACAAATATGTTAAGGCACATTCAACTTAGCCCAGTTCAGCCTGGTTACGTACGTGAACTCCTCTCTCATTGTGTACTTGTGGCCCAGTTTGGTCCGGATCGTGACGAATGGCAGCTCTCCTCCGTCTGACATCCCCAACCCGAAGTCTTCCTCCAGCTCAGACAGGAAGTCCTTCTTATTGGCTACTGAGAACGTCAAGCCCCGCCCAGTGTATTTTGCCGCCACCTTCATTACCCTGGCAATAAAACACAGGGGAGGGGCTTAAACCGCCCTGTCCTCAGGTAATAGAGGTTGTATGTGTCTATTACCTGTATGTGTGTTACCTGTTCCTCCAGTAGTTGGACCCTCTGGTGTTGTGATGGTAGTCAAGGTCATAGTACGCTGTCAGCAGGTCACGAACTCTCAGACGATCCCTGTTCTCCAGAGTCATGTGAGGACACAGACCATAACTACAGACAGGAAGAGACAGGTAGGAACAGGTAAACAGACAGGACATCGAAAAGGTAGAGACAAGTAAGTAGAGACAGGTAAACAGATGGGTAGACTGACTTCCATCAGATGCTGCTGTACTGAGGTGAATGAGGAAACTCACATGTGGTCTCTGATGAAGCGTCTCAGAGATCCGATGGTCAGGTAATCTCTGAAGACCACGACGCTGTCCTCAAACTTGTTGGTCAGTCTGGGAGGTCTGAACAACAACACACTCCTACAGGACAGGTGAGAGATGACCTTTGAACTCTGAGTCACTGACTGTCACTGTTTTCTGACCTCTGGATAAAGATAAATCAACAAGCAGGTATTTCTTTAAATATTACACCAGAGTGGAGGTTCTTTTAGACCTCAGGAACTCAAAGTCACACAACACAGAGGAACATGACAAAGGAATGTCGTACAGGAACTAGTGTAAAGGAAAGCGTCGTAAAGGAACATGACGTAAAGGAACATGATGTAAAGGAATGTGTCATAAAGGAGCGTGTTGTAAAGGAATGTTTTGTAAAGGAATGTGTCGTTAAGGAACGTGACTTAAAAGAACGTGTTGTAAAGGAACGTGACGTAAAGGAACGTGACATAGAGGAACGTGTCACAAGGAGAACGCATACTGTAATAAAAACATTTAACTCAAGGTACACTCATTCACCTGAATCCCTTTGCCTTCTTCAGCAGGTGTAACTTATATAACCTGTCATGTGACAAAGGTATGGAACTTGATTCAAGTACAGGGCCTGTTGAAAAACTGACCAAAGTTAGCTGAACAAGTTCCACCTGCTGAAGAAGGCCATGGGATGCGGCCAAAAGCCTGTGTGGACTGAGGTGACCCTCAGCAAGTAACAAGTAAGAGAATCATTTCAAACTCACTCAGAGTGAACTCCGTGCCCCTCCCCCAGCTTCAGGTCAGTGGTGTGAGCAAATCTGAACTGTTCTCTGAGCAGACCTGCAGCTTTCAGAAACTCTGACAGATGAGAGCTGTCTGCACCTGAAAACACACCTGGTTCACAGGAACACAGGTTGGGCCACATCATGTTACACAGTTAACATAAAGTCATGTAATGTAACATGACATAAAGTAACAGAACATCATGTTGTCTCACCTATGATACTGGCATCATAGTGGTTAATGAAGGTCTGGAGGTCTTCCTCTGTCTTCAGGTGAACTGAGTCTGGACCGGTTTGCTTCTTCATGTAGTGATAGATTCCGTCTGAACACACATTTACACAGTGTCAAATTCTGTTTGTGTATTTATCTTATTAGTGTGTGTGTCTTATTTTTGTTACCTGCTGTGCGAGGTCCGTCGTAGGGGGCAGAGTCTCTTCCACTCCTAAAAATCTTAAGAGTGGGATAACCGGAGACCCCAAAACGACCACAGGTCTCTGAGTGAGCGGTACAGTCTACCTGAAACAGGTGAGGAGAGACAGGTGACACAGATAGGTGAGGAGAGACAGGTGACACAGATGGGTGAGGCGAGAAGGTGAAACAGATGTGAGGAGAGAAAGGAAACCAGCAACTCAACTGTTTTAGACCAGTTTCAATCTGATTCACAGAATCATTGTTTCTCTTGAAGGTCCAACTCTTCTCATTTAATTGACAGTGTTAGCATGTGCTTAATGTTACCTTTGCTAACTGGACAGTTCCCTTCAGTCTGGTCGCTGCTTTCTCAAATTCTGGAGCCAATTTCTTACAGTGACCACACCTGAGAGGAAGAGGAGAGATGAAGACAAGAGAGGGAAGAAAATGAAGAAATGGTCGGGGCAGATTAAAGATAGGAAGAAAAGAAGAATGGGAAATGGGGAGGAAGGAGATATAGCAATTAAAGTGGAAGGAAAAATTGAAGGTGATGAAGAAGTGTAGGAGAGGGGAGAAAGGAGGGGAGATGAAGAAGTGAAATAGAAAAGGGGAGAAGGGGAGGAGGAGGCATGGTGGGAGATAAAATAAAACGAAATAAAAAAAAGGGGATAAGGATAGAAGAGGGAATGGAGATGAAGAAATGGAGGAGGGAAGGATGCATGGAAGTAGAAAAGGTTACAAATGAGGAAAGAGGTAATCAAGGAGGGAAGGATGTAAATATGGAGATAAAGTGATGATGAAAAGAATTAAAAAGAGAAATAGATGGAAGGAGAAGAGTGGAGGTCAGAGGGATGAAAGAGTGAGAAGTGGTGAACGGCAGAGGAGGATGGATAGAGGGATGAAGGAGGACAGGTTAACACAGCAGTTTATCAGTCCGCCATTCTCTACTTCACAACAGAAACGCATTAAAACCGTATTTTCTGAGCTAAAGATGCTAATGCTAATATGCCCTCCGTTACCACGGAGCGTAGAATTTCACCAGCATGGTCTCGTGTTCCGTTGCCAGGTAGTCGAAGTCCGCGTCACCGAGCTCGAGCACGTCTCTGCGCGAGGACAACGCGGCGGGTAAACAGGACATCAGCGCCAACGTGACGACGGGAAGGAGGCGGACAGCGGCCGCCATAATGGTGGGAAAAGATGAATGATTCCAGACGTAAAATAAAAAAAATATGACGGAGATGGTGACCGTTACAGACCGAGAAAGACCCTCTTCATCACACCGAGGGTTAAGGTAGACTAAAGCACTTACGTTTCCGGTCAGGACTTTCAAACTAAAATCATTATTGGTACCAGACATTGAGCAGGGCTATTTCAAAGTCTAAAAAAGAAACAGTAATACACATTTAAAGACAAACTCGAACACATCATAATGTATAGCTTCTCCATACACCCGACACGCTAAATGAACCTATTCTAACTCACTATTTAGTACTTTTATACTGAATATCAGATCAGTTTATATCCGGTATTAACATGTCTAACTGAAGCTAACTTGACTAATCTCTGCTCTCGCTGTCCACCTGTCAGAGGAAGGGCGGGACCTACAGAGAAAATACCGAACAGCTGCGTTGTGGTTAGCGGTGATGTGATGTAATCGTCTCATTGGTCCAATGACCTGTCAAACACAACGGATCTACCACTGCCCATGTACGGAGTTTTTAATGAACTCCTAAGAGGATACTGTGATTAATGGCTGCCTCCTTTTGAAAAAGTCATCCCACAATTTTTGACAACAGTTTTTAAATTACACGTAGACGTTATCTAAAAGTGGGAGAAGTGTTCGTGACAGATATTGTATAAGGTTTTAAACTGGACGAAAGAGGAAACCTCAGTCATCAATTGATCTGATTATGAATGAAAATCAACAAATCAGTTTGAAAAACATAAAAAATGTTTTTATTGAAAAACAGTGGACCTTCATTCAGTTGTATTCAATATGAATACACAAACATTTTCGACAAAACCTTCACAGAACATCGGGACATCCTTCACTAACATATGTAAGGCCGCTTGGAATCATGGGAGTGATCAGGTAGGTTAACCCTGATGCATCTTGGGAAGACTCAAAAATATATATTAAAAAAAGATTCAGAAGCTGCAGGGTTACTTTTCAGTGCTTGAAGCATTTTAGGATGACTTAGAAACAGTCTTTAAGACACAGCGTGGACAGGGCTTCATATATACTGAGTCTGAGTTGTGACCAGAACACGCTGAACCTCATTCACACCTGTGTCATGTGACTGGTTCACGCTGCAAATCTTCACTGTAGTGTTTCCTCCTTGTTTTGGAGACCTCTGACCTCACTGAGTCACTGAGACTCTCCTACCTGACACACCCACAAAAGGCAAAGTCTTGATGAAGTCAGAGCAGATAAATTAAAAATAAATAATAAATATAAATAAAACATTTGTGAGCAGCCTGAACTGAACTATGCACTCTGATTCATTTTCATACAGACTGTGTTCTGTAATGACATTCCTTCAATGCTCCAACAGACAGAGAAACAAACTGCAGAAGAAACGTTCTGGATAAATTCCACAACTGAAACCTTCAGGAAGTGTGAAACAATCAGAACACCCACTCCTGGGTGAACTGGATCAGAGACGTTCTGAGTGACTTCAGGAGAACAAATCTGAACACAGACAATTCTGGTTCTAGACACCTAGAGTTCAAGGGTCACGTTCCTCAAACTGATATCAATCAAGTTTGTGAAAACTCCTGAACCCTCTGAAGAACTTTAGAAAGACTAATATGTTCTAGCTGCACACAGTGAAATATAGAACAGCTGATGTAAACATTGCCGCTGTATGAAGAACTCTAGGATCATTCCGAACAAGCTGTAAAATGAAAACTATAGAACATCCTGAAGAATTCAAAGTGATTAATGTAATCTAAAATTCGTCCTCACCACTCTGGAATTGTTTTCCGACTCTGAAACAAATCTGTTCTAGAGTGAGATTTTTGAAGCCAGAACACATCTCTAGAGTCACATCTTGAGAACTGTATTAAACCTTTCAGTTATTTTGAAATATCACTTAAAGAATCTTTGAACTGAAAAAAAATTGCTTCAAACTCTGGAACCCCCTGAAGAGCATGTTCTACAAACAGTCAGTGTGGAACCATCAACCACTCAGAATTAGAATCAGTCATGTTCCTTTGTGTTTTAGAATAATTCTGATGAATTCTAGAATCAACAGATCTGATTCGAGGATGGTGGTCCTTGACTGAAGAGTTTAAACCAGTTCTGGGGTCTTTTCTGCTGAACTTCAGGAGACTTTAATGAATTGTGTCCCAAAGCAGCAGATCTGGATTAGACTCTTAACTCTGAAGTCAACTCTGTGGTTGGTTGCAGACTCGTCTGTGACAGGTCCAGCGATTAGTCAGGGGCTGCCTCCTGTCTGTTGATTGGCTGGCCCTCAGAGGAACAGGAAGTGGACTTTTGGGATGCAGACTGGAAAAGATTCATCAGGTCATGGAAACGAAGACTCACCTGGAGGAAACAGAGACAAAGTGACTACTACTCTGAAAATCCTCCACAGCTCTGCCCTTGGACAGTGAAGCCCAACCCCCTCTCACCTGTTGGGTGGTTTTGTTTCCCAGGTGGGCGGACACCTGTCTGAATGTTTTCCTGTTGGCTCCTCTCTGCTGACAGGCAGTCAGGATGGCACGGTCCGCCTCCCTGAAACAAAACATGATGGTTTATGTGGTTTTCATGTTTTATAATGTGATGTTTTCTATAATGTGTCTGTAACGTTGTTATAAATATAATATTGTTATGATTTATCTTTGATGTTTTTATGATGTGTATGGACATAAGCCCTGACACTATGGCACTGGCTGTCAGCTGAGCCTCCTCTTCCTCTGATGAAGACTATGTCAAAACCTGTTGCACCTCATTAAAAATCAGCTCAGACCCTCTCAAACATTAGTGACCTGATCATCTGCGTGTGTCTGTGTGTTTGTTCTGACCGGGTCCAAACGACGACCTTTTCTCCGGTGGAGCTCATCGAGATGTTTTTAGCACAAACTGGTTGTTTCTCTTCCTCTCTGTCACTTCCTGTCTCACTCTCTCCAGACATCTGATGGTCGACTCCCTTCTTGTTTCTGTCACAGTTCTGGAAAACTAAGTCCGCCTTTGTGGTCTCTGGACTGGTTCCTGTGGGCAATGAGTGGGCATGAAGCTGCTGGAAACACTCCTGCAGGTCAGGATGCTGTTTGAGGAGAGACGCAATCTGAGAAAAGAAAACAGAGTCAGACAAACTAGGAAAAAAAAGACTGATTTAAACTTTTAGCATTTAATCTGAGTTTCACATAAAGACCTGAATCTATTAATCAAACCTGTTGGAGTTTGAAGTTAACAAACTTTGTCTGGATTCTATTTTAATGGAGCTATTTGTAAGCTATTGCTACATAGCTAATGTTAGCATTAACAGCTGTTCAATCTCACCAAGAGCTTCAGCCATTGTTGTGTTTACCTTACAAGAGGTTATAATGCGTCCTCTGGGCAGCTACTTCTGGACAGACTGGATGCTACATCGACTCAGTACCAGAAAGCTAGCTGTTTAACATGCTAACTTCAGTAGAAGAAAAGATGTGATAGTAACAAGAGTTAACATTGATGCTTTCCACCTCTGGAGACAGCTCTTTGTGAGTAAAGGAATGAAGTTTGATGCTGAACTCACAATGTTTCTTCTAGACTGGTAAGTAAACAGCTATTAATGCTAACATTAGCTATGTAGCAATAGCAAAAACCTACATATATTAAAAGTAATGATCAGCTGATTTGTGAGGCTGTCAATGGTCATCATCTACCTTTTCCATGTCCTCACGTGGGGGGGTGGGGCTTCCCTGCAGTAGTGACACCACCTGTTGGTAGAGGGATGAGCTTTCTCCCAGGCTTTGCCCCAGTTGCCGTAGGAACCGTCGGCTGCGTTCAAACATCTGTTGCTCCAACAACTGGCAGAGAAATACAACAGAGGAAGAGAGTTCACACAGGTTCAGGTTGAACCTGAGTGATGTCAGAGTGATGTCACTCACCAGTCCACAGCGACGGGCCTGTCCTCGGTTCAGGAAGGCAGCAAAGTCTCTGAGCAGCTGAGGCCAGGGCTGCAGCACACAGCTCAGTCTGTCATACAGAAGCTCTGGGGCCCCAGAGGTCCCAAGGGGCCCTGTTGATGAAAATTGATCCAACACCTGCAGCAGCTGCTCAGAGAGGCCCGGAGACACCTGCACCACTTCACACATCTGCACAGAAAACAGGAAGTACAAACCAAAACATGATGATGATAACAGTGATAGGAACACATCATCAGTTCTCTGGACCAATCAGGAACTACCTGAAATAATCTATCTATCTATCTATCTATCTATCTATCTATCTATCTATCTATCTATCTATCTATCTAATTTTTACACTGACAGAGACAGTCACAATTGTTGTTCTTACTCTGTGGAGATAGTCCTGAGCAAACACCACGTCCTCCACCTCTCTCTGATCTTCATCCTCCTCTTCCTCCTCACTTCCTTCTGATGACAGCTTCTCCTGCACATCCAAAGACACAATATTAATATTTTTGTAGAACTGATTTATTATCAATTAATCTGCTGATTATTTCATTAATCAAACAATTAATCATTTTGTCAATAAAATATTGATTTAGTTTCACAAGGTGGAATCTTCAAACGACACATGAACATATTCAGTTTACTGATCAGATCAGGGTTGATTGATTGAATGTCTTTATGTCTTTATATCTATTACGTGTCAGATCTTCACTTTCAAACGTCCATGTTGTAAACAACTGAAAACACTAACACTCACAGACGAACACACACACACACATTCTCACTGTTTGTGAGATACTGGGACAGACCTGAGGTTCGAGGACTGACACTCTGGATTCATCTGAAGACGTCTCTCCGTCATCATCATCATCATCATCATCACCTTCTTCTTCTGCTGCTGCTCTCGATGGCACCAGTGTCACTTCCTGTTCACTCTCTGACTCCGCCTCTTCATGGTCGGCCGGGTCGTCGTCATGGGCGACACTTCCCGCAGAGCTGGATGATGATTCCGACAGGGCCAGGAGGACCTCGCTCTCCTCTTCCTCCTCCTCTTCTTCCTTTCTCTCCTCCTCATTAATCCTGATGACATCATTGTCTACTTCCACCTGAGAGGAGCCAGGGCCTTCAGGAGGAGGAGTCAGTGCCTCTTCATCACTCCTCACTCCGCCTCCATTCGAGGTGCGTTTCTCTTTTTCAGGAGGTGAAGAAGATGACCTCTTCTTCCTCATCTTCCTCAGGCCAGCAAGGGTCTGATAGTGGCATCTGATTTGCTCTGTGGTTTTCATGGAGACAGTGGAGGAGGTGATAATGTCGGTGGGGGTGTCAGTCCTGGTCAGGAGGAGTCGGTGGAGGAGGACTCGTGGAGGACTGAGAGCTCGGGGGCAGCAGGGTTTGTGAGGAGAAGGAGGTGAGCAGGAGGAGGAGAGGTCCACCTGTCCATCAGGTAGGGGGGAGGAGTAAGCAGGAGGAGGGGGGAGGGGCTTCTGCAGCAGGACAAAGCCAATGCGCCTGAAGTCAAGGTTTTCAGGGAGGCGGGGGGGATATCGTGTCCCGGGGGGGAAGCTGTAGGTGTCGGAGGCGGAGCGGAGGAAGGTCAGGTGACTCTGACGGGTTCGAACCCCCCTGCACGGGGGTGGGGTCTTCGGAGCGGAGCCAAGTGGGGTGTTATAGTGTTTAATGGTCGGGTGGATGACAGGAAGACTCCTCTGTTTGTGTGTTGTGCGGGTGTGGTGTGTGCGTGTGTGTGTGGGGGGTGAGGGGGTGGGGGTGGTTGGGGGGAGATAATTTTATTTAGTTGAAAATATGATGCTGAGTATTTTTAAAACATGTAAACCTGATTATAACAGACTTGACTCCATTCTGACAGCAGTATACAGTACAGTATACTTCCTGCAGTACAGTGTTCTGATGATCAGAGGGTGTAGTGACACTGTTTGTACAAACAGGGACAGGTCATCAACCTGGAGGAAGTGTTCAGCAGGTTCTTCATCCCTGATGAAGACCTGTTTTCTATCACATCTACAGGAGGAATCAGTTTCTGGTGAGCTGAACTTTTTATTTACCTTGGTCAGTTGACCTCTGACCTTTGAACCACTGAAGGTTTTTCACTGAGCTGTTGAACCTTTGATAACAACCAGACACATGATCCAAACCTTACATATGTTAATATATATGTATATTACAATTACATGAAGTGTATTCCTGACGTCTACCATCACCTACCACCAGCCACAGAGGCATGATGCTCTCCTCTCTCTCCACCGGGGGACGTCGCTCTGCTGGATGAACAGGACGACAGGCCACCGGCATCGGCCATAGCACCCGCTGATACCTGAACACCTACAGAGGACGTACCAGGTGAACACGAATCTGACAGAGATTTGAAATCAGCTGTTTGACTATGTCATCACTGTGTTACCTTGACAACGTTGTCAGGGAAACCAGGTCTGCAGCACTGCAGGATTCTTCGTCGGACCTGGACCAGAGTCTTCCTCAGCAGGAACTGAGACACCAGCTTAGTCGGGTCACATGACCCCTCCATGTTCCTGAGACCCAGAACCAGGAGGCTGGGAAGACACACATAGAAACACACAAACACACACAGAAACAAACACACAGAGAAACACACACAGTAAAACACAGTCACAACAGAATGTCAAACAGTGGTCTGAGGTGTTAGTGTGTTTCCCTATGTGTGTTTACCAGTCCTCAGCTGCAGTGAAAGCAGCCGACCTGCGGGGGCAGTACAGAGCCGGGTCCAGGCTGGCACAGGGCAGCAGCTCTGGGTAGAGGAAGACTGGACGAGTGGCAAAGAGCCAGGCCAGTTCAGCCGGCATCACTGGGTAACACCGCACTGGATTTATAGAGACACATAATGGACACACCTCAGTGTTTGCACCAGCTGTTACCAGCTGATTCACTTCACACATGAAGCTGCTATAAAATGAGTTCACTTCACTTTCATTGGTGAAACATTTGAATTCTCTGTTGTTGGACTCCTGGTGAAGATACAGATTTCCTTAAGTCCTGAATGACAATATCATATTTAGTACCGCCCCTTAGTAGTCCAACAAGTTTTGATTGGTCGGTTAGTCACAGGAAAATAAAATCAAAAGGAAGTGGCGACATCAGTCAGTCAGTGACAGATGGTTCCTGCGGTTATTAGACAGTCATGGTTCAACTAAGTGGACATATTTAGTGATAAAATAATAAATAGGACATGGAGATGTACAACTAACACATGTGAGGACTCCAACAACTCCTGCCTTACAGCAACTCTGAGCAAACAAAAAACCTCACATATGAAAACAACCTGTAAACACAGTGTGTTACAGTCATCACCACCAGTGTGTCGGCAGGAAATCAAAGAGTGGATCCGGACGCTGAATGACGACACCAAGAAGGTGACATGTAAACTCTGCAGGCAAACACCCACCTGTCACTCATCAACATCAAACATGACTTATCATCAAAAACATGTCAGTAGGCTAACATTAGCCACTTAGCATGGCCGCTCACTCTGAGGTTCTCCTGCTAGGTGTTCAGACACATTCAGAGTCATTACACTGTTGTTAACAGGCGGATCGCTACATTTACACGGCAGTAACATTCAAATTTTAAAGGCTCATTATTATGATATATTTAACTAATTAAATTAAAATCATAGACTCACTGTGTCCTCTGGCGTCAGGTGGGTGGTGTTGTGGTTGGTAGCTGATGGGAGTGTGTCGCAGCTCCTCCAGCAGCTGCAGTGCCCCCTGCAGGTTGGAGGATCTGAAGACGCTGCAGAAACCAGGACGAGCTGAAGACATGAGCAACTCTGATCGCTGAGCCAGCACATCCAGCTCGAACTGAGGGAGGGTGGGGGGTTTCGCGTTATTATCAAATGATTACACATTTAATTATGTGTTTATTAAACTGTGTGTGTGTGTGTGTGTGTGTGTGTGTGTTACCAGGAACTGTCTGGTTGTCTCAGCCTCACTCTGCAGTTTGGCCACAGGTGAAGTCAGCAGGTGGATCTGAGTCAGCAGCTGGACATGCTGAAGGACACACACATCAACCTCAACACACAGGTCACATGCACATGTCACACTGAACACCTGATCTTAGACTGACACGGACTCATCCTGGATCAGACACCTGAGACCTATAGCAACACAACAGGACATACAAGACAATCTGGATCCCCCTGGTCCCAGGTCTTGGCACTGAGGAACCAAAGGGACCTGACCTATGAAGACTGACCACTGACCAAAGGCAGCACTCTTTCTGACCCACACACACTATGTGTGTCAGTATTAATGTCAGCTGATGTGTAGTCACACAACAGGTGTGTACTGTGTGACCTGGATGCATATGTGTGTGTGTGTGTGTGTGTGTGTGTGTGTGTGTGTGTGTGTGTGTGTGTGTGTGTGTGTTTACCTGTTGTAGCTGCTGCTGCAGTCTGATCTTCTGCTGTCTGTCAAGCTTCAGTGTGTATGGCTCAGCATACAGTGAGTGTGTGTTACACATTGTATGTGTCTGCTGTCTCTTCCTGATCAGAGCCAGCTGCTGCTTCACTGTACGCAGCTCTGTGATTGGTCCGTCCGAGTCATCATCACCCAGCTCTCTGTGAAATACACACATAGAGTCACTTTGTGTGTGTGTGTGTGTGTGTGTGTGTGTGTGTGTGTATGTGTGTGTGTGTATTGTGTTACATACGGGCTGTGCTGCTCTGGAGGAGCGTGTGTCTGAACAGTGGGTGTTTCTTCCTGTGGCTCCTCCTCTTCCTCATGGCCTTCATCATCCACTTCCTGTCCTGCAAGGTCTTCTTTCAACTGACACACACACACACACACACACACACACACACACACACACACACACACACACACACACACGTTTAGTGGGCAACATGTGGTCATGTGACAATGTTCAGTCAGACAGAGTTCAGTGTGACTCACCGTCTCAAACAGCTCCTCCATCAGCTCATTCACCTCCTTCTCTGGACGACAAACACAACAACATCAGCAGAGACACACAAACATTAAGATACTTGTTTTTATTTTGTACGACATGGAAATTAACTCATCACCCTGAAGAGAAAAGTTTGTACCAGTCCTCATAGAGACGACCTTCAGTCGTCATGTGACACATCTGGATCAAACCGAGTGAAGAAGATTCACCTTTCCTCAGGTCTACGGCTCCTGACTCTCCTGATCCACGTCACATACCTGGTTCAGACTGACACTCTGGCTACAGGCCTCATGTTCCCTCTTACACTTCTCTCCTCTTACCCGTGTGTGTGTGTGTGTGTGTGTGTGTGTGTGTGTGTGTGTGTGTGTGTGTGTGTGTGTTCTGACTGGTGATGCGGACAGCCTTGTCGTCACGGTAATCCTCAAGGTCGGGTTCATCAGTATCGGCCAGGAAGTTATACTCTGGATCATCTTCATCATCACACTCCTCTGAGAGAAAGAGACATACAGTCATACAGAGAAGCACACGCGCGTGCGCACACACACACACACACACACACACACACACCTGTCCTCACCTTCGTTGTCCATTTCGGAGGTCATTAGGCCTCTCAGCCAATCAGTCCATTCCCTGTCCTCGTGGGTAGAGCTGGAATCATACATATCAGGTGTGATGTCAGGAGCTCGGAGCTCCGCCTCCAGCCGGCCCAGCGGGACGTCACGTAGAGGACGCTTGGACCGAGTCCGGTACGCCATCAGACCCACCTCATCCCCCGACTCCGACAGAGGCTGAGAGAGAAACAGTTTTTTTATTTGTTTATTTATTTGTTTATTTAGTTAGTCCATTAGTGAGTCACACACATTGACTGAGTTACGTTTGATATGTATATATATACACAACAGGAATCTTAAATCTCTATGAATATTAGATAATATAGAGCTGCAACCACTCTTTATCATTTTTTTAATTTGACAGATTTGAGAGAAAGACAGAGGCTGACATCCTGTGTTTTGATAATTCTTTAAATAAATATTTGCTGGTGGCAATGAAAATATTTTTTGTGATCATGTTTTTTTTCTCTTTTTTTCATCTGTGAAAAAGTCCTTAAAGCCAAGTTGTTTGTTTTTGTAATACTCATTTTGGCCACAAGACGCTGAAGTGCACCACTACCCCAGTTTAAATAGGACTAAAACCTTTCATGTTTTCTTTTCTAATGTCTTCATGTACTCTAAACACAAGATACATTTAGTATATTGTGTATAAGCCAGTAAATGAACTGTCATGTGTTTATTTTGACTAGAAATATATTTAATCAGCGATGTCTCTCTGAACTCCTCATACGTACTGTGATGTTTGAATCTGTTCTGTATTAACTAACAGTGTGTTTTCAAGTGTTTCTTACCTGGAAGGGCTCCATACACACCGCCAGCTCCTCCTCCACAGCATGGAGTTTCTCCAGAAAGGTGCTGTCAGTCACTGCTTTGGGAGGCAGGGCTTTGGGGGGTGGGGGGGGTCCCATTGAGACAGACACCGGCCTCAAATTCCTAGATCGGCTCCGAGAAATCTGAAGGAGGGAGCGGGTAAGTCTTTAGGGTTTCCTGTATATTATGCTGTCATTTGACCACATATCAGTGTACTACAGTATAGTATAGTATAGTATAGTATAGTATAGTATAGTATAGTATAGTGTAGTATAGTAAAGGATAGTATAGTATAGTATAGTATAGTATAGTATAGTATAGTATAGTATAGGATAGTATAGTATAGTGTAGTATAGTATAGTGTAGTATAGTATAGTATAGTGTAGTATAGTATAGGATAGTATAGTATAGTATAGTATAGGATAGTATAGTATAGTGTAGTACAGTAAAGGATAGTATAGTATAGTATAGTATAGTATAGTATAGTGTAGTACAGTAAAGGATAGTATAGTATAGTATAGTATAGTATAGTATAGTATAGTATAGTATAGTATAGTATAGTATAGTATAGTGTAGTGTAGTATAGTAAAGGATAGTATAGTATAGTATAGTATAGTATAGTGTAGTATATAATGTGAATGTAAAAACTCCACTCAGCAGGAACAGTGTTGGTGCAGTAATTCTATAGTTGTACCTGCCAGGGGCTGCAGCTGTCCTCCTCCACTCTGACCAGTCGACTCCCTCTGGGAGATGAAGCTGTGCTCTCCATGTCGCTCTCCTGAAACGTCTACACACACACCGATAACCAATAATCAATCATCAGGCATCAATACCTCAACACAAACCAATAATCAATCATGAGTATGAAACTGCACTGCAGCAATCAGAACAGAGTCTTACATCTTCAGCCGTCTCATCCTCCTCTTCCTCATCAGGACGATACTCTTCATCAGAGGAGTCTTCCTCAGCCAGAGGGATGTCCACAAACTGAGGAGCCTGAAGACAAACAAACAACTGGAGCTGTGAAAGTTCCTGATGTTCTACACAGAACTTTACTCTTCAGTTTCACCTGTTCCCAAAAAGGTTTGAAAATGTTTCAAATCAGTTTAATCTGTTAAATCTATTTGAAAGTTTTTTTTTTAAATGCATAGTCATGCATGTTTTTTAAGGTTTTTAATTGAGTTGCCTTAAAATTTAAAAAAATTATGCTGAACTGGTTGAAAAATGGTTTTAATAAAATAGAATGTGTTTTAAAAAAATTCCAACATTAGCCTCAAATGTTAAAAAAACATTGCTTTGATGTTTAAATGTTAATGTTTAAGAAAGTTTGTGTGAGACTGTACACTACAAAAACAAAAAAACATGGGGATGTTTGACTTTGACCTTCACCTTGTTAACATCACTGGTTTTCTTGATGGGAGAGATGTTCCAGGCTGGAATCACCTGACAGGTTACACAAGAACATCAAGAATATCATCGTCTGTCTATGGAGAACTTTATTATTCAGTCTTCAGACTGATACAAACATAAATAGATGTTATACAGATGTTAAACAGATGTTGTGTCTCACCACTCCTTTCTCCACAACTTCTTTAAACTTGGATCGAGTCATTTTCGGCTCCTTAACAAACAAAAAAACACTGATCAGTGGAAACAGATCAATGAAGACATCTTGAGGAATGAAAATGTTAACAATCTCCAACCCTGCGTTCTGATTGGACGACAGACAGACAGACTCACAAATGGAGGGACGGCCTCGGTCTCATTGATGGCAGCTTTCATCATCGCCACCACATGTTCGTTAGTAATCACTTCCTGTAGGTCAGAGGTCAGATTTACTTGTACAACATTTAGCTAACAATATTTTTTCAGTTGTTTTTGTTCTTTTTTTATTTATTATGTTTGTGTGAAGCTGATTCAACAACAACAACACTGACCCTCAGACAGTCAAGTACACAGACAAACTGTATTTAAACAAAAATATTTTTTTTCAAATTTGAGCAAAAGGTTTAAATTAGTTCAAATGTTTACAACTGTTTTAAAGTTTAGTTTTAAAATCTTACAAAATAAAGATTTTTGACAAAAAATGAAATGTTGATGACAGCATCACATGAGGAACCTGCCGCTGGTCTGAGGTCAGCACGAAACTGGACTACTTCCAGTGTGTTCAGGTGTATACAAGTATGTTGTCAGGTGTGTTCAGGTGCGTTCAGGTCTGTTAAGTGTGTTCAGGTGAACTCACGTGGATGATGTTTCTGACATTCACTGTGGTCAGGTTGTGTTGTTTGGACTTGGTCTCTAGTGATTGGTCCAGCTGTCTGTCAATCTCCACCTCTGCTGCCGCTTCCTCCTCTTCTTCCTCATCTTCGTCACTCTCTGAGGCTCTGCCCCTCTGCTCCTCTTCCTCCTCAGTCAGTTTTCCCCTCCTTTTCCTCACTGCTCTCCTCCTTGCTGCCTTCACCTCTACCTGACTGTCCTCTGAAAAACACACACATATAATGTGAACCTTCAGGACTCTGTACAGATCACTGATTCCATTCTGGATCTGGTTCCTGGATTTGTTCTGACACTCAACAACAACAACAACAACAAATCTCTTAATGGACCTTGATCATATCTGCTGTAGATAATTCATGTTAATTAATGTGAAGTCAGTAGGTTAATGAACCGCTGACAGGGCTGTGCCAAAGTCTCTGTACCATCTCTCTACGACCGCCGGTTTTTGTAGTTCAGAGTGGAGACTCTTCTCCAGAGAAATGATCAACTGATTGCAGTTCATTAAGCACAGCAGAGTCATCAGATCAATTCAATCAATAATCAATATTTCAGATCTTTTTCAGGTTGGAGCTACACGTTGTCAACATTAATTAGGATTTCAGCTGATCCCAAATCTGAGCTGAAACTATATTAATAACTTTAGTTAATGACAAATGGAAGATGTACTTCATGAGGTTCAGACTCAGTAACATTTCTTCTTCTGTGTGTGTGTGTGTTACCCATGGTGATGATCAGGCTGGAGTCGGTGGTATCTTCCTCCACCAGCAGGTAACCTTCCTCCTCCTCCTCAGCTCCACCTCCAGCAGGAATTGGAGGTGGGGGCAGTAGCAATGCATCATGGGAGAGGAGCTGAGAACTGGATGGAGGCAGCCGAAGGCTCCGGGTGGGGGAGGGGGCAGCAGGTTGTGGTGTGGACGGGCTGAGCCTCAGACGTTTGCGGACTGGGTTCATTGTGCAGAACCATGACCTCTGACCTCTGCAGACACATGAGGTCATACACTGATCAATAACTGATAAACATCTCCCTGAGTGTCTGTGTCAGATCTCCTCTGATCTCAGATCCAGACAGGTCTTGCTGACAGGAACACTGATTCATGGGAATGTCCTGCTATCTATCAATCAATCTATCTATCTATCTATAAAACCATTAGTTGATCAATCGATCAGTTGATCGATGGATAAATAATCACATTATTTTTGTCTCCATGAGGATGACTGATTAAAGACAATGATTAAAACTGAGTCCAAACGTCCACTGTGGAGATTCAGTTCAAAGAAACCAAAGCAGAGAAACTGAGCATCAACCACCTTCATCTTACTTCAACTGTCAATCATTGATTCTGATAATCAATCAATCATTTTAGAACTATGAGGAAACGAAGCCTGAGCTCTGTGCTACGAAGCAGGACTTGAGGTTAGTGAGGTAATTTCAGGTTTAACTCTGGGTTTGCAGGGCCACTTCTTACTCGAGTACATCGCCATGGTAACATGCTGAACTTATGTTGAATACAACAGATCAACATGTATAAAACCTCTGCCTACTGAGCAATCACTGCTCTTGGAAAATTACATCACCATTTGTAGAAGATCCTGTGAAGATCGGTGTGCGGATAATGAAAGGGTCTGTGTTCAGACATCTTTGTCCCTGATGATGTTTATATGAGTGGTCGTCACTACTGCACAGGGCCCCTCCACAGCGGGAGTGGACCCCTATGTAGGAGGGCCTTTTGTGTGACATCATCCTACAGGAGAAATTTAATGAGGCACTGAAGTCTGGTACTGACTACTACTGGTGGTATTAATAGGACATTAAAGTTAAGCCTGAAAGCAGCCGTCTGACAGCTGAAGAATGAGGATAAAACTACATCTAACTAATTTAATGAAATACAGACGTGATTACAGTTAGCTCTAATGATCAGCAGTGATATTAACTCATTCACAATGTTTTACCAGCTGTTGCTTTTATCCTGGGTCACGTGTTTAACATCTTTATCTTGTCTAATATTATAGTTCCTTCTATTGCAAAACATGTTGCTCCGTTGTCAGGATACCTGTCTGTGATTGGTCACAGGCTGCAAACTCCACCCCTTTATGTGAACGTGCTAAGGTAAATCAGAGTTGACTCACCGAGCTGTTTAGATCCGGTTAAGTGGAGTTAGATAACTAAAAGATCCTGGATATGTTGAACCTACTTTGTGATGCAGTGCCCGTGTCTACAGTCCGGTATCAGGGGTCTCTCTAACCGCTGTCCTCCGCCGCTAACATGCTAACAGCTAATATGCTAACACTCTCTACGTCTGATAGCCGCTAACGTTAGCTTGAAGACCCGGTCTCTATCCGGTCCGACTCACGCTAACGATCCGGTAACGGTCACTTTAAAACGGTTTAACGTAAACGCTTCGGTACAACACAGACTCACTTACCCGCCACAACGATCAGACGCTTCTGACGTCAAAAAACTACATTTCCGGGTGTGCGTCACGACGTAACTGTGACTTCAGCGGGAGCAGCGACATGACGGTGCGATTAAATCAATGAAGACAAAACTGGCTTCAATGAAAATGAAATGCAACTCCTGAGATGTAAGGTGGACTCCTGCAGTGTGACACTGTGACATCACAACAACACAAAAAAGCCGTCACAAAGTCACTCCAGGAAGAACGATGATGATGCCCGGTGAAAACTAGTAATGTGTTCCTTGGCCTGCTATTTACCTCATCTGTTATGTAAAAGTCAGACACGGGTCACGTGATAAACTTCATTACTAAATATATTCCCTATACAGAAGACAAGTGCTGCCTGTTTTTATGTGGTGAAAGCATGTTTTGTTCTGAAAAACATTTTGGCAAAGAAATTATACAAGAGAATGAAAATACCAAGTTACATCTCCAAACTTATATTAAAACAAAAATATCATGTATCTTCGACTTTCTCTTGATGTAATAATATAGCATACCGTTGCACTGTGTTCCCTGAAGATAGTCACTTTGATAAATGTTTGTTTTGTTCACAGAACTTTATCAGCTGTTACTTCAGTTCTTTTTGGGAACCTGATGTTAAACACATTTTCACTTCTAATTAGCAAACAAGTCCACAGTGAAGACGTTTGAAACCTTAAGACAGTGATGACTCTGAAACAGGAAGTGTTTACCAATGACTCTGCAGCTGGTCAGTGAAGTCGTCAGATCATAGTCGAGCGTCCCCCAGACCCCAGTCTGTCCCTCTTCATCAGAACCACCAACAGTCTGCAGAGAACACTCAGACCTGCGGCTCAGCTGCTGCAGTCTCAGGCGGGAACAGACAGCACCCCTGTCCACAAGGTCACAACTCAACTGATATTTTGAACAGTTTGTATCATGAAGGCGAGTCTGCAGTTACCATGGAAACCGCCACATGTTGCTTAGGATGATTCAGTCATTTAACACACGAAGCTTCGATAAAATAATTTATTTCAAACATTTCATTAAAATCTATGAACCCAGTGACCAGACCTGCTGCACTGACAGTCTGGTCCACCTGCCAGGTGTGATTACATTCATGCGATGTCAGCGGGTCTTCCTTGCTCCGGGACTCAGAGCCTTCAGAGAGGCTGCAGGTCTCTTCAGCTCCCTCATCACCTGCAGACCCAGAGCTTTAATGGGCCGCAGACAGATCCGGGACCTGCCGGGAAGGGGAGGTGGGTCTGACGGGTCCCTCAGACCCGGATCCTGCTGTTCGTTGTCTGTGACCGTCACGGTCACTGGTTTGTTCCGGTGAAACATGGACTCCCGCCGGTGCGTGCACGGACTTGCGGCCAGCACAGCGCGGAAGCCATAGGGCGTGGTCACCTTCTCCACGTGAGGCAGAGACATTGCCGCGCGCGTCGTCAGGTCTGTGTCCGCATTCGCATCCTCTGCCGCTGCAGCGGCAGCGCGGCGGGGATCTTTGATCCGCGGCGGCAGGCGGAGCAGGAACCGAGGGGAGGCCGCGGGGCTGAGTGGGACCTCGGGGGGACTCCCTCCTGGACTGTCCTCATCATGGTCAGACAGCAGTCTGGTCCGATCCAGGGAGCTCCGGTATGGCCGCGGGGAGAGGGTGAAGAGCGGACTGCGGGATGGGATGAGGAAGTCTGGGATCCGCTCCGGGGTCAGAAGCAGACTCCGCAGAGACGATCCGGATTTAACAGCCGACATGATGCCTGAGGCTGCAGAGAGGGAAGAGGTTTCAGTTCAGACTCAGAGACGTTTGTCTTCCAGGCGGATCACCAAGTCAGAAAAAAAAAACAGTCTTAGCAGGGTCAGGGTTCAGTCCGGACGACTGACAGAGACAAAAACAAACTGGGGCTAAGAAGAGCTGGACTAACAGCCATCGCTGCTGCTGACTGAACTCAAACTCTGGATCAGTAGAGTCAACTTACCTTTAGTCTCACCTGGTCTGAAGCAGGCCTGTCTCTGATGACCTGGTTTTATATCAGCAGCAGCAGGTGGATCCAATCAGACTGATCCGACATTAGTCCTTCAGAGTCCAGAATCACTGAATTAACCACTCAGATGTTTACAGGACGAAAAATCACAGGCGGCTTTTAAGTGATTGGCCCACAGACGTGTTCACGTGATGACTTAAGGGAACATGTTAAGGTGTAAATATAAACGTGTTTTTGTAAACATCCTCCTCTGTGAATGAGAAGAAACTACTGGATCCAGACTGATGATGTTCACCGACTGGATAGAGATGAATTTTAGTGCTGAAAAACAGCTGTTCAGATTTCATTAATTCCCCAAACCATTTTCAACCATCACATTTATTATGTAACTATTAATAATTAAGGTATGTTAGGCTCAAATTCAGATGTCACTTTCACAGTGGAGTTTGTTTGACCCATAAAACTGAATCCACAGAAAACCATTAATGACCTCTTAATATTCAATAATTCATTCATTATTAAAATGAATTCACATTCATTTAATTACTTCAATTTAATTGAACTCTTACCAGGCAACAAAGCAACACCTGAATTTGTAGCTTGACATAATCATTGTAAGTGTGATTTTCATAATAAAAAGATCAACACCCCTGGACAGATAAGAGTATATTATGGGGTGGTGGCAGTAATGAAAGTGATGTCATCTGAATCACCTGAGAAGACAGAAAACACAGGATTTACCTACATGTTTCTGTGAATCTGTATATTTTACGAATTCATTTATTTCTATTTCACTAAAAGTCAAAAGTTCTGTTGAACAGAAACAGACCTGCCCACACCAAACTCTTTTTCATGTTTTTAACCGCACTGGTAAAAAAAAAAACAAAAAAAAAACTGTGGAGTGGTTCTTTCCTGACTGCAGCGCCACATGTGCGGCATCAAAACCTTAGCCCCTCACCCCCCACCAGCAGCAGACATGACAACCTGAAACAAGCATCAGTTTTTATATGAAGAATTCATCCAACATGATGTTCAGAACAGACGAGGAGCTTTTACTGCAGCCAGACAAACAGGAAGGAGCTGCTAAAAACAGCAGGAAGTCAGGATCCTCCACAATAAGAGTTCAAAATCCCCCCGCCTTTGGGGAAAAAAAAAAAGCCCAAACAACCGCACCCATCTTCATCATTATTCCTATCATCATCATCATGTTCCCTGTATTAAAAACGTCGTCGTTTCATTCTCAGAGTTTGTGATTTCCTCCTCCCAGTGCATCATGGGAGTTAAGCCACACTATGACCTTTGATCAGGTCAGTCCTCGTCTCCATGGAAACAGCGACAGTCCCATCATGTGAAAGTCAGTTCACCACATGGATTTAAAGTCCGTGGCGTCTCAGAGCCCTGCCCCACCCGCGGCGGTCAGTGCATGTCTTATCGGGAGGGGGCGGGGCCTCTTCCAGTGGTCAGAGCGGCTGGTTGGCTGGCGGTCTCTGTGGCAGCTGGCATGTGATTAGTCAGAGGATCAGTCCATCAGTCGCTGTCAGAGCCAACGGCTGACGAGCCTTTCCTCTTCCTTTTGGGAGCTTTGGGCTTCGAGTCTTCCTCCTCCTAAAGCAGATGGAAAATGAAGCAGATTAACTAACGGTTCCAGATTTTCAACAATATATGAAAAATAAAACACAGGCTTCAGGATGGGACTGAAGCATAACGTGGATGGTACTTGCCGAGGCGCTGCTGGAGGCACTCTCCTCTTCGTTGTTGGTGGGCGGGGCTGCTCCTTTCCTTGAGCGAGGCGAAGAGGCTGGAGCTTTACGACGAGACTTTGGAGGCTTGGACTGAGAGTCTTCGTATTCCTCCGCCAGGGCGAATAGGTCACTGAACCTGCAGGAGAAAGGGATGTCATCAGCATCTGTTGTGAAGTCATCGGTCAGTTTGTGTGTGTGTGTGTTTGTGCACGTGTACCTCATCTTGTGTGCTTCGTCACAGCTGGCCTGAACGTGCTGCAGAGCCTGGAGGATCGGAGTCTGAGTGAAAACTGACAGACAGACACAACCAATAACTTATCAATTGATACATCATCAATAACTGATATCTCATCAATAATAATCAATCACTATGTGTGTACTTACAGTTGTTCTTGGTGTTGCTCAGACTCAGTCTCAGGTTGTCCATGTGCTCCAAGATCTGTTCCAGGGTCAGCTGAGCCAGTTTACTGCTGGAACTACGAAGACTGAAGACAGAGAACTGGTTTAGTCAGGGAACTGTCCCTGTTTGCACTGTCTGAGGACAACCTGACCAACCAGACCCAGGACTGGTTGTCCTCACCTCCGTCTCTCTGTGTGTCCTCACATCTGTTTCTGTGTCCTCGCCTGTCTGTCTGTGTGTCCTAACCTCAGTCTGTCTGTGTCCTCACATCCGTCTGTCTCTGTGTCCTCACTGTCTCTGTGTCCTCACCTCGCCTTTTTCCTCGCTTCTGTCTGTCTCTGTGTCCTCACCTCTGCCTGTCTCTGTGTCCTCACCTCTGTCTGTCTCTGTGTCCTCACCTCTGCCTGTCTCTGTGTCCTCACCTCGCCTCTGTGTCCTCGCTTCTGTCTGTCTCTGTGTCCTCACTGTCTCTGTGTCCTCACCTCTGTCTCTGTGACCTCACCGTCTCTGTGTCCTCACTGTCTCTGTGTCCTCACCTCGCCTCTGTGTCTTCGCTTCTGTCTGTCTCTGTGTCCTCACTGTCTCTGTGTCCTCACCTCTGCCTGTCTCTGTGTCCTCACCTCTGTCTCTGTGTCCTCACCTCTGTCTCCGTGTCCTCACCTCTGTCTCTTACGGGGCTGGTTGTTGTTCTTGATCAGCTGGGCCTTGATGTGCTCTCCCAGCGTGTCGTCGTATTTGGATGCCCAGTGTCTCAGGATGCTGGTGGTGAACTGGTCTTCAGGGTGACAGGGTCGACTCAGAACCATCTTCACCATCTCCTCACTCGGCCTGGGGCACACACAGAGACAGACATTAACAGGGGCAAAGAACCTGGAATATAAAGGAATAAATCATTCTGTTATGAGTGTGTTTGTCTTTTCCTGGCTGTATGTTTGTCGTACTTCTCTCGGCGCAGCTGCAGCAGCAGACAGGATAAGGCCTCTGGATGTTCTGGCAAACATGAAGTCACAAAACCAAAGATACAAGAATCAGAAAAAAACACAAAAAAGTTTCAGGTCACTCTGTGCTCATTTCATGTCATGCCTTGTAGTTTTGAGTCTTGTTGTGGTGGTTTGATTCACATTCCAATAACAAATCTTATCAGAAACTTCACATAGGACCCAGTAAGATCATTCATTAATTCACCATTGCTGTTAGATTGTGTCAGTACTCACCTTTGTATTTGAGGTGTTGCAGTATGGGGATAATAGTTTCCAGAGGGATACTGTGAGCCAGAAACAGCTGCCAGGTGCTGTACTGCTCAAAAGTCTCCCAGTCCAGAGACTGAACTGTTTATAAAGAACAAGAAGAAATACAGTCAGCTGCTGTCCAGCACCAACACAGTATACTGTATTCTGTTCTGTGTGAAGGCTTCTCACTGAGGATGTTGAGCACTGAGTCTTTCCTGAACATCACCAGGTTTCCCATCATCACATGACACATCAGCTCCTGTAACTACACACACACACACACACACACACACACACACACACACACACACACACACACACACACACACACACACACACACACACACACACACAAAGTCATCTTCACTGAGGTTTGAAGTCAGCTAATTTTTATTTATTACCAGCTGCAACAGTGTGGCTGGTGTTGTTTTCACCTTGTGAGTCTGTGTGGTGTGTGTTCATGGCAAAATGTGGTCCTGGCGTCCCACAGCAGGATTTACCAGATGTGGTTTTGAGGACTTTGTTAGGTGTTTAGAGTCAGGAAACTTGTGAAAATGGTGAAAATGAAGGTCGAGTTCAAAGATGGTCGAGTCCAACCCATGACTACAGAGTACTGATGTGACTAAAGTTACCTGAGTCAGTGAGTTACCTGTGTGGAGTCGATAACAGCGACGATCATGTTAAGCAGCTCACCGCTTCTCAACGTTTCATCTGGAAACTGAACAAACAACAAATTCAGGTGAGTTTGACACATGACAGCAGAGAGGGTGTGTGTGTGTGTGTGTGTGTGTGTGTGTGTGTGTGTGTGTGTGTGTGAGAGTATGTGTATGTGTGTTGTGTACCTCAGAGTATATGGAGGGAGTGAGGTAGCAGAGCAGCCGGACATCGTCCTCCTGACATGCCTTCATGTCCATCATCAGACAGGTGTGCAGGTCGCCGAGAGCTGTCGCCTGTGCAAAAGACTCGTACAGCATCATCTTCCCATTCGCTGCTTTACTGTTGACACAAACACACACAGACATTTTAATGATTGTACTGATGTTCACATCTGACTATGAATCTCTGTATCTTTCTGTATTAACGATGATGATACATGAATAAAGATGAACGTAATGATGTCACATAAACTGTGATGTCATCAGTATTGTTGTGTAACTAGTGTCCATTACTCCCATCAGGCACATTTTGAATAAGCACTGATCATGTTTCTACTGTCAGTTTAAGCTAAGCTACAAACAGCAGCTCTGACATCATCTCTGAGGTCACAGGTCACCTTGCTTTGAGGTAGTACAGCAGGTGGTATCCGATCTTGGGTTGTTTCTGGTAAAGTTCAGCCAACATGTCGAGCAGAACCGAGAACCCACTGTTATCCTCCTGCATGGTGACCAGGTTCCTGAAGATCAGACAGACGGGTTTACACACCGACTCCTCCAGGGACCTGAGGGAGAGAAAGACAGGTGATCAGAGACAGAGTGAGACAGGTGATTGAGACAGGTGATCAGAGACAGAGAGAGACAGGTGATCAGAGACAGAGAGGTAGGTGATCAGAGACAGAGAGAGACAGGTGATCAGAGACAGAGAAAGACGGGTGATCGGAGACAGAGAGGTAGGTGATCAGACACAGAGAGGTAGGTGATCAGAGACAGAGAGAGACAGGTGATCGGAGACAGAGAGAGACAGGTGATCAGAGACAGAGAGAGACAAGTGATCAGAGACAGAGAGGTAGGTGATCAGAGACAGAGACTGAGGTGATCAGAGACGGAGAGAGACAGGTGATCAGAGACAGAGAGAGAGACAGGTGGTCAAAGACAAAAAGAGACAGGTGATCAGAGACAGAGAGGGGTAGGTGATCAGAGACAGAGAGAGACAGGTGATCAGAGCCAGAGAGAGACAGGTGATCAGAGACAAAGAGAGACAGGTGTTCAGAGACAGAGAGAGGTCATTAGAGAAACATGCAGACAGGTACAATCAGTCTTACTCTTCAGTGATCTCCTCTGGCAGAACGTCTCCTCTAAAATGATCTTTAAACAGTTCAGACAGACAGGAAGCCATAGCTGACATCTGCTCTGTGTCAAAGTCCTCCTGCAA